TTGTGTCTTCGTCAAACACTACGTCGCGAGTGCTGATTACCTTTGCCATGGATGGGATCCATATGCGGTAAATGTTCGTTGACTGGTATCCCACTAGGTATCCAATCCAGGCCTTCGGATCTAGTCTCTGTAGCCTGGACTTTCCTCTGTGGGTGTCGTCTGTCATTGCGAAAGCCTTACACCCATATGCTTTTAGGTGAGCTTGATTTGGTTTTCGAGGTCCGGTGACTATGCCGTTGATGGCAGCTGCGCGTGTAAAGAATATTTCGTATGGTGTCTTCCAATTGTTTGGGTAATTTGGCGTTCGATTGTATAGGTATACCGCCGCTCTGGTAGTTTCTGGCCAGAGTTCCCATGGAAGGTTTGCATCCAGTCGAATTGCGCGTGCCTTTTCTTTTATAACACCCCCTGAGCGCTCAGCTCCTCCGTTTTGAGCTTGAGTATCTGGAGCGGAGGGCTCGAGTTTGATTGATAGGGACGTGCACCATTTTTCGACCTCTTGTTTGACGGTAACGATCTCGTTGTCAGTCTCGATGACTTTGACTGTGATGTTGAATTGTTTCTTCATGAACTGGACGAAGAGGCCTAGGAGGCGAATGATTGAGCGAGCCGGTCTGTTGTCCTTGAAGTAGAAGTCCCATGTGTATCGGGACCGTCGGCAAGTGATCAGCATTTGGCTCTTCTCCTTGGTGAAACTGCCGTCCTCATACTCATGGAAGTCGATGGCTACCCTTTCACCTGGCCCTTCGTCGTTCAGTCTAGGCGTCCTGCGTATTTGTCGTTTCGATTTTGACCTGCCGCAGGCGTCACACTCCACGGTGGTGATGCCCTTGATCCTCACCCCCTCAGATTGCTGCACGAGGTGCTCGATCGCGGATGGCCCGGGATGTCCGAGTCGTTTGTGCCATAGTATGGCAGTAGCCTTTTGTGGTGATCGTTTGGCTCGATTCATACGCACATGAAAGGCTGAAGTTGATGTAGTAGGTGGCTCGATAACCCATTGCCCATAGTGTTCCGATAAGGTGGCAATGGTTGAACCATCCCATCGTCGTAGGCTTGTCGGGTCTCCTCGATTGTCCCACCATATACCTTGTCTTCGGAGCAGCCTGAATGATACGAGGCTGCAGAGGAAGTCTGGGCACCAGGCAACATTGCTTAGGTGTAGAATTTGTTTGCCCTGAGCCCCCTCTGCCGTCACCTTGACTGCTCCGTATCCTTGTATCCAAACCCTTGAGTTGCCAGCCCAAATGTAATCTCCCATCGCAGGCGGGCGTACGTCTTCGAGCCTTGAGAGGTTGTTGCAGATGTGCGTCGTCGAGCCAGAATCCAGGATGAATGCATCCTTTAATGGGTATCCTTGATTACTCGCATTGAATGCCGCTTTCATCATGCCCTCGTCCAGCCTCGAGATCTCGCGTCCATCTAGTCAATCAGTGACTGAGTCCGGTGTTTGTGATGTCTTGATGTAGGGTGTAATCGATCGTGATGCCGTAGTTAGGCGTGGTCGCTTCGTTTCCAGGTTTGTTTCCTGTATTATTCTTTGTAAGTCTGCATCATGCTGAAGTTTGTACTGTACCAGCTTTGTGATGTGTTTGTTCGGTTTGAACCAATCTGGGGTCTCCAAAGTTGGGTTGACATAGTAGCAGCTACTGATGTCATGGCGTTGTTCACAAGCAGGACATATATCGCCAGCTTCTGCTGTATTCCTTTTCTGGAATTGCTTGGACTTGTTGCCAGGTGCATTCATTTTGCGTTTGTTTGTTTGCCTTTGGTTTCCCTGGCTAGGGTTGGTAGATGGCGCTCTAATTTGCACACTTGAGGCGTCCCCCTGTGTGTTCGAGTCGGATTCACCGCTCGCCGCGTAGGCTGCTTCACCCGTCATAAAGGCACTTCTTGATTTGCCTCGTGTTGGGTGAGCTAGGCTCATATGTTCGCGGAAGAGTTTCATCATCTGCCTTCTTTCTATATTGTTCCGGTCGCTTCCCGCTCCAGTGAATGTTGCCATCCATGCTGGGGCAATCTTAGAGACTGCTTTTAGGAAGTCGTCCACAACCAGCTTGCTTTGTATCACGTCCCCTATCTTTAGGGCTTCGGCGCGAGTTGCAGCTTGGTCGTATTCGCTGAGCCATGATTCCCAATTTTGCGGGCTTCTCATAGGTCTCAAGGAATCGTGGTACCTCTCTCGTACCCTTCTGATCTCATCGTCGAGGTCTACTCCAACTGCTACCTGGAGGTTTGTGATCCAGGTGCGGAGAGTTCCATGTTCCTCAAAGCAGCTCACTTGGAGGTGTGGGCTAACTGTTGCATTCAGGTGTCTGATCATTGCCGCAATGTTTGTGCGTTCGTCTCGATAGTTTCGTTCGCGTATTTTGTATGATTCAAAAACCATCTTGAATTCCCTTGAGTCCCCATCGTATGCCTCCTTCCCCTCCGCTGAGAGTTCTGAGTATCGAGCTGGTATGGCTGGAGTTTGAACAGCAGGGTTGACTATGTCAACTGTATCTTGTGTAGGCGCTCGGGCATTGGCTCTCGCGGTTCGTGTAGAGGAGGATGGAGCTGATGATGTATTTCTCAGAGCAGCGGCTGGTTCATAGTCGGATACGAGTGGAGGGAGAGGTTCGGTCGGCTTTGTACGAGGCTGAGTGTTGCCCGCTGGATCTACAATGTCCCAGATCTCTAGGGCTTCGCATTGCATCTTGATTTGGCGGTACCAGGGGATCCATTTGCTCGAGTCGGTGAGGATGACTGTTGCGTCCCTCTGGCTCTGGTTTGTCGCCATTATTGCGTGTTCGTTGCTCGTTATAGAGGCAGTGAGACTCTTAATTGTCAGATTAGATGAGATATTGCACAAAAGTGATGGATGTTCATGATTGATTGTTCTTCGTTCTAAGGTGCGCGCTGAGAGTTTTGTTCTGCTAAGACGCTAACCCGTTATTAGCTAGCGGTGTCGGCACTTTCGGCTCGACACGCCTGCTATCTGACACCTATAATTACTAAGAGAGAGAGGTGATTCTCTTAGAACCTCTTTGTTGGAAAAACCCACTTTCTGCTACTCTGCAGTCTCGGCTCCACTTTTGTTTCTTCATTGTAGAGATGGAAATGTTCATTGTTCATGATTCATAATTGAAAGCTATCTAATAGCATCTGCTACATCATCTTCTATGGTCCAACGCTGGCTATGACTGATCCAGTTGTTTTGACTCCTATATAAGCAACGGACAGTTCATGGTGTTATCTGAACCAAATCTTGAATCAGATCCACAGCTAGGGAAACCTAATAGGCATGTCTCTGGTCCTACACCAGGGCTGCTCTTCTGGGATTCCCTCTACTGTGCTGGCTGGCCTTGGCCGTTGACCGCTCCGACGATGGTGGCAGTATCAGCTGCACCACCAATGACGCCGCCTACACCTTTAACAATGTTTCCGATAATGTTACCCTTGCTCCTCTGTGCCTCGCGCCCAAGAATAATAATGTCATCCCTCCTTCCACAGCCAGTCATAGCTTGGCAGTGGCCACCGGACTTTCCTCCAATGGGGTTCTTCTGGGCTTCCCTCTTCTGTGCTGGCTGGCCTTGGCCGTTGACCGCTCCGACGATGGTGGCAGTATCAGCCGCACCCCCAATGACGCCGCCTACACCCTTAACAATGTTTCCGATAATCTTGCCCTTACTCTTCTGTGCCTCGCGCTTCCCAAGACCAGACGCGGTATCGTAACAGCCGGGAAAACCCATGCATCGGATCTCGTCTTCTCCCCCAATGATTTTCTTCTGGGCTTCCCTCTTCTGTGCTGGCTGACCCTGGACCGCTCCGACGATGGTGGCGGTATCAGCTGCTCCACCGAGAGCGCCGCCTACACCCTTGACAATGTTGCCGATAACCTTGCCTTTGCTCCTTTGTGCCTCGCGCCTGAAATTGACAGGTACGCCAAGAAAAAGCTCGTCTCTGCAGCCAGTGATAGGACATCGGTGTATCTTTCCACCAATTTCGTTGGCCCTCCCTCTTTTCTGGCAGCGGAATGTCTCCGCCGCTCTGTGCCGGCGGAGCGGTCCAGAAGACCTCGCCCTTACTCTTCTGAGCATCCCTCTTTTGTTGGCCCTGGACCGCTCCGACGACGGTGGCCGTATCAGCTGCACCACCGAGAGCGCCTCCTACACCCTTAACAATGTTGCTGATGATCCTTCCTTTACTCCTCTGCGCGTCCCGCTTCTCACTTGACTGGGTCTCCTCCTCTTGCTTCTGAACTCCCCTGAATGGTGTGGTTGGCAGGATGTCTGCACATGGGGTAGTAAGGCAACCGTTACCAATGCTGCCCCCTTTAGCCTCCCTCTTGTGTTGGTTGTTGACGAGATCGTCAACCGGCCTGACGCCCTGGGCGATTTGTCCAGCAGCATCGGCCAAGCGATTACCGCGGGCTACCTTTTTCGAACCAAGCTGCATCTCCGGGTAGGGAATGGCCAGTTGAGGGCGAAACGCCTCTTCGCACTGTTCCCGGTTGACAAAGTTGGCACACTGCTTGGAGCTTCGTTGCGGGTCCCTCTTTGCGTTTTGCTGAGCCCCCTGGACAGCCTGGCCGATAGTAAGGAAATCGGATACCGCGCTTACAGCATCGCCAACGCCCGAGAAGGCTTTGCCGACACGGCTACCACGGCTAGCACGGCCAGAGATCTTGTTGAAGAGATCGACATGCTCCTTGGAACTGTTCATGGATTGTTAGTTCAATGTTGTTCAAATTTTGATGAAAGACTTACTCAGGCATGACCGCTATGTGACCTAGTCCGGCGTAAGGGTTTGGTTGGCGGTTGGCGGGTGCAGCACTGGCAGGCATGCCTGCAGTAAAGGCCAGAATGGCGGCGACGGTGGAAGGATGCATGTTGAAAGTGTTTTGGTGAAGTGTTGTAGACTTGAAATTGGGTGAAGAAAGCACCTGGCTTGAAGTTGAGTGAAAAAGTAAAGTTGAAAGTGGTAGATCGAAGAAAAGAACAATGCGGGATAGTCAACCAGTGATTCCGAGATAGAATGTAAAAGTTGCTGAAGAACCGAGTGATGCTGATGCGATGATGTTTACTTCTGGTCGAACGCTCATCCCTATATACCAAAGATGCTTTGGAGAAGCTCTGAATGCCAAGTTAGATGGTATTGTTTCGCGGTGTCGGCTGCCAAGCCAGCACAATAAACATGAACCCATCATCATGCACTTTGACAGGCGATAGCAATTGTAGGTTTGTGTGAAACGGAGGTTCTTGGGGGAAGTCGTGGGTATGACCTTGGCGTAGACGTCATGTGAAGCGACCCGCAATGCGTTGGTGCAAACGCGCCATGCCTTGCACCCCGTACCCCAGCGCACAGACCACCCGGCATGAACCGGCCAGATTTTGACACGAACGCGCTAACTGGTGACAGCGCTAAACAGAAGGAGGCATGAACGAAGCGGCACCATCTGGTAACTGCGTCTCGACAGCTAATCAAAACGCATCTAAACGAATCCTCGCAGTTTCAAGTGTTTCTACAAATCTTCTATGCGCTCTGGCTTGGCCTTTACATGCGAATTCTACCTCTGACAGCCTATAACTCACCACAGTCGTCCTAACGAATGAGGGGAGCTTTTCAATCGTGAACCCGAGCTCGGTGCATGCGCTCAGCAAGACATCGCAAGCTAGTGTCACTCTAATGGCAACCATGGCTGTCGCTTCAGGTGTATAGAAGAGTGGTTTTTGATATTGAACTTCGCGAGTGCTTCTGTAACCGCTACTTGCATTGAAACAACAGGCTTCGCGGCTGTACAGAGCATACCGCGTTCTTGTTCTCGCCGCCACGACTGATTTCTAATTTTGACACTAGACTCCTTTTAGCTCTCGTAGAGGATGTATGGCAAAGACTGCGACTGAATAACGTCGTCTGTCCTATTCGACTGGCTTTAGAGGATTTTTCCCACATCTTCGTACGTGTTGCGGCTTCCTCGACGATATTGCGCTGGAGACTCATTGGATCTATCTATCCAAAATTCTCAAGCTGTCCTCGTCCACCATCTTTCAGGAAGCTTCAGAGTGTGCCTTAGCTATACGACCCGTGTTAGGACACTTTGTCTTTGGCCTCATATGGAATTCGACCGAAATGTCACCTACATCTGAAGAACTGCTCATAATCTTTGCTACCGTGGATTACCAAATACCTGTGCGTCTTTTCTTCTTTGCCATCGTATTTAAAGTGGATAACTTGCTCTAGATTCCTGTTAGTATCTTGTGATAATTGATCCTTCTCGGACATGGGCTTATCAATCCATACTGACTTCTCGATCAATATCGCTACCACTACGATACTTCCGCCGAAAAGACTTCTAGATCCAAGACTGCTTCAAAGCTTCAGAAATCTTGTCTGCCCTCATTACGGTTAGCCATCCTGTGATTGGTGTGTTGTTTAAGGCACGGCAAGGTTTCTCCACGTGTGCGTCATCTAAGCTAGGCCAGAGCTTCTCTACCTAACTTATTGTATCCTGCTGCAAGGGGCTATAATACCCCACCAGTTCGGGCTGGGGTAGACATAATGGTAGTAGCTTCAGCTGTGTATTGTTCATTTCTAATGTATGCATCTTGCACTTTGCTAGCTGATCCTAGTGCACCTAGGTCTACATTACTAGGGAGAGAGTCTTGAGGTGCAGATATAATGCATCTGCTTTAGTAGCATGTTCGACGAAGAACCCCTGTGTGACATGAACGTGGAGTCTGATGGAAGATGTGGTTTGAGCTGATGGAGGTAGATTCATTACGTCATGCGCTACCCCTAGCGCGACCTGTGTACCTCCATTACCACTGTTCAACCTCGATCGACTCATCTCAGACCTATCCAACACAGTTGGAAAACTTTTACGCAATGCTCCATGGCGGGACCCCAGATGCTGAGAGACAATTAAGGGAATTGAAACGTGCACGCAGCGATAGTAGTGCTTCAGCATCATCCCGGCGTCGCGATTGTCCTGATACCTCAGCACGGTACGCATATGCGATAACGAGCATCTCGCCCGAAAAACGTTCTAGTTTGCTTGCAACCGCCCAATGAGGATGGCTTAGGAGCTCAATGCGGCTGCGGCTTGTTGGCTATCCGCTTATCCTGCTCTTCTTTTGGTAGTGTGTCCCATTCAGCCACGTTCTTATCCTTCACGATTGTCAGTATCAACACGAACACAATACGTCTTACATCGACTTACCCATTCTGCTACACACTCCGGCTTCCAGTTGCACCTTTCCACCTCGCCATACATGGGGTGATTGTGTCGCGGGTGACGCGACGGCCAGCCCGAAGCGTGATAGTGATGCTTGACTAGGGCACCTCGCGAACCGTGGTTACCCGAATCAGAATGTCCTTGGCCAGCTGCGAAAGCCTCAACATTGAGGACCAGTATTCCGTTCACCAGCCTCGACTCCGCTAGGTTGTGGAAGAGATCCCACGTCACCGGCTTCCCACGGTTTTGCGCCGTCATCTGTTCAAGAACAGCCTTTGTAAAAGCCGATGGACCTGTTCCGCTGATGACTTCGTCGAAGTCTAGTTCCAGCTGCGATAGTGGTACGTCCTTGTCGTTTGAAAGCTCGTGTAGCCAGTCTTGTATGTTCTCGATGAGCCTCATCATGACCGGAAGCTTAGGCTTTGCGGCGAATGTCCACTGGCAAAACGACTTGCATTTGGATCCGAGAATAGCATGGTCCGAAAATGCCGGCTCGTCAATTTCCACCCCGATGATCATGTCGACATCTTGCTCAGTGTATCGCTCGGGGATGAACCTGTCGATGGGCCGGAGACACTCCACGTCAATGTCGGCATACACGCCGCCTTCCGCGTACATTACGAGATATCGGAGCAAGTCAGCTTTGATGATGGTGATGTTGAGCTCACGGTACAGATCAACAAGATCCGGCCTGTTGAACCCATGTGGGCCATAATGCCACTCCAGGTACTCATTCGCGTTGTCATCGGTCAAAACTTCGTAGCGATATCTGGGATTCTTCGCCGGCCATGTCTTTGCTGAGTCTGAGTCGCGCTGCTCGAATCCGAGAGGGCCAACCTTCCACGTCTGCCATATCTTCCTTGGGATGACTGTATCGGCCGCTTGCAGCGGTTGTTGGTATCTGAGCTCGCGCTTGTATCTTGAGGCGGCTCGGATGGGTGTTGTGAAGAAATGGGTGTTTGCGAAGAACAAGAAGAGGAAGATAAGAGCAAGATACGCGGGCAAGACTCTCCGCACTTGGCTTGTGAGCTTGCCCGAGAAGTGTGCCGTTATTGGGGAGTGTGGAGGCATCGAGATCGAGAGGTGAAGCTTGGGCGGATGTAGCCTGGGTCGTGTACGCATGCTGCGGATCTCAGAGCATATGAAGCCTCCAACCCTTACCCAGCCGTCCTGAAGTCTATGAAAGATTATTTCAGTATAAGCCTTGCACATGAGACTCTCGGCCACTTGATAGCGCGGTCGAGGTGCCCGCCAATACCAGCCTCATCCTCATCCTCGGTCCGTCACTTTAACCCCAGACGCAGGGGCGGCCATACGAAAACATACCCAACTCCGCGTATGCGTCCAGCGGCTACGGATGCACGTTGTGTCAATGTGGTGCGATGACTAAATCAAGGCGAGTGGCGACTAGGCGAAAGCTTGTCTAGATAGTTTAACCCTTGCAATATTAGTCGGCGGTTTTGACATTTTAGGCGTCTCCCCCACGGCCGACCCCGCACGGTATCTCACATGTAAGGAACACTCCAATCGTGTCACCAAGTCGCTCGAATACTAGCGTCAGCATGACCCCTTATTGAAATGCCACTAGCGCATGTCCCCAATCCCGTCACATCCCGCTTGAGCAGTCAATCTGGCTTTGATCGGCGCTTCACTGAGTCCCACTTGTATCTAGTCTGCCATGACTCGACCATCTCCTAGAATTATTGTTTGAACTCCCTGCGCATATACTGCTCTTCTCTTTTTTATCTCCGGCCTTTGCAAGGCATCACATACTCACATATTCTTGATAGTCGTCGCTGAGCTTCACTGTCGACAAATACCAGCAGTTCGCCACGCGCAATGTCATCTCCACACGGCGGTTTATTGGGCCACGTCGGTTTCGAAGATATCAAGCTGTCGCCTACCACCTGGAAGCCAGTACGAACAGCACGATGGAGTCTGGATCTTGTTCGACCTGAATTCCTCACATTCCGTCCAGGTCCTAAAACCAGAGTCGTCCGACCGACTGCATGGCTGGATGGCCTGAGAGGGATTGCTGCGCTTTTGGTATACCTACATCATAATCAACTCTGGGCTCACGATGACCGCGGTAATCAAATCCTCGAGAACGCTTTCGGCTATGAAGGCAGACACTACTTCGCAGCATTACCATTCGTACGCCTGTTCTTCTCCGGTGGCCACTATGCAGTCGGAGTGTTCTTCGTCATATCTGGATATGTGTTGTCTTTCAAAAGCCTGACGCTGATTCACGATGGTCAGATGTCTGGTGTTGCAGACACGCTTGCCTCTGCACTCTTCCGCCGATGGCTACGACTATACATCCCGATCATCGCAGTAACCTTTTCGTGGCTCTCTTTCCGGCACTGGAGTGGCTTGTGGATCGACATGGAGCCCATGCATGGTTCATATCGCGAGGATCTTGTCCACTATTACCAAACTTTCAAAAATTACAGTTTCGTCTTCTCAACCAACGTTTACGAGTTCACCAAGCCATACCAGCCGCATACTTGGTCGATACCGGTCGAGTTCAAAGGATCCATCATCGTCTACACAACCCTGTCTGCCCTATCCCGGTGTACCAAAAATGCCCGACTTTTGTGTGAGGCCGCTCTTGCCATCTATTTCCTTTACATTGTAGACGGCTTTTACGGCGCAATGTTTGTATGTGGAATGTTGCTTTGCGATCTCAATCTGCTGGCCGAGAGAGAAGAGCTTCCCCGTGTCTTCACGGTTCTTTCGGGCTTCAAGGAGTTCATCTTCTTTCACTTATTTATCCTTGCACTCTACCTTGGCGGAGTACCCGCATTCGATGCGCCTGATACCGACCGCGCCGTTCTACTCACGAAGTCCCCAGGGTGGGTTTGGTTATCTCATCTCAAACCCCAGGCTGTGTTCGATGCGAAATGGTTTTATCTCTTCTGGGCGTCGTTCCTCACTGTCGCATCAGTACCGCGCTTGCCATGGCTGAAGCGCTTTTTCGAGACGCGGTTCTGTCAGTATTTTGCGCGCATATCCTTTGCGCTGTACCTGGTGCATGGTATTGTTATCTGGTCTCTTGGTGATAGGCTCTACGCTGCGGTAGGGCTTGCCAGGGTTGGTCATAAAGACGGCATACCTTGGTGGGTCAACAAGTTCCCGCTACCTACAAAAGGACCAATGGGCCTTGAGTTGGCATTTTGGGCAACGCAGCTCATCATACTGCCTGTAACCCTGTACCTTGCCGAAGTTTTCACCAAGCTCATTGATGAGCCGAGCGTAAAGTTTACCAATTGGCTTTACGGGAAGACCCTGCCGCAAAGGACTTTTGCGCCAACGTTTCAGCGTAGCCAATCGTTCCGATAGCCATTGTGTAGTCAATCTCTACATAGCTGTAACGCAAAGTTAGTCATCCTATATTTTTCTATCATCCCTTGCAATATCGGGTATCAATTGCGTTGTTACAGCGTTGGTAGTATTCTGCCGCTCTCAACAGTAATCTTGGCTTCATGTGAAGTTGTCATGGCCAGGAACAGGCCGGTCACTTGCAGTAGCGTCGCAGGGGTGCAACAGGCAAAAAGGCAAAAAGTTATTCGCGCAGTACTGTAGATTGTCCGAAACGGCTGTTCGTCCGAGACCAGGTACCCCATGGGGGGCGGATTCAGCCGCCGATCACTGCCACTATAATCGGCTGTTGCCGGTTACGGTATGTTTACCGCTATTGGCCATCCTTTGCAACCCCATGTATATATTGGCTGGGAGATGATCTTTCTCATGGCTATGCAGTTCGGTGATCGAGGGATGCAAATCCGGTATTGTGGTTACGAATCATTACTATCAGTTGCAACCTCGGATGAGGCTGCGCACGTTCGATTCCATCAGTGCATGTGACAATGGCCCCCGTGCAGAACATCGCCTGTGCTTGCTGGAGGATTTGTGTGTGAAAAACCTTCACGCTGGCTCCATAATGAGACGGCGACACAATATCACTTTGGCAACGTTGGTATGTCTTGGGACGACATACCTCGTGGGGCAACATCGTCACGACCTCCAAGGTGCTTATGAAACCCATTCCCTGTACAGTAACATACCGAACGAGAACGGCATTGAGGTTTTGCCATCTGACCTGCAACCGGATGCGCAGGCCGGGGGTGGTTTTCATGTGTCAGGGAATGATATCTCAAACAAAGCATCTCCAAACGATCTCAGTTTACCAATTGGAGATACTCCGCTACCGGTAACTGGAGAATCAGTGGGAAACCTAAAGAAAGGCTCTCTTAGTCCCGAAGGAAGTCTGTCTGCAGGTGGCGATGAAAACCAGCCTAGCACCGAGAGGGAATTCCCATTCCAACAGGACCTAGACCTTGAGCTTCCTACTGCGACACTTCACCCTTTCAAAGCGTATAAGCCACACAATTACAAAGCCAACCCTGCCGCTAAATACGCATATGCTACGTTCTTGGCAACACGAAACCCTTCCCTCAAGGATCCATACTTTCTCGCCATTCACTCGCTCATCTACCGTCTCTTGTGGTCACCCAAATCAGGCACCCGTACATACCCATTCATAGTCTTTGTCGCCGATTTCGTTACCCCCGAGCAGCGCGCCCTTCTCTCCGGCGCCGGAGCACTAGTCCGAGAACTCGCCCCTCTAGAATGGTCGCCCAAAGTCTCCGGCGTGCAAAAGCGGTGGAAAGACCTCTTCGCCAAACTCAATATGTGGAAAGAAACGGAATTCGAGCGCATCCTCTTCCTAGACGCTGATGCTTTCCCACTCGCAAATTTAGATCAGATGTTCGATCTTGCGCCAGTGCGCGACTGCGTGCCGGAGAAACTACATCTCGATGACTTTCTCGCGGATGGTCCGGTTTGCGAACCTTATATCTTCGCTGGCGTCCCGCAGGACCCTTTGGGGCCTGTGAAGTCTAATCTTAACGTTGGGTCTATGGTTTTTACTCCTTCGCTGCGCATGTATGCGCGCCTTCAGCAGAACTATGTCAAGACCGACAAGTATGACAGTTTGATGGCAGAACAAGCGTTCTTGAACTGGCAGTTCAATCCTGAAGGTGCATACCCTGGGACGCCATTGGAGAGGATGTGGGGAGGGTTTTTCCCTACGGAAGAGGAGGGCGATGGGAGGTTGAAGGTCGTACATGAGAAGATTTGGATGACCGAGGGCGGCTGGCTGAAAGACGAGTGGGAATCCGGCTGGCGGAACATGATGAAGTTTTATAGCAGCAAAGATTTTCGGGTTGCGCGAGAGCTAGACGGTGTAGGTAGCGAGGTTATGTGAGCGTCAGCTGAACTGCGATTGTATTGGTGTCGCGCACCATCTAAATCTATCTATCACATTCTGGAAGTATCACTTCCTAGACCTGTACTCACTGGAATGTACTCTCATATTCACCCCGACTATTCCACGTTCTATAAAGCAGCCATACAAATCGTCTCTTTCTTCAAGATCTGGCACACGTTACAACCGACCAGTTGATTATGGTTTGGAGCACGCATAAAATAAAGTACGCTGAAGACCCTCAGCCGCCGAACGAAGACCATGAAGACACACCGAAGCAAGGAAGGAGAAAGAAGGTAGTCCAAGATATTGGTAAATCTATCAAGGCAAAGGAACCGCCAATTTCGCCCTTTCTGGCTTTGCCGGACGAAATACGGAATACAATTTACCGGTATGTGTTGTCAAACATCATCGGAAACCATGGACTGCGCTGTCAGCCTTGGTATGACAGCGACAAAGTAACGCACTGATTCTTCACAGAGAGCTCGGGCGAGCAAAAGGGGTACCATTTGCACCGTATTTATCCCTTCAGCGGGCGTGACATCAACCAGCTTAAGTATGTATGCAAGGCTCTATACAAGGAAACAGTCAATCTAGAGCTTCAATACAATTTCGTCGAATGGCGTATAAAATGGTCAGGAAGTACCATGTTCCACATATTCGGAAGCTTCTTAGACAGCTGTACGGAGATCCAACTGGCATGGCTGCAGCTCGACCGCGAGCAAGCGATCAACCACCAGAGCATGCCCGAGATAGGCACACCCGAAGCAAAAACGAAGATCTTGAACATACGCTACTTTGCAATGAAAGATGATAATACGGCTATCGCAAGAGAGTGTTTAGAGAGAATTAGATGTCATCACTTGATTGACGCAGCAAGTCTCTGTCGTCGCTACCCCTTTGTCCAGCTCCACATCAACTTCTACGACTTCACTTATGTAGACAAAGACGGAAACCCCCAGCCAGAGTATTTCCTCACGACTGCAATGTATATCTCTCTGATCTTCCGTCACATAGATCTTACACACCTCCTGCCTCGCCATATTGCGCTATCTCCGCTGTTCGACCCTCAGGTGCGCGAGAATATTCTGCGGTATCGGAGATCTCGCCGTTGGTTCACGCCACAGCTGGCGGAGGCGGCGGAGGAGGATATCGAGGCGCCGAATATGCGCTTCTATGCGCATAGTTAGGCTGCGAGAGAGGAACCACGGGGTTTGGTGGCGACAGTTGCACGACAGTGGGCGGGGTTGCATGTGATGGAAGGGTGAGATCGAGATTATTGGATAAATGTCTGTGAGAATGAAGTCAGACGCTGGTTCTTCGAAGGTATTTAGGGTCCCGTCAAGCTTCACAGTGGATAACATTAGCTAGTTCACTCATTGTTGTGCCTTTTGCTTGGATTTCTTAGAATAACTGCAGACAATCAAAAGCTTCATCACAATTTGTCTTGCTCAATCCGCTCAATTAAGGTGGAACTTGCCCACCACCACCAAATACATGAATTCAGAACTATGTGTACAAGTGAAAGCATGAACTGAGAACCTTCCGAGCATGGGCACCGTACTCTGCCTGGTAAATCCACCCGTGATATTAATTCCACTTTCCACTGCCCTGGGGTGCCATCGCCACTTTGTGACTCTTTCTAGCGTCATCATGCCCAATATAAAATAAACAAACCCCCTAGAAAGACGCCTCAACCCTCATCAATGTGCGACTTTTCCTAGATACCGTTCTCCACCCATCCGCGCACCAACTCCACAAGACCGTCCACACCATCCCCCCTCCATACCCATTCCCGAAAGACATCGACTATCAACTCAGCCGCTGTGTCATAGAATTTAGTAGCCAGGATAGGCTTTATCTTGAAGTTCTGGGGCATGACCTGTACTAGGCTGGTCGATCCGCGGCCGGGTCAAAGTGGGTTAAACCTATTCATAGGGCCGGACTCGTACACACGCTTTCCTCTGAGTTGATAATAAAACCCTACAGCGATCCTTATGAACAGTTTGATGGGGAAACCAAGATGAAAATATGTATTCGAGCAGTCGAATACAAGCCGGCACAAGTGGTAGAACAAGGTGAAGAGCGCATTCGTCCTCGCAAAGGCACATTCTATGGTGTCCAGGAAAACCCTAATGGTTTCTCCCTGCAAGAACTGGAGCTCTTCGGCATGTTCAACATGAGTGCTAAGGGTTCAGAGATTAGGACTCAGCGGAAGCTAAACCGGCCCCAAAACCGAGACTGAATATACCACTGCACGAGTTGGAAGAGCAACATCTTATCATGAACACGGAGTTAGTGAATCTAGAGTTGGGCAGCGATTGCTGGAAAGCTCGGACATAGACCAAACGCGCCGATAATGAGCACTGTGTCATCAATTTTCACACCGCTGAACCCACCGAAACAGCATCGAAAGCTGAGGAGGCAACCCAACCAGATCTGCAGATCACAACAGTCGTATCCCGAGAACACTGGATCAACACCGCAACGCATCTTAGAGCCGGTACCGTGAAGTTTGACACCGGCTATGATGCAAATCGCGCAATTTCCGTGACGGCGATCCTATTGTCGGAAGCGCAGTACCTGGGTAACGAGACAAGACCAGACGTTCTAGGTTATCCATTCTACAATATCATGCTTGTAGAGACCGTAAGAGCAAGAGGTGGTGTAAAGTTTATGGAGCGCATAGGTCTTGGTAGGATATACAAGTAAGCGTGGAGAGAAGCAGGGGCGAAAAAGGAAGTGGTTGTACTAGAGTAACGCAAATGGTTGATTTATGAGAAAGTAACGATCCTCTTGTGTACCTAAGTATAGTACTTTTGCCCCATACCACAGTAAAGCATGCCATCGCTAATCGGCCGAGCAATGCCGATCTACCAAGTCGGTACCGGCACCGGGGAAGAGGATGCCGCATGGTAGGACAAAGCTTCAACTGCACTCATCATTGCGGCTTGACCGTACTTTCAGGATCATGCCTTGGCGATATTCTCAAAGCAGTTGGCTAAGCATTGCTGCAAACACAGCCGCTGTTGGTACCCACCTTTACGAGTGAAAAGTAACATTCCAAGGTTGCATTGTGATTTTCCATCGTATTCGACTAGAGACCTGTGTCTCCCAATACGAATGTTTAGTTTCAAAGGCATATCCTCGGCATAAATGTTTTCTAAAGACGGTATTACTGTATCTATTTTGAGTGGTTTTCTGGAGACGGCATTACTGCATCTATTTTGAGCGGTGCGTTGGCCGAGGCCGTCCCGAATTGGCGTTGGATAGGGGGTTGCGCTTTACCTCTTTCGGCTACTTGCCAAGGGCTTCGGGCCTATGCCGTGGCAATTGTACGTCATTTCTGCCGAAACCCATCTTAGACGGTCATGGGCGCGCCACAGCCGGTGCTGGCCATTCCAGGTTCACGGAATTACCTAGGGATACGATAATTTACCCTCATGGGGAAATACGAGAGGGCATTTGCATATATAACGGATGGGATGCTGCTCTCTTTAGGCCTCCATCCAAACATCACCTCATCAACTCTACACTAATACTCAATCACTACAACTACCACTTCCACACTTCAACAACACCACCTTCAAACCATCAACATGAAGTTCACCGTCGCTGCCGCCGCTGCCTCCATGGCCGCCATCTCCTCCGCCCTTCCCCAGGCTCCTGCCTTCCCTCGCCCCGAGGCTGGCGACGTCTTCCGTCTAGTGTCTCTGGCCACCGGCACCGCCCTCCAGAATGGCAACGTCCAAGCCAAAGAGGGTAGCCTCGTCATCAACTCGCCCGACCAGACCAACAAGACCTGCGCCGTCAACGGCGACCGCGAGAACACCACCAGCGGCATCGACTTCGCCTCCTTCACGCTCAACCAGGACGACGGCAGCGTCTATATCTACACCTTCAACCCCCCTCTCCAGCTGTATGTCGACCGCAGCGGCATGGGCATGGGCAACGTCCGCTACTCCACCGGTGTCCAGCCCATCGGCAAGAACCAGGAGCGCGGCCCCTTCAAGATTGACGACAGGGGTGACCTCGTCTTCGCTGCTGGTGGCCTTACAGGCGACGTTGGCTTCCAGGCTTGCCCTGGCGCTGTTGGCGGAGGCTGGAAGATCTGGCTCTCTGGTGTTGCCAAGCCTGCTGGTTCTGAGGGATGCCTTCCCGTCACCTTGAGGGCGTCCAAGGAGGACGAGCCCAAGAAGTGCCTCTACTCCTCTGCTCCTGCTTAGATGATGAGCCGGTGAAGATCTTTGGAGAGTGTATATATTGATAGTCTTGGAGACCGGACTTTGGCTTTCTATTGTGCATATAATATCGCATTTAAGCGTCTGCATAGCTTTTTGTTTATGAGCTGCTAGAATTAGAAATAACAACGTTTATACGTACACTACATTGCTTCTTACTATCCTAATTTTGCATTTGACAAAATGCGATCAATATTGACGAGATGCAATCTTCAAGCCTTGATTGCATTAATAGTTTCGACAGTTGGAAATACGTACTCCCCATTTGTGAAGGCCTCCGCTGGCGAGTAAAACCGTATCGAGTACAGAAGCTTACCACCTCCTGCTGGGGCCGGAAGCCAGCTGTACAAAAGGTCTCAAGTCAGTCCATGTTCTGTTGCACCGAAACAATCGCATGATGCTACAATGGGTAAACTTACTTGCTAGTCCAGTTATCCGGTGGGGGAATATCAGCCGGTTGCAATAGGACCTGAAATCTCCCATCCACAGTTTCGTTCCCAGGATTTGCACCATCTTCACCATTCACCAAGCCTCCATTCTCAAACTTCAACTGCTTGCTTCGGTCCCCGATGACGTACCTACCCAGCTCGTTGGGCACTAGATATTGGTCCGCCCCATACACGGTCAAACTCCAAAACCCGGTCGACTTGATCGGAGGCCTGCCAGAGAAGGTGAAGAGAAAGGCCGACGTCGCGTTCAAAGTCAAGTTGTCCGATTTGTTCGTGATGAAGAGATTTTCGGATTGTACCAGGCCTAGATAACCGCGGAGTGCGCGGTAAGCACGACAGCCGTATTCGAGACCGAAGATGCCTTGACACTTCATTTTGGGGATGACCCAGTTGTTGCCGACATCAATCAAGTTTTGGGAGTAAGCCGCAGAGATGCTTGCGTTCGCTGCAATGGTAGCAGCGGTTAGGTTTATTCCGCTAGGTGGGGAGTAGATTCCGTCTGCAATACCAGCAAGACCAAGTTTGGATGCTACTCGGTACCGGTCTGAGATCACGTCGGGTTGGTTGAACTGTCCAATCTTGGCCAGTAGGTCTAGATAGCCCGTCACCCTGTCAGTGGCATTTGAAGTGTTGATGAGCTCACGTGACAGTCTCGGTGCTTGTGCTGCGAAAGGCTGAGATTGTGTACGAGGAATCTTTTTGAGGAAAATTTGATCTTGGTAGTTTCGTATAGTCGCAATATCCTCCGTGGTATTTTGGCGTACGAGGATACGACCGAGCATGATACCGTAGGTTGTGGCATAAGAAACCACACCTTTGTAACGGGATGATTCAGCCGGAGTAGTGTATTCAATGCCTGGTTGAACGAGAGCATCGTCTGCACGTCTGATCAAATAGTCGCCCGGCGGTGAGTCGTCATTGATTGACATTCCGGCAAAATTGTTGCCATAACTGGAATAAGTCAGTCTCTTGTTACAGATTGTTTATCTACAATGAAACTGACACATCGTAGCAAGGCCATATCCAGTTTCTTCCATCACTGATATTGGGAATGGTCAAAACGAGGTCCTCCTGCGATAAGTCGACAGCCACCCAAATGTACAACGTGTCTGCATTTGGGCCAACTATAGTGCGATTTAGGGGACCGGAAAGTGTACGGTATGGCCATAGAGTATTCGGTTCATTGACGGCATCTAAGATGTTCGTCACAGCTTGTTGCCATTGAGATATCGGATATGCATACTGAACGTATTAAGAGGGATACAATATTTTGTTTGTGATTCATCATGTACCTGGATTGCAAATGCTGTGGCATCTTGCGCGGCACTATCATGAGAGCTTGAAACATTCGCCGCTCTGGCAAGTGGAAAAAGGTATGCCAAGCATTTACCGGTAGTGAAGAGATAATTTGTCAACTTCATCTTTCTTAGCAGTGCCTCACTCATCTTTCTCAACATGATACTACCCCAGCGTATTATATATTGGAGTTGACTCCTTATCGCGTAGCAGAGCTTGCGACTTGGCTGTATTGCGCAATACTTCACAAGAATGACGAAGAGGCTAAGAGATGGGGCGGTGGAGCAGTGGTAAACGATCTACACGGGACCAATTCCTGTACATGATAACGACAAGATCTTATGGTTAATCCTGGAGCTCTATCAGTATCTCCCTAAAATGGTGGTCCACTACAATGCCAGACAAGTATTACAGCAGCTGTTCTTCGCCATCTTCAACAAATCCTACTTCTTCCCAGAGTTGGTAACAATCAATCGATCGGCGTAATTGATTCCTCTGTAGGTTAAAGGCGGCCTAATCAAGTAATCACTTGACCTAGATAGGAATCAATCACGCCGATCGATTGATTGTTGCCAACTCTGCTTCTTCCGCCCCACTCTCTGTATTATGCGAGATCTTGCGACTATTAGCGTGAAAAAAAGTATAAAAGGGAGAGTGAGACTCGTACCTACACTTATTCAACATACGAGTAGAGGGTTGTAGAGACACCATCACCCACAATGACGCAGCCGATGTGTCTGGGTTGCCCGAAATCCCTCGCGGAGAAGGTGGCCGTTGTGTCGTATAGATCACCACCTAGATGCCCGGCTATGAAATATAGACTGAACGTATCTCGGGCGTTTAATATTCCATAAACGTAAAGCCGGTCGGTTGAAGTACTGCAGTACTTGTCTGGTCGGGCGATAATAGTCATAGCTCCGCAATGAAAGGTACCGCCAGTATATAATTTTGTACCTGCAGGCTTCTCGACCGTTCCTGTTATGTCGATGGCGCATGGGTGACTTATCAATTTGAATGGTGGCGGAGCGAATGGTCGGCCAGGGGAAATAGTATTAGGCAGAGGGTAAGGTCGCTGTGCTAAGATCTGTCGGCAGAAAAGGAATGAGAGGAACAGGCAAAGAGTATGCCAAGTCATTTTAGCTTTTGTATATCGATACCGACGAAAGGACTTGCTGGTTATGGGCTAGAGGAGGCAAACTGACGAGTATACGTTTGCCGATATCACACAAGAAACAGATTTTCAAGGCAGACGACTCTACTTATAGAGAGTGCTTACAACGGTGGGACCCCGCTTTTCCTGCTCCAACAAGGCATGCATGTAAGCTTACCTGTTCCAACATGGCACGCTTACCTGTTGGATGTCAACGGATGGGCGTTCGTGAAGAGAGTCATCCAATTTGGCACTTCCCACGCAGGTCAAACTCTGATATCTTCGTCTAGAACGCGCTTGTGAAGCACTCGGCGTCGTCGAGAATACGGATTCTTCACCGGCTCTACCTCCTGAGCCGTGCACTACCGACCCGCCAACAGTACGAAAGCGTATTCGAAAATTTCTGCGATTGAAATGCTTATCCAGACGTCGGTCATCGTAGGACCTATATCTTATTCTTTTTGTTTTCATAGTAGACTGTTGATCGTCGTTAGACATAGTTGAAAGACCCTCGACTGGCTTTGACTGGTACTCGCACTGCATTGCGCTTACTTCGTAATATCGGGATCTGGGTTTGAGGTTAATTGCGAGGGTCGGTTGGGGTATCTCAAGTTTTTTCTCGATCGATGCCCATGTGGTTCTCTGCTGATTCTGACATAAGCGTGGATTGTTCCGCCCTGGCGTTCGGCATTATCAGTGGCAGTCGGTGTGCGTTGTCAGGGACATGTGCTGGTAGTTGTCAGCCTTCATTGTGTGCAGTTGTGTTCCTAGATACCAAAGGACCACTTCTTTCGAAGGCTGAATGATGGATTTGCATTGATAAGTGGCCATTAGTGCTTGGGTGTCTGCACGCGCATTGGGAAGTCGCCTGGATAGCGCCATCTAGCGATCGACTGCTTGAAGCCAAGCTAAGAGTCGAAGCTTTCTTGTGATCTTATATCCACGACTGATTTATCAAAACAAGCAAAGCGTACTGTTTCATTGACGCGGATGAACGAAAACAAGCTTGTCAGACGGAGAGTGGGTCGCGCTCGGACATGCATTGTCCCACTTTACCGAACCATCACCCTACGTCCTTCCATCAGCCCCATGATGCATCTCAAACTCCCTCACGCGAGAACCTCGATAACCACCCCATTTTCGCAGCCGGCAGAAGTCAGGTTTAGTGAGATTTGGGTCTAGCCACCGGTAATGACGATGACGATCCCGCGCGCAATACCGTAATCGGAGAAATTCAGCCCGAACCGCACCAATGGCGAACAGCCGTAACAGCCCGGTCTGACAAGCCCATTTCTGGGGTGGCAACTACCCCAGGTTTTTACTTCATTTCGAAACCCGTCTTATAGTAGTGCTTCTATCACGAGCCCCATGTGGATATATCGGGTAGTTTACTATATGGGCCAGATTTTCCGGTTAATGAGATGCGCTGCCAGCGACCTGGGCTCTCCGACATAGTATAAAGTTGGGATGTCTACCCCGGATCTTGCTCCCACACGAACTGTGCATTTGCAGTCGCATTATCCGTCACTATGCGCATCACAACAGCCGGTCTTGCCCTCGTCGGCCTGATACCGAACATGGCTCTCGGCAGCCCATTAGACGGCAAGCACACGCTTACTAGTCGGGCCGGGACTTTCAACAACCCAGTCCTATGGGAGGACTATCCTGATCTGGATGTCTTCCGGATAGGCGATGTATTCTACTACTCATCGTCAACGTTTGCCTACTCGCCAGGCGCGCCGGTGCTCAAGTCCTACGACCTCGTCAACTGGACTCCAGTAACCCACAGCGTGCCCACGCTGAACTTTGGTGCGAAATACAACCTCGACAGCGCAGCGGACCGCTCTTACGTCAAAGGTATCTGGGCCAGCTCACTCAGGTACCGCAAGTCAAACGACAAATTCTACTGGATGGGATGTGTTCAATCAACTGGCCAGACATATATCTGGACTTCCGCTGGATCCAACGCAGCTGCCAACAATGGCGAAGTTTCGACCTGGAACTGGCAATCCGCAGGCAGCATCCCCAAATGCTACTACGACAACGGCATCTTCATTGATGACGATGACACCATGTATGTGGTGTACGGCAACACGCAAATCTCGGTTGCCCAATTGAACGCCGCCGGCACGGCGGAGGTCAAGAGCCAAAGTGTCTACAAGGATCCCAACGGCGTCGTTCTCGAGGGCTCCCGCTTGTACAAGATCAAGGGAATGTACTACATCTTTTGCACGCGCCCCGCAAACGCAGAGTATGTGTTGAAGTCGAAGAGCCCATGGGGTCCATACACGGCGCAAATTTTGCTTGACAACATCAGCGGACCTCTCTCCAGTGCTGGTGTCAGCCACCAAGGTGGTGTAGTCGACACCAAAGATGGTAACTGGTACTATGTCGCTTTCATGGACTCTTACCCTGGTGGCCGTATCCCCGTTGTTGCGCCCCTCACTTGGACGAGCGACGGATGGCCACAGCTTGTCAAGGTCAATGGCGCGTGGGGAAAGTCATACCCCATGCCCGTCACAACATCCAAGACCGTGCCGCCGCCAACAGGAATCGACAAGTTCACCGGATCATCGTTGAGCGCGGCGTGGGAATGGAACCACAACCCCGATAACACGAAGTGGAGCATGGCAAGTGGTGGTGGTGTGAACCTACAAACTACGACTGTTACACAGGATATCTACCAGGCGCGCAACACACTCACGCACCGTATTCTGGGACCAAAGTCATCGGGAACCTTCCGCATCGACATCAGCAAGATGAAGAGCGGTGATCGCGCAGGTGCTGTGCTCTTCCGAGACACCGCTGCGTACATTGGTATCCACAAAGACTCGTCCGCTACAAACCTCGTCATGGTCAATGGTATTGCCATGAACAGTGATTGGTCCACAAAGTCCACTGGCTCTGTTGCTGCCACAGGACCTTCTATTCCTGCAAGCACGACGGATCTCTACCTGCGCATCCAGGCGGACATTACGCCAGCGTTTGGTACTAATACCGCCAGGCAGAACACTTTCTGGTATAGCACAGATGGAACCAACTTCAAGCAGCTCGGCCCGGCTTTCGGTATGTCAAACACTTGGCAGTTTTTCACTGGATACCGATTCGGTGTATTCAACTTTGCGACTCAGTCTTTGGGTGGTAGTGTGTTGGTGAAGAGCTTTGACTTGCAGTTGTTGTAGTTCAGGCATGTACCAGTATATAAACAGCAATCAATTGAATTATATAGATGCGACAAACATTGGTCCTGATTGTAGCACTCTTAGTGACTACTCTGCAGCCATGAAATTGTTTCAAGATGTGGAGAATATTTGCCAGTTCTCCACCCACTCGAGACTTACAACGCTTTCAATTGGGTCACTGCGAACACGTCCATCGCGAACACGTCTTCATTCGGCAACACTACCTATGTAACGAAAATCGTGGGTAATCTCCTTGCGGACCTCCCCGTCGGCACGGACTACAATGCCAGTACCCATACATCGATCGCTGGTTCACTCACGCGCTCACTTCGGCGGATACAACAACCCAAGTCTCAACGCCATCTTGAAATTTTGGCTTGGCGATGAGAATCGATCTATTGGTGTATCCAGGAAAGCTCAGGCTCACCTCATCGCAAAGACCAAGGACCCCGGTATCAACCCCGATGCCAGCTTTGTTGCTTTCTCGCGCGCAGTTCCTATATATGATTGTATAAAGGGCACCCATCCGACAATACAAGAGGTACCTACGCTGTACTTACAGACCACTTTCACGGAAATATGTCTAGGCCTACAAAAGTCTAAATGCACATGTTTGTGGTAACACCTGGGTTGGCTTCAAATGGTTTTGTAAATGTTCATGATCATTCGTGATTGCTATTTGATACAGTGCACTCAACCGCCAACGGACTATGACTCTGAAGCTTGCTTGGTGGTGCTCTGTCCCTTTCGTTTGTCCTTTCCTGCGATACGAGGGTCACTTGCGACAATATAGCTATTTAATTTTCCTAGTCATCATCGTTGTCAGAGTCATCGTCACCGCCACTACCTGCGCCTGCCGCTCCAGCTACCGCGGCAATAGCATTGCTAGATGCCGCGACGGGCTGTAACGCTGTTGCAGCGACAGCTTCGAACTGCGCGGATACAGCAGCTCCCAGCCTCGCCGTGAACGGTCCAAAACCGCGCTCGTGGAAGTCGAGACGAGCTCCAGGATCTGCGGAGTTCCCGAGAGGCGGTTTCTCAGACAAGGCCCAGCCCATGACAGCGTTCCCTGAAGTGTCCATGCTTAGGCCCAAAGTCGAGTCGATGCAGTTCTCGCACAAGAAGGTGTAGCTCAAGAAAGTTGCATTGACAATCGTTCCGTCAGGAATGGGGCGTACGCTGAATGCTCCCGTCACCTCTGGCGGATTATCTTCGTCGGTCGCTTGTCGGAAAGAGGCCATGACATCGCCTTTGCCATCGGGCCATACGGCGAGAATGAAGTTGCCTTCCATGTCACCAGTGAGTCCCATGGCGCCCCATTCCTGACCGTTGACGAGAGGAAAGCTGATTTGGCCGATGAAAGAGCTTGTGCTGCCTGCTGTTGCAGTCGATGAAGACGTGGCGAAAGCGAAGCCGAAGGAGGTGCGCGCGCCGAAGAACCGTTCCATCTGAAGACCCGTGTTCTGGTCAACGAAAGGAGCTGAGAATGTACTGGCTGAAGATGTGGGTTCGTCATCATCGTCGGCGTAGGCCAGAGTTGCGAGGAGACATGCCAGCATGGTCACCACCAAGATGTCGTAGATCCTGATAGCCTGGCCACGCATAGAAGATGGGGCACCCTTGTTAAGGCACAGTGAGAGAGGCATGCTTGATTCTCGAGTATAAGCTTTAGAAAGCTTGCTTGATGAGATATGGCTGTTGATTTATCTAGGCAGGAATGGTCCAATACAATATATACAGTCCTAACGTGTGCAATGTAGCGGAAGACAAAACATGACGTGCACAAGTTGTGACAGCTACGGCATTTCTCGTCAAGAATCCATAGGCAACAAAATCATGCCTTCAATGATTATGGTTAGACGTCAAGAGTAGATCAAGCATGCCAAGCTCTAAGCAAAGAGAATTGGCTATGAAAGCATTGGTGGCTCCGCCAGTGGCTGAAGGCGCCTCGTTTCGTGACAAATGCAGAAGGTACCGAGGTTTCGAAGACTCACACTATCCTAAGTATTTTGTCGACGACACCTGGAGGATTTCTGTCTCTTCGATGTCAAGGCAGGTTTTGGCGATTAAGGCGGCAGGACTAGCGGATATCGGCAAAGTGGTGGGGCTGCAGATGGCTCAACCGCGATGCCTGAGGGAAGTTCGGTTTCAGTGTTTTGCACGCAACAACCTGCAACCAGAGATTGGACGGTCATCGAAACATACTGCGGGTTGACAGCCTTCACCTGTCATTGTAATTGTAATTAACTTCGCGGGGATATCTGAAATCAACGAACAAAACTGCGTTCTGTGTTCTGTCATCCGTGGACAACGAGGCGCAGAAACCCATAAAGCAGGCCGAGGTTAGAATCGTTGACCTCGAATCACTCACAACCGCCGGTTTACAAACGTACCCCACGAAACTAGCTAGGGTCATCGTTTGAGGGACCGCATGCGGCCCATGCATTCACAATGTATCATGCAGATTTCAGAACAAGCGAAGCCCGGGTACCGCTCTGACGTTCTTGAAGTCTGTTACATACATATGTAGTCATGTGCGGTCACGTGCTTCATACGGAAAGCGACGAGTACCACAGCACGACTGTGCAAATCATGGAAGCTGATAGACAAGCGCTCGATAGTCAGCTAACCTGTGTGACATGAAACACTTGGTCGTGAGAGTGTAGGTAAACTGTACTGTTATATTCCTAATAGGTGTATTTGGCGCCTACAGTGACTTTTGTATATTAGTGTGTTAACTATCTCACGTCACCCATGTGGCCCGTAGATATCACACGAGTACCCTACTTCTTCTCCAAGCGACTCTTTTCATCCTTGAGGATTTCTTCGACCGTGTCCTCGATGCTCACCCCCTGCGGTTGCCAGCCCACGAGCTTCTTCGCGCGCTCTGCCTTGCCACGACTGTTGAAGCCCCAACTGACTGCTTCGAAACCAGCTTGTTCGATTGCCTTCTCCTTGCCGAGCTCGCGTTCCTCCAATTCCTTTTTCTCGACGAGCCCTAGCTCGGTCGCTTTCTTGCCCATGAGACGCGCAAGATCAGCCCAAAGATGCTCACCATTCTCAACCAAGTAATAGCCCTGCTCGTTCCACAATCTTGCATCGGTGTTGTTAGAGACGGCGGCTTCGGTCAAAAGAACGAAAAGCTGCGCGAGATCCGAGACGTGGACACTGTTCCATCTCGCTTTACCTTGACCAATGATGGGGATGTATTGGCCAGTGAGAATCAGGTGCGCAAGCTCGTAGGCCTGTCTGCTTCTAGTGTTCAATGGTCCTCGGCCGCGTCCGTATATGGTTGGCGGACATAAAATTGCGGTCTTAACCGATTCAGAGCCAGCTAAAAGCACCAAGTCGTCGACATTCTTGTGAAAAGCATCTTTGGGTAGGCCAGTCAAGTCTTGCACAGCCGTCCAGTCGTTGTACTCTCGCTCTGACCACTCACCCAAACGGTTGTCGTCCCGCATGGTTTCCCAACACAAGATACCAGTACCGCCTGTATGCAGCCAAAATCCTGGCTTCTCCTTGGAATGGCCGGATGCGAGACCCTTGGCAATGGCTTTTGCTGCGCCCTCGTGGTCTGACGCATCTGCGGTATCTAAAATTGTGAGCATCGTTCTAACCATACGATGGTTGCAAGGGATCCCTACGTATGACCACATCTGCCTTTGCAGCTTCTTCTTCTAGGATCTCGGCATCTTCAAGACCTCCAAGGACAATGCGGACCTTGGGAAATGCCTCTTTCACAACCTTGCCTTTCTCCTCTTCGCAGACGTTAGCGCTATCTACGTATCATGATTTCCGCATTTGCATATACCTGTTCTTACAAGTGCTGCAATGTCATAGTGTGCGTGCTTATTGTAGAGTGCAAACAGCGTGTCGCCGCCGATGTAGCCTGTCGCCCCGGTGCTGTAGCCATAATTAGGGATAAAGCCATGCTGTGAGGTCTGATCACTCACAGAAATATATTCGGTGACATTTTGAGGAACTCTGTTGAGTTAAATACTGAAGAATAAATTAGTTAGAAGTTCGTACCTTTTGTGCTCGTGGGGATGGTTGTGTCTGCACGCCTGTGCATGACGTCATGACGGTAGATTCGTTGCCGTTGGAAGAACTTTTAATCGCACGGCAAGTCCTACACTTAGCGCCCTCAGTCGCGGACGCTGTTCCGTTTCCTATTGCAAATCAACGTCTATCATCGGATATCGAAAGCTAATCTGGCAGAACGAAAAATCTGGTGGGGACTGCGAGATTGAACACGTCGCGACTCATGTTGAGAGATGAAGTTTCATCATAGGTCGTTCATCGCAAATAAATCTCGCATACGTAATGCAGGTCCCGAAAGCATGTGGAGAGTTGGGCGACTAAAGTCGCGCAAACTAGATCCGCAACAGGGTGCATACTATAACCTTCGTTGGGGATATCAAGGTCATGAACACTCGCTAACTACATCACGCATGTGGTACAGTCACAATGTGAATAAAGAGGGTAGGTATTGATAAAGCCACAGTGGTTGTGTTGGCTATCTCTGTGACAAAAGAGTAAATTTAAGGTACCTCTAAAACTCAAATACACTCAGACAGCCGAAACACTGCCTCTCATGCTCATCTACCAAGCCACCATCGCGAAATTACCCAAGAGATACATGGTCGAACAAGATCTTCTTTTCCCAACTAAGATTCATTCCCTAGGGAAGAGGGGAGAGGATGGACAATACTCACGCGACCTCTTTCACCTCAGAAAATTGCTTGCCGGCTGTAAGAAAGCCATTCTTCTTTCCATCTTTCAGCACCATGTCCATGAAAGCAGCACAGTATGCGTTAGTTATTTGCGACATTATGATACCTTTAATAGTACCCAGGATATCTCCTACCTCGGCAGGTAGATGTCCTTCCAGTCCCAGCGCCGATGTGACCAGGGGTAGGTCTGAGAAGCTGTAGTGTGCAGCGCCGTTCACTTCAAACTCCTTCTTCCAACCCTTCAGCTGTGACCAGATCGCTTTCCATGACGGGTCAGTTTCCTGGGTCTTGTTCTCGTGGCCCATGAGCATAAAAGGGCGATCAAGGCCGGCCTCCACTACGGGACCAAAAACCGAACCATCAAGGTTGAATCCACCGCGAAGCGAGGGTACTTGCATCACTGCATTGGCTGCAGCTGCACCGCCTAAAGAATGTCCGAAAACAGCCATCTTAGGTACGCTGCGAGCGTGCAATCTCCCGGCGAACATCTTCTCGACTGCTGAAGCATTCTTCATCTGCTCGGACACAAAGACGATATCAGCAGCTCGCGTCTTGACAGAAAGTTCAATCTGAGCATCACTGTCTATCTCAACACCAGTTACGACGGTACCGTCGGGAAATTCGACAAAGTCGGCGTCGTAAGGGTGGTCGATGGAAAGTACCAGGTATCCAGTGGCCGCGAGACTCTGGAGCATGGCGCTATATAGATATCGAGATGTACTGAGCGCCCCTGAAAACAGTACGAGAGGGAATGAGCCAGAATTGCAGGCCCGCCCACGTGTGGCCGTCTCATTGCACGATGGAAGATTGAGCGACTGGAAGAACCCATTCGGAAGTCCATATATGCCAAATTTCTCGTCCATGAAAGATGCAGTCGCCTCAGGCATGTAGGGAACGATGTTCTTCTGACGGCACGTGTTGACGGGAGAAAAGCTCGACACCATGATGGATCTAGCGCGACCATCATTTGCGTATGGATCCAGTCGGTCATTGTCGGTGAGGGATGTAGATGTGATGACAACATCGTAACGGTGGGATCCGACTATGGGAAGAATGGTTTTGGCCGTGGAAAGCAATGGCGAGAGTAACAGAAGTATGAGGGACAGTGAAGTTCTGAATGCCATATTGTCGAGATTAAAGATTGCGACAAGTTTTGCCTGGGGATGCAAACGGAATATCGAATAGAGATGGCAAACTGTTATGATGATGCTTTGCACAGCTACCAGGACGAAGTAATTGTATCAATGGCTCAGCGACAAACCTTCCTTGAGGATATTCAGTCATTCCCGGTGCGCTGCATTATGACCAAACTGGGCCAAGTAAAGCGGATACAGGTGTACGACGGATTCCCCCAGCCTTACGCAGAGCCTCTTGTATAATTGTCTTAGCCGGCATTTCGCTGGGTATACAGAGGGCTAATCCCGAATAAGCTTAGGCGCGTTCTTTCACTTCCCAATACGGCTAAGCCTCATGGTAGCGCCTGGGATACATAGGTAGTGTCCGCTGCATGTCGGTTTACAAACGCGCAGTACCACTTCCTAACACGTCTTTCCAACGCTTTGAGGCATATCGGTAGATCTGCTGGTAATACACCTTCAACGACAATTAGTGTCGGTCAGCCGCAACCACAGCACGCTTCGAGCTCATCTTGATCTGGTTTGACGTGCATATCGCAAATGATTGGGCCATACGATGGGCGTCGGTCCAAAAGAAAAAGATGTGGAGCATGTGCTAAGCGTAAGATCAAGGCGAGCAATTCCGACATGGAGATGATGACAGCACTGACGGAGCGATAGTGTGATGGAGGCGCACCGTGCGACTATTGCCGTTGGAAAGGCCTGGCCTGCGTATTCCCAACTCCACCTGCCACACCGAACTTCGTGTTTGTGGGCAATGAGCCTGCTGTGGCTACAGTTGCTTCACAAGGGCAAACGAAGCAACTTCAGATCTTGCCATCTGTCAATATGAGCCAATTGGAGTATGATATGACCTACTTCTTCGCCTGTTTTCTGCCCATGAACACTGTTCATAGTGGGAGCTATCTATTCCAGGGCCAACTGGAGGACATGATGCATGTCACCCCTGACCTCAGGGACGCGCTGTGTGCCGTAGCCGCACTTCATAGGTCCCGGCTAGCTCAGTCTACGACAGCGACGGGGAAACACCCAGAGCCACCCGACGTCGCTCTACAGCTATATGGAAGGTCGGTGAAAAGCATTAATCGTCGCATTATGTGCAATACGTTCGCAGGCGATTGCTCTATGCTATGGACAACGTTCTTCCTTGGGCTTTTCGAGGTACGTTTCCATCATGTTAACAAGACTTCTTTCCTTCTGATTTCGCTCAGCTCATGTGTGACCCAACTGGAAACAACTGGCTCGCGCACTTCCTCCATGGAACATGCGCAATTCTGCGCCTCCTGCAACCTTCAAGTCTTGCGTGCAAAGATCAGCACAGTACATATACTCGCACCTTCTTTCTCACGACCCGGATCTTCGAGATTTCCCGCGCCTTGATCTACTCGGAACCTACTTTTCTCAGCGAAGCTGTATGGGCGAATGCACTTGCAAGGTTCTGGAGTGGTGAAGGTGCAGCCGTGTGGCATCCAAAAGAATCGCTCTTCGACATGTTGCCGAGCGTCTCTGAATTGAGTATACGAGCCCTTCGCTTTTGCAGTTTTGAGGCAGTTTCCATGTCTGATCAAATGCAACTCCAGCGGGCACAAGATCTGGGTGCTGAAGGACTGTTGCTTCGGCAAATGCTTCAAGAGTGGTGGGAAATGAGCAACACATGGCAGCATACTTCACAAGAACTAATATTAGACTCGGAGCTTCTTTTGGGGCACGTGTACTATCATGCCATCAGCATATACCATTCCGGCACTTACGACTACCACATGCACTGGACTCAGCCCGGTTCGCCAGATGCGCCAATCCTCGCTCAAAGTGAGATTGATTGGCACACGCGTGAGATTCTTCGGCTGAGCCGAGAATTGTTGGCTTGTGGAGTCGCGGGTGTGCTTTTGTTCTTTCCTTTGAGGGTTGCTGGTGCGCGTGTCCAAAGCTCTCGAGAAAGAGAAGATATTTTGGATCTGCTGTACGTAGTAGTGCAGCGCGGATATGTCGTCGGTGATGCAATCACATCGGATCTCGCAGAGTTTTGGGAGTGCAGTCGTGTTCCGTAGAAGTCTCAATGCATTCACCGCGATGACCACAAGGTCGAAGGCCTATCGGGTTCTCTCAGACGTGATATCCTCTTGATCCAATCACGTTGGCCCTATTCCTCTCTGTGGCGCCTTGCCTTGTTGGGCGTAGGCGGGAAAATGGCTTGGCGAACCGCAGCTGCGCTCACAGCTTTCTAGAATCAACGTCAACGCCGTCAACCCACCCATTGTACCCCGACCACGACCGCCTGTATCATCACAATGGCTCTCGGACCCAGCGAAAACCACGCGAAGACTAAGACCACGTACGTCCAAGCTCCTACCGCCGACAATGGCTCCCACCTTCCCCGAAAACAGGCGCGCTTCGAATGCCGTCATACGCAACACCCCCATACAAAGACGGAGTAGGACGGCACACGTACTGACACTGGTATAGATGGCACATTGGCTCATGGGGTAACCCGTACGAGGGCGGCGGCCGACCCGGCAAGGGCGTCGTTACCTACGCACTGAGCCCCAACCGACAGCGCCCCATGGCCACTTTCATTGCCAAGGGCTTCTGGAACGTCGTGCGCCGATCAAGGAACCAGGTCCTTTACTTTATCCCGCCGCTTGTCGTCGCATACGGAACTATGCAATGGGCCATTGAGAGGTGAGTCGATAATACGGATCGGGGGTGAAGATGTGCATGAATTGGGACAGACGGCATGGGGTCAGAGGCTGACAACAGCAACAGGAACGAATTCCTCAACTCCAAGACCGGACGTGCCCTGTACGGCGATGAGGAGGAGTAAGGCAAAGACCGGATAGAGAGTTGTTGGTGGGGTGTGTGCATGTTCAGAAAGGCAGCTGATCGGATGCCGACCTTGACAGTTTTCTTTGCAGAGTCACCAAATAGACTGTACAACCAATATTTGCATCATCTCCGTCTTTCCCGATTGTCCGAATTATATCAAGTCCCTCCAAGTCCACTCACAGTCTATCTTGGTTGGCATTGGCGCCACTTTCTACTATATGAACGTCTGCAGCCCATCACATGGCCCCTCTTTCAACACCTCATACTCAGGTACGACGCCACCTGCGAAAGGCGCAGTGATGGTAACAGTTTCCTGATCACTGGGATACATGGTGATATGCCCCTCGCCTGTTGTGTCAGCGGCGATGACCAAACCGCCTCTTCCACCAACCAGCCATAGCTCCTGAGAGCTGTCTTGAGGCAGGGTGACGTGGGCAAGACCGGCGATGAAGTGTACGAGCCTCCAATTTGTTAGTGTGAGTTCTTCATGGGTAGAAGGAAAATAAGTGAGCTACATTAAATATGCAGCAATCATGCAGCAGCAGAAGTATAACTATATATCTACGCTAATGAATTGACTTAGTTACTCACTGAGGTACAGGCGCTCTATGCAATCCACCATTGAACCGCGGTGGCTGAATTACGTAGGCTACGTTTGTAGCATTGCTCACGGTTGCGACGCGGCTTCCAGTGATGCCTGCCTGCGAAGTCACAGCGAACGGACTATGTTTAAGGCGCCAGCATTGGATTGCAGTCGTGTTCTGTGGCGTGGTCACTAAAGCCGGGACAGTGAGGTAAGTCGTGTTCGCGCTTGAAGTTTGCGCGAACGCGGAGAGGCAAAAGCAGAGGGCGGAGATGTACGGAGATAAGTACATGTTACAGGCTGACGATGAAGAGATGAAAACACGGGCAGCTACACGACTTTCTATATCCAACCCGAGGATTACTCAGAAAGTCGCATTTCGGCAAGTCAGTGCTGATTACGCGCCATCGCGTTCCGGTTGATCTCACTGCAGTCGGACCGTGATGAGGTGTGGTGAATGGTGCAGGGCTAATCGATTGGTGCGTGCCCGTCGATGTATCAGACATGGCTATGCTTGCGAGTTGGTGGCTAGCCGGAGGCTGCTTGGTGGTACGATGACAGTGAATGCATACGCCATAATGAGCATTGTTGGTACGCCAGGCGGCGATGAAGAGTTGATGGCAGCTTGACGTGGGCGCGACGTCCGGTGCAAGTCTAGGTTCGAGGTCGGGCGGATCGCTTAGTCAGTCGGCGCATCGGTGGCATGGGAGGAACTTCGATGATTCTGTCATATCTTAGCTTTCGCCATCAGTGCGTACCCGCCACTATAGACACTCTCACTGCCAACGCGCAGTCGTCTCTTCGGCGTGGTATCCCTTTCACTCTATTAACTTGTACTATACCCTTACTTTCCATTCCCTTGTATTTCTTCGCTCAATTCCATACACGACTGCTACACGGCCATGTCGACACTTCTCCGCCGATCAGGCAACCTAGCGCGACTTTCCCGACCTGTCCTCCGCCTCGACGCCTCGACGAGGGCACCGCGCACATTACGAGCACCAATACCACAATGTATATACTTCCAGCAGCGGGCACGGCGGTTTGCGACTGGATCACCAGAGGAGCCGAAAGGCAGCAAAAATGACAAGAGGGAGGACGACAAGGCCGGGCCCAGTGAGCCTGCAAAGGCGGAAGATTCAGGAGAGTCGGGGGAGCAGATCAAGATGAGCAAATTGACAAAAGAGGAGGAAGAGCAACTGGACAAAATAGTGGCTTTTGTTTCCATGGGCGTACCAAAGTCGCAGAAACAGAATGTCAAGGAGGCAATGGATGAAATCAAGCGGACGGGGATACCAGCGGAGCTTCGGGAAGAGATGGATAAATTGGAGAGAGGCGAGAAGCTGGACTTGGCTACAGCGGCAAAGATATCACGGTTAACCACAAAAATGGCACGCAAGGCAGCCGACCAACACGTCTACGAGGACAAAGCTACCAAGGACGATGCGGCCAAGGAGCCACAGCAAAAGGCGGGCGCACACGATCCAGGCCCAGGAAAAGGCCCCAAGGGTAGCGCTGGCGGTGCTGGAGGCCCTGGCGGCATGGACACCAACACAATGATCATCAGCGCCTTCCTCGCATACATCACCTACAGGGCAATCTACCCAGGCGAGAACTCAAAGGAAATCACATGGCAGGAATTCCGCACAACTTTCTTGGACAAGGGACTGGTTGAGAAGATTGTCATCCTCAATGGCAACAAGGCCAAGGTGCACCTGCACCGCGAGGCCGTCGCATCCATGTATCCCGACTCTCCCGCCATCAACCAGGGCTTTTACTACTACTTCACCATTGGCTCTGTCGAGGCTTTTGAACGTAAGATGGACGAGGCACAGTATGAGTTGGGCATCCCTAGCTCAGAGCGGATACCTGTTGCATACTCGAGCGAAATCTCCTGGTTTGGTACCTTCCTGTCATTCGGCCCTACTATACTCCTTCTTGGTGCTCTCTTCTACTTCACCAGACGTGCTGGAGGCGGTGCAGGTGGCGGTGGCGGTGTCTTCGGCATGGGCAAGAGTCGCGCAAAGAAGTTCAACCACGAGACAGATGTCAAGGTCAAATTCTCCGACGTCGCTGGTATGGACGAGGCCAAGCAAGAGATTATGGAATTTGTCTCCTTCCTCAAGGATCCCAGTCGATTCCAGAAACTCGGTGCAAAGATACCCCGCGGCGCTATTCTGTCTGGCTCACCCGGTACTGGTAAAACACTGCTTGCGAAGGCTACCGCCGGAGAGTCGGGCGTACCATTCTTCAGCGTTAGTGGTTCCGAGTTCGTGGAGATGTTCGTTGGTGTTGGTGCCTCACGAGTTCGAGACTTATTCGCCAATGCCCGCAAGAGCACGCCATGTATCATCTTCATTGATGAAATCGACGCCATCGGCCGTGCTCGTTCAAAGCAGAACTTTGGTGGTGGCAATGATGAGCGCGAGGCTACCCTCAACCAAATATTGACAGAGATGGACGGTTTCAACACTACTGAGCAAGTAGTAGTACTCGCAGGTACCAACCGACCGGACGTTTTGGACAAAGCCCTCATGCGACCTGGTCGGTTCGACAGGCACATCAACATTGACAAGCCTACTATGGATGGTCGAGGACAGATTTTCGGTGTGCATCTGAAGAAGATCATCACAAACGAGGACCTGGAGTTCCTGAAGGGTAGGCTCGCGGCTTTGACGCCAGGCTTCTCTGGTGCCGACATTGCCAACTGTGTGAATGAAGCTGCTTTGATTGGTAAGCCTTACTTCTGTTGCATGCATGTCTCAAACTAACATACAACAGCTGCCCGCGCTAACGCTGATACCGTGGCCATGGTGCACTTCGAACAAGCCATTGAGCGTGTCATCGGTGGTCTCGAGAAAAAGTCACTGGTCCTCAAGCCCGAAGAGAAGAAGACGGTTGCCTACCATGAAGCTGGCCACGCCATCTGTGGATGGTACTTCAAGTGGGCAGACCCCCTCCTCAAGGTTTCCATCATCCCTCGCGGTCAAGGTGCACTCGGATATGCTCAATACCTCCCCAACGGCGATACCTACCTTATGAACGTAAACCAGCTCATGGACCGCATGGCAATGACACTTGGTGGACGTGTTTCCGAGGAACTGCACTTCGAGACGGTAACCTCTGGTGCGTCAGACGACTTCCGCAAAGTGACGGCAATGGCGACTGCCATGGTCAGTAAGTGGGGCATGAGCAAGAAGATCGGCTACATCTACTTCGAGGACGGTGAGGGCCAACAACTCACCAAGCCCTTCTCCGAAGACACAGCAAAGAACATCGACATGGAGGTCAAGCGCATTGTCGACGAGGCATACAAGCAATGCAAAGACTTGCTTACAGAGAAGAAGCATGAGGTCGGTCTCGTTGCTGAGGAGCTACTGAGGAAGGAAATGTTGGGTCGGGAAGATATGATCAGACTACTTGGACCCAGGCCATTCGAGGATAGCCAAGACTTCCACAAGTACTTTTCAGGCGAATATGGCAAGGCACCTGGCTACATCGAGCCGAAGGGGAATGACGGGGTCAAGGGACCCCTGGTTCCACCCAGCCCAGCGACTTTCAAGGACTTGGATGCAGGACGGTGATACCTGTAGAGGTTTATTTTGTCATGCATAACATGAGCTGGACAGTCGGGCATGATGGGGGGGTTTCATTCCACTCTACCGGTAGAGATGCATGCGCAACTTGACTTGTAGCATAGAAGCGCATTCTGTACAATATTGTCCATCTGGCGCTCAAGCGACTAGAGGAAAGATATTCATTGTAAAGTTCATCGTTCTTGCATGTGCTCGTGTCTGGTGGTGATGTATTGTGGAAGACAGGCAAATGGTGCCAGGATGGGTGTGCGGCGGACGTGATGCCGGCGGCTCAGCTCCCTAGTCCCACATTTCGCCTGCGCCCCAAGATCAGCGTCATGGCTCCACAGCACACCATTAGACTTCAACACGAGGCGTCCTGGGCGCCTAAACTCTTGCGCCCCCCGCGTGCACATAGCAAGGCGATGCTGCGCCCCAGGCTAACAATAGTATCCTTATAACCACCATCACACAAGCCCTCATTGACCCATCATATCTCATTAACCTTCTCAACTCACCCATCGACAGCATCTCACCATGGGCCGCTGGACAGACATGGACAGTGTACGCAGGCCGCCTTATGCTCCATGTAGCCCCTCTCAACTCTAATACCCCATCACAGGATGCACAACGCCTACCCCCTGGTTACGAGCGTATCGGCTACGACGCCGACAAGCAAACATACACGTTCCGCGACGCCGACGGCAACATCTACGAATCCGAGCCTGGGAATCGCTACAGCAAGTTACGTGCGACGGGCGAGCGGTATTCAATTGATTCAGAGGCCGAGGCCGAGGCGAGACTGGTGCAGGACGAGGTTATGGAAAGCGGGAATACGGAAGCGGTGAGGATGATGATGCCTTTTGCGCTGATTGTGCTGGTGTTTATGATCTCCGTGTTCATCCTGGTGAGGTGAGGGCTGTGAGGTGTAGCGAGGGATATCAGAGGGCGGAGATTCGTCAGGGTGATACATATGAGGCCATTGCGAAAGTGGAGGTGCAGAGGCTGCTGAGGTTACATGGGAATGAGAGGCTGAGGACTGGGCATCTGCGTGCCGAATTGTGGGCAACTGATCCGATGATAAGCAGTATGCATTTGGTTGTCTGGCATTTGCTACGAGTGCATATGTCTACTTCCATTACCCTTATCAAAAAATGCATGAGTTGCTTGTTGCAAAGCATCCCATCGCTCTCCAGTATATCCGCTCAGCACGTCTCTTTTGGAAAAGCCAGTAGTTTGGCTTGCCGACTACAGCCCTCTAGATACCAAATGATACACTCCGGCCATGGCCATGATGCATTCCATATCTCCTGGGCATACACGAACCAGATCCCACGTCTCTTACCAATACTTCCGCCGCTAGTCACGGTTGTTGATACAACGTCTGCACTGCTCCATACGGCAAATGCTGCACCGCATAACCAAGTTCAGATTAGTGCCATCACAACGTGCGCAAGCCGTACCACGTTGAGGTCTCCAAACATGCTGACAAACGACGGGAGCCTCTTCGAGAGCTTCTGGCCTACGCCCCATAATATGGCCCTCGTCGGACTTCGGGCAGGTACAAGTCTTCCACTTCTTACCACAGTTATAGCAGAACTCATAACCGCAGCGACAACTACAATCTGTGAGATTCACGGGAATTCATGAGGAAGGACACAGTAGGCGTACCTGATATGGAAACAACCATGATCTAGCTCGACCATGTTCTTGCATTGCGAGCAGCGCTGCCACATCACCTTTTCTGCTGCAGCAATGAGAAGCTTCGTGTCATCATCTTCAGGACAGACACCCTTGTGCGCTTTGTTCTTGCAAGTTGTGCAGGTTGCGGTGTTGCAGCTACGGCATTCGGCAGTGCTATCCTTGGTCGTTTCTTCGGGAATGCGCCGTCCGCATGTACTGCAGAAAGTGGCGTGCACGAAATCGTACTCTGCCTTCTTGATCCTGACTTCTTCGAGTAGCTTGTCCGGGAGGACAGATGAGTGTTCGTGCGAGCCAGAAGTGCTATTGATGTAGAAGGGAGTCGGTACTTTGCAGCAGCGGGGAGGGAAGAGAGTGGCGTCCTGATGAATGGAGAACCTGAAGAGGTCGATGATGCAGTCGTGGCAATAGATGTGCGAGCACGAGAGTTTCATGCTAACTTTTTCCTCCTTGTCGTCACCGCAGGCACAGCACATGGCGGTTGGCTTTGGCTTTGGGTATAGCTTCGACCTGAGACCTTTCTTGGGCGGTCGTACGGTTAACTTTTGAACGCGGTCGTTGTCGCTATCAGATCCTTCGCTGCTGTATTCTGATGCGGCGAACGAGACAGCAGAGTCTCCATCCAGATTATCCTGCTATATTGTCAGCCTGTGGGTATGCCTAGTGGACAATTTCGAGAATAAACTGAAGGAGAGAAGCGCAACTACCTCTTCATCAAAGAGCTCCAACTGGTCTTCCAGTACGTGACGGAGAATTTGGTAGCTCAACGCTGAGTCCGTCTCAAGCTCAATGTCTCGAAGAGCGTCCATGATTTCATCAAGCCGGATTTGGACAACAAGTTTGCCAGTAGCGTTGTCCAAACCAGTGACATCTATCGTGTACAGAGACTCAGACGCGTAGGTGTCGGGACAAGGTCTTGCGATGGCGGAAGCAGCTTTGCCAAATTGTTGGTGTGTGGGGTTGACTAAAATGAAGCGCGAGAGACAAACAAACTTGAGCGATTGCACTCTCTTTCCCGAAACGGCAAGTGGTGGATTGGATAAGATTGCTAGACTCTCGATTACCTAAATTGTACTAGGCCGTGAGTGTTACTCCATGGGACGTCTATAAGTGGCTTAGGGATATGTATAGACAGCTTGTGCGAAGCTTTCTTCGCGACACTATTGTTTCTTTTCCGAACACTACGACATTGCCCCATTTTACACACGTTTAAGGTTATCTGCCCTTCTTCTCGGTCATATTGCTGCAGCAAGTGTGAGTAGACAAGTGATGAGAGTGTGCTGTGATGCAAGGAGGATAATTATGTGCCCAAGGGCTGCATTGAGAGTGTATGTGCTAGAACCCTTCTTTGCCTTCTAGGGAAAGACGAGTGGTATTTATACGCAAACCAAACCCTCCAGACCATCTCACATGCGTTTGGTTACAGATAACACATGTTCGTATCATAGGGACCAAAGGTTCTCGTACATTTTCCAGTCATAAGAGGGCAATCTCATCTCGGTCAGTTTATATTTGTGAGGCAAGAGTTGAAAGTCCTCGGAAGAGCTCCCGTTAAAATGATGTAATCGATGGTTCTTCAGTTTTGCTATTCGTGTCATACAGGACCACCGTGTCTAGACCAGTTACCATGCATTCATATAAAGCAATTTCTTACTCAAGTCCCCATCTGTGTAACATGGCTCAATTCCGTCTTGGCTAGTTATTATTTGTGTTATATTGAGTAACCTCAACTCAACACCTCTGTTGTGTTCAAACCATGTAACTTGCAGGATCACAGATGCTAACATGCTGCCCGAATCTTGGAGTTATTGTAATAGTCTTATGAGTGACAGATCTAGTGGCTTGAAAACGAAATTGACATTTACTCGTTGTCAAACTGCTATGAGGTACACATCTTTTTACTTGGTTGAGTCAGATCTACCCACAACTAGCACGGCCATCTGCCAAACGCGGTCAACGCATTGCTAACCCAGTCGTCGAACCGTTTACGGGTGATGTCTTTCCTCACCGATGGTTCAGCAATGCTGTCCAGGCACATTCCTCGCTTGAACCAACACAGTACAACCTTATCTATCGCGCGGCTTTGTACTCTTAACAGCTACCATAGATTTGCAATTCCATTTAGTAGTTCCTGTTTTGGTAATACATCTTTCGCAAGGTTGTTTATACACATGTATCATTACATAACTAGGTCGCGTTCCACTACCTCACCATGGCACGTGCAACACAGCACCGCCATAGCGCGTGGGGGTGGCCCAACACGGTCTCGTGACACATACCACAGTAAGCCCAGACAGGACAGACTCAAGCCAAGCACTTCGGTATGTAGCTAGCCCGAGAACGAAAGGTTGCAGAAAAAAAGGAAACTAAATGGTGACCGAGAAAGGGCCCGATCTTGAGGAGCGGTGGCGTCCCTGGTTGCTACGCGAGTAAGCCACTTTGTGGGGACATGGTTAGTCTTGCATTGACCCTGCTTTTGATGGGCGTCTTGGGTCTGATAGTGCGGGCCTGGGTCGTGTGGGGGTGGAGTGCGGCTCCGGCGTTTAGGTGGCACGTGGGGACGTGCGTGGCAGGATATGGCAGTCATCTCTCGTGCGTGGTATCGGTGAGCAATGAGTAGGGTATCCTCACGCACCTTGCTGATGATGTTGGGTTGGATAACACGTAATGAAAATAAATCAAGATGACAATGCAAGTCCCGTATGCCGACACAGTGAAATGTTCATTTGATACTAACGACTGCCATTTACTTTAGAGACCAGACACCATTTTCTTGGATAATCTCAATGGGTCGGTTCTCGTCCAGCGATCTCCGGCCAGCCTCGAGAATTGCGGTTGTCGCGATGGTGTTCTTCAAAGTCGGTAGTGGCCGCGCATCGAGCTGGTCTAGCGTGACCTTGCCTGCGTTAAGGTTGTTGACAGCATCAATGAACTTCTCAAATGAGATGTATCCATAGCCCGTCTGCCCTGCAAAATTGCCCTCTTCATCAGGAGCGTACTTCATATAGAAACTGCACACGGTTAATATATGGATTTCGACTTGATGGATCATACGCATTGACTTACGGATTATACCAGAGCAGTCCGCCCTCGTCATCAGTGACGTCGTAGCCTCGCTTGGCCTGGTTGATACGAATCTCTCCAGTAGATGCCATGTAATGGAAGTATTGATTCGAGTGTACACCAGCCTTTTGTGGGGCTGCCCAACCTGCTGTGTAAACGCCCGTTCCAACCTTGCTGGGGTCATCCTTCTTCACCCAGTTGGTGAGAAGTGTGATTGTGTCCTCGGTGGCAGGGTCGCATCCCAGACCTGTTGCAATTCCCTTTGCGGCGCTAGCCATGACACGAACAGGTTTCCAGTCGGGAATCATCGATTCGTTGACGTCGATGTGGTGGGAGTTGAGGTAGTAGGAGATATCTGAATCAATACCTGCCCACGCTTTGAACGTCTCCAGCTGACTCCTGATTATCTCGTTAGTCACTGACACGGTTCTACCTGAGCATTTGACTGACTTTGGCTGGCTCATGTAGGAGTAAAAGTAGTTGAAGTCACCCAGCTTCTGTGCCCGGAAACGCGCATCCGCATAGGCGGGATCATATCGCTTGTGGTGCTCAATGTAAACAAACACGTTGTGCTTTTTTGCGGCATCAAGAAGCGCTTGATGGTGTTCCAACAGTTTCACTGCAGGCTTTGTGATCAAGACATGGATTCCACGTTCGATGGCATACAAGGCAATCGGGTAGTGAGTGGTATCAGGGGTGAAGATGGTGACTAGAATGCCGAAGGTCAGTCACTGCAATTTACAGTCTTTCTGTCCGCAACTTACTCGCACTGCCTTTTGGAAGCGCGTCAATAGCCTCCTTGTACGCGTTCGGGTCTGTTTTCCCTTGTTTCGGGAACTCGTCAAAAGATACATCCAGACCATTGTAGGCCTCGGAGATGTTCTTCTGCAGGTGCTCGCCTGGCTAAGATCAGCAATCTGCATCGGTAGAACAATCTACTCATAGGGCGACGTACGGATGGCGGGGAATTTGCCGCCCGATGTTCCAACCATGGACAGCTTGCCCACCTTGCCGCGCCTCCGGAGATCAAACAGCGTCAGTCCTACGACACCGACCTTCTTGTCTGATTTTGAGGCACCGCCTCCTACGAAACCAGTCGTGTACTCGCCAGTACCGACCTAGGTTTGAGTTAGCCCGAAAGAAGCCCACAATGGTGCGATTGTTGCACGTAAGCAGCCGATGACGCCGCATGGTATGATGTGTACACTACTCAAGGCGGTAATATGACAGGAGCGGTGTGAGACGGCATATATTGAGGGGTAGCTCACCATGAGAACTTCTACTGGCGCCATGATGAGGGTGGTATTTGGTGTGGCAATGAGGACGGGAGTGAGTGTTCAATTGGGATAGTCCTCAACTTGTGTAGTGTATTTGTGGGTGGTGGGCGCATGCAATACCCGACATGGCGTCGTCGGCATCTGAAGACTCGACGATAGCGACGGAAAATCATATAACTAGCCCAGAGACGCGATGAGGGGCACCCAACGCGTTCTGCCGGCAACCGCGGCCGGATGACGTTACGTTATGCCACGAGGCCCTCTGTGGACACGCAACGTACAGCAGGCCTCGTGCAATTTCCCAGCAGAGACAGCATCTCGAATGCGTCGTATAAACTCGGTACGCCTGCATCGAGGCGCGTGTCGGTCCATTTTCGGCGCATCAGGAAGTGCTGGGCTGGGGGGGGGTACCAAGTTTCCCCAGCCCAACCTTTTTTCACCCCACGCCCCCGCGCGTTTCCCATTGGGGAAACAACTTGGACACGTTTTCGCGACACGCAACCCCCCTTTACACAACCTCCACACCCCACGAATCTCCCGAGTTAAACATCTGTATAGAAAAAAGGCCACACTCTGTCGCACAGTTCGCACAGTTGTACCCCGAAACTCGCCAGAGCCCTGTACTCTTCTTCCACCCTAGTTGTCGCGCTGTCAGTGCCCTTGGCGAATGAGAGCGGTGCGTTCGTTGCCATCTCGACAACGGCCCTACGTAGGCGGGCCGTTGAGGCGCCCCAGTAGTATTGAGTGGTGAGAAAGTGGGATGGGATGAGGACCGCTCTCTGCCGAACTAAGCTGTGAATTACTTTGCGCCGACTGTCTCCATCTCGCTACTATATTAAAGCTGACCGAACCCATAGCCGCATCCTTCATTACTGTTTGGCCACTTCCTCTCTGCCGAATCTTGATTTCTGCTGCCTCTCCCTCCCTCTCTCTTTACCTTTTCATCATCTCCCAGCTTCGGCTTCGACATCCAAACATGGCAACAAACGGAAATGGGACCAATGCCCACAGGGAACGCACACCCCTCCGACCGGGTATCTACTCACCCACCATGACGTTTTTCGACCCGGAGACCGAGGAGCTAGACATCCCCGTCATCAAGAAGCATGCAGTACGACTAGCAGAGGCTGGTCTCGTCGGGCTTGTCACCATGGGGTCTAACGGCGAGGCCGTCCACCTATCGCGAGCCGAGAAGACTGCAGTTACGCGAGCAACCCGCGAGGCCCTAGACGAGGCTGGCTACCAAAACGTCCCTGTCATTGTAGGAGCATCCGAGCACGGCATCAAACTCACTATTGAGCTCTGCAAAGAAGCCGAGGCTGCAGGTGGCGAATACGTCCTCATCGTCCCTCCCAGCTACTATCGTTATGCCATTGACGAAGAGGCAATCTACGACTACTTTGTGAAGGTTGCGGACGGCTCACCCCTCCCTATCATTTTGTACAACTACCCCGGTGCTGTTGCAGGCATCGACATGGACAGCGACCTCATTATCAAGCTTGGCAAGCATCCCAACATTGTCGGCACAAAGTTCACATGTGGCAACACGGGTAAGCTCACACGTGTTGCCCTTGCTACCAATGCCTGCACAGCCAAAAGCAACGGTAGCGGCTACATGGCCTTTGGCGGCATGGCCGACTTCACAGCCCAGACAGCTGCTAGTGGCGGATCCGGCATCATCGCCGGTGGTGCCAACGTGCTTCCCAAGACGTGCGTCAAGGTCTGGAATCTGTGGGCCGAGGGCAAATATGACGAGGCCATTGAGCTGCAAAAGGTGCTCAGCAAGGGTGACTGGGTCCTCACCAAATCTGCCATCCCTGGCACCAAGTCGGCCATTCAGTCATATTACGGTTACGGCGGATACCCACGTCGACCGCTCAAGAGGCTGCCGCAAGAAAAGGTGGATGCGGTCGCTGAAGGGATCAAGGAGGTCATGGAAGTGGAGAAGAAGTTATAGCTCTAAACCCTGATTTTTCCCCTGCTGCTATGAAACACTTGCACTCGTCTTATCATTCCAATTTCAAGTTTTTCTCTTCTCTCTAGCAACGCACACCGCACCTTCTTTTTGCAGGTACTCGAGCGAAAAGCAACTTCTCACTTTGCATTAACGAAACATGGTTGTACATACATGTCCCTTGTTATCAGTCTTGTTTCCATCACACTTGAAAATTTGACATGTCGATGCATACCCCACATGTGCATGTCCAGGACCGTTATATCTCCCACGTGATATAGCATTTGCATGTAATTTCCTGAAACGGAACAATCCCCACAAAAACACATGCCCTGACGTGTCCCTGTCGATGTTGTGGATGAGACATGACTCGGTAACGTGAACGGTTTCAACGCAAGAACGCAAAGACGCGGGTCACGTGCTAGCGCGACATATTCGCATTGCAGGGCTGCATTAAGGTTTCGACGTACCCCACACCACCCTGCAATGGAACACCCCTCATCTTACAGTGACATTCGGCGTGGTGGCCAGTGACATACATGTGTACATGGTAATGCGATTACATCGTCTGTGCGTCCATCACGTTTTCTTGCACACCGATAGTGCTCATACCCGGCGTGTCGCAGTCGCGGTCGCGGACCCCCAGTTATCCTACCCTGCCCTCATTTCTATCAACCGTGCAGACCCATCTTTGGCAGCCGTTGAGACCAGACCACCAGCTCCAGGGTCCCCGTCGACGCTCATTACTCACAGACACCACCACCAGCCACACTCCGCACGTCTCATCTCTTCCACTCCACAATTCGCGGTTACCGGTACTCCGCGTCGGCTTCTACATCCGCACCCACGCACCCTTGCCCATGGCTGCCCAAGTGGTCTGACAGAACAACTTAGCCCACCTCACTCAAACCCCCCAGTCTAGCCCAACCCAAACCCGGTGAGCAGGTGAGAGCACAAGTAAGTAAGCAGGAGACATGGGAATTATTAGACGTGTTTCCAGATCAAATTCAAGGCAAATATTGGGAGCAGAACCAAGGTAGGTACGCCGAGTGAGTAGGTAACCGGCAAACATGCGCGGCGTGGCGTGGCACCAACCAACCAACCAATCCATCACCATGCATCGTCAAATGCTGATAATCGATGTACTTACTTACCACGTGCGCGTCAAAGGGAAAAAAACCTGTCGCACAACAGCATCCTTTCATCTTAACGTTACACCGCTGCCCGCTGCAAAGAGCAGGTGTCATGTCCAGGTGCGCGTGTACTGTACCGGTGTGTTTCCTTCGGTCAAACCTGCGGCTTTGTGGCGGTCGGTCATCGGGGGAGGAGTGAGGAGAGTGTATGGGCGGCGGCGGCGGCGGAAGGATTGCACTAGTTTAAATTTGACCAGACCGAATATTTCCCCATGCGCGTTCGTACTGTTGGTGGTGCGTGGTTCGTGGTTCGTATGTGGTATGTTCTCGCCGGGTGTGGACGGGTGAGATTTAATATGCGTTGTATTAGCCATCTCCGGGGGCTATTGTGAGAGCAGAAAACAGGTATGCAACGGTGCTAAACACGTTGTGTCTTGTTTAATAATGTATATGTAATTTTTTCGTGACTCTTTGACGGCACGACGACCGTTCAAAGTCCTCCATTACCCCCTGCTGCAGCTGCTGCAGTTTGTTATTGCGCTTCCTTCCACTCTCCCATCATTCGCGTGTCGTTTCGTAAAAAGTAATATCAACCCAAATGATCCCACAATGAATAGATATAGTGTTACAGTCCAATCCAATCCATCCCATGTCTACTCATTGTTGAGTTGTCCAGAAAGCCAAACCAGTGCTTATGTGGTTCAACAAACGCCCAGACGCCTAGTTTTTCCATACCCCTCCGCCCCACCGCGTGTCCTGATACTCCATTAACTTTCTCTACGCCACCTCATCTCAGATCGCCAAACCGTTCCCCAGACTCGTCCATCGGTACAAGGATAGTACCTCTCGTCGCTTCGCCGGTGTCATTTCTCTTGCGTGGCCGTGGCCCTTGATTTGCGCTAGTGTCGATATCATCACTTTGCGGAAGTTTCTCTGCCATTCTCGTTAGTCATGTGCAGACGGATACAATCATCCGCAAGCATGCTTACCTGATACTCCGTGTTGAGCGTCACGACGGCAGCTTCGTGGGCGCGGACAATTGTTTCGCAGGCCCGAATCACGCTGTCATTGGTCTCGGTCGAGAGCTTGTCGGCCAAGAGAAGTAGGATGAGACTTCCTTGTAAAAGATACTGGAATGGGTTAGCGCGGATCTTCTCTTACTCCTACAGACGGGCCTGGACACTCCGGCGTTTTCCGCGCTTTCCATGTGGAAACACGGACAAAGCCGGCACGTGTCATGTTGAACATGGGATTTGACTTACCATGCCAAAGAGGTAGGGCATGAATGACAGGTCTGGATCGACGTCCAGTATCTGCTCGACGGCACGGGCGGCGGCGATCGCGTTGGAGCTCGCTGCGAGGAAGGACTGCGAGCATATCCACATGTTGTCGTCTTCGAGTAGTGCCACGGGGTCCCATTTGCCGTGCAAAAGGATATGCAGTACGTACATGATATGAGTGGCGTAGGCGGCGACTTTTCTCGTTTGGTGGACCCATTCGCCTCGTACTGGGTCTGGGGTGCCGTTGGGTTGCGCTTCCTCGTTTGGACCGCAGCCATGTTGTGCCTTGAACTCCTCGATGCTGTAAGCGTAGCGTTCCAGTTGGCGCGTAATCTCAGCCTCGTGTAATTCCCAGGAAGTGCGCTGACCAAATCTTGGGTGGTTCTTCTGGGCGTTCAAATCTACAATGTCTCCGAGGATTGTCATCAGGGGCAGGAAGAAGCCAAAGACATCATGCCTATACCAATTAGCAGAGTTCAGTGGAGACCAGCGGTGATACATACGATGTACATTGGAAACTGAGTCCGCGTTTCCGTGGTCCGGGGTGTCCGGTGTAAAACTCGCCCGCCTGCCAGAGCGTGTCTGGGACGGGCTGGAACAAGTCTTCGCACTCATTGTCCAACATGGCGAGTGGGCGGTTGTAGCAGAGACCAAGATGCCTGTCAACCATGTAGAGTAGCCACCATAGCCGGCGTCTTTCCTCCTTCATCTCCTCGATCAGTGCTGCAGATGGTGTGCCGACGGGCACCTGCGCACTGGAGCCATCTGACATGCCCACATCAATTTCTCCGTCAATAGCAGCTGTCTCACGCTCTTTGGCAGAGCCCGGCGGCAGCTCTCGGCCCAACTTGAGCTCCCTCGCCAATGACCATGCTGCATTCCACCACCGCAAAGAAGCCGCCTTGTACTCGCTTGCGGACGTGACAACTCCCAGGTTGATATATGTTGCCACATCGTCTAGCGTGCTGGTGGGTGCCATGGCGCTATCGGATCTCCCGTCGTACCGCCCTATTGCTCGGTCGACTCCAAAAGCGTCATGTGCGGCGGATGAAAGTCCAGGTCCAGGGGCGAATCCATGTGAGGAAGGCGAATGAACCAGAGGCCTCAGTAGATCCACCGTCAGATTCCACATCTTCTGGCTAATGATAGCTCTTGCCGAGGGCGAAGAAGTAAGGTAACTCGCTTCGCTTGTTTGGGCGGCTACCCAAAGCATACTGGAAAGCAATGCCGGGCTGCACTTTCTCGGTTTGTGCTGGCGGAGAAAGCTTCGTTTCCTGAATACGGAGCCGAGAATGTAAGGTGAGCGTGGTTCCATGAAGACGGACGAGGAGCTTTGGAAGTAGAATTCGAGTAAATCGCATGCGGTGGAGACGTTCATAATGGTGCCAAGGTGTGGTAGAAGGGGCTTTAGGACCGGGTACCTGCAGGCGACCATGATGCCACCACCATGCTGCGAAGAGTTGACGCTGACTCCCGACTGTGGCGACCCGGTGTCGGCGGATCCATAGCTGTGCGGCGATGACTGTCTTCCGGTTTGTTGATAATGCATTGGGTAGCTCATGTTGGCGTATTCGGAGGGAATCGACACTGGAGTAACCTTGGGACCGATGAGATGCATGCCTAGAGCTGTCAGTAAGTACCGAAGCACATTCCACAGTTGCCTGATGCCGGGATTTGTACACGTGGGAACTGATCAAGGTCACGGTGGCGGTCGAGACTACGTACCATTCATGGCATACATCAACTCTTCGCGAGGCATCTCAGCATGCATAGAAGGATAAGCAGCACCAGATCCGAGGAGCAGAGGATCGATCATCATGTGGTTTACAGGTGGGTCGAAAGTCGCGCCAGGGTTCATGGCCTGCCAGTCACCGGTAGGCAAACCGGCCTTGCCTTGTGGGAAATGCTGAACGACGGGCGTTGCTTCTGATTGCGACCAGACATCCTCGTCCATTTCGGTCATGACACCAGGACGCTCAAAATAACCAGTCATTCCATTGGGGGTCTGCGGACTACCGCCACCAGCAGCGGCTTCTTCCCTCTGCTTTTGGATGTGCCTTGGGACCTAGAGGGCGTTAGTTGATAATGGGTAGTGTTAGAGTCATGCTTACTTTTCCTCGTCGTTTCTTTTCACGGTTATACTGGCAGACGTATTCGAGCTCTATGCATCGCGAACACGGGGCCTGGCCGTTGCATCTTGTTCGCATGCGGTGGCAATGATCGCATGCCCGGCTCACTCTGCGCTTAACCGGGGCAGAGCCTCGACGTTCCAATTTGAGAGTTTCTGTGGTGGTTGTAGCCTCCATGATTGGGCGTGTAGTGACTTTCAGCACCAAGTGGGCGCCTTTGTTCCTAACATGAGAGATCAGCAGCTGCCGGTCCTCGCACCGAACATTGGCCGACGTACTGGTTAGAGGATTAGTTGTTAGTCGGTGGCGACTTGAGATGGGAATGCGTTCTGACAGCAGACGGCAGACAAGGCACTTTGTGACGTCGCGGGAGTACTTGAGGACGAAGGAGTCGGTTGCCGGAAATCTGGGGACGACCACGGGTCATGGGATACTTGGGGAGCATATGTGGGCCTCCGACAAGGCTTTAGGTGCCGAGGGTACAGGGCGACTTGTCTAGTCCTAGGCTGCAAAAGACATGTTCCCAGGGTCAGGTTGACGATCTGTGGCTTGAAGATTCCATGCGTCCACGCGGGCTTCGAGAAGCGAGATCAAACGGGGAGCGCAATATCAGACGACGCAATGTTTAATTCGAGCCCCCATGGACGTCTGAGAGCTGCGACCCATTGGCCAGGGCGACCAGGCTCTGGGGCAAAGGCGTGGCAAGGGTTGTGAGCGACATTGCACTGACAAGGCCGGGGGCCGGAGCCGGGGTTGGTCGAGATGCGAAGCGCATGATTTGGACAAAGGATAAAGACAATTTAGCCGGTGGGAGTAGAAGGATGCAGGCTGCAGGTGAGGTCCACTTTGTGCCCATGGGAGCTGGGAGCGGGGCTTCACGCGGTTCGCTCCTAGCGCCACGCCGTCTGTTCACACTGTTCACACTGTTCACACTGCACGCCAGCTTTCCCGCCAATCGCAGCCGGCATGCAGCCACCCATCCTGGTCTTTTGCTAGTCTTTTCCCCATCCCGCGCCGTCTACCAATACCTCGTACGTACCTGGCACTTCTCCAGGTTGTGGCTTGTAGCGCCTGACCCACGACTAGTGACAGCAACAACGGTCGTGAACTATCACTGTCATCATCATCATCATCATCATCATCATCATGTAGTGACGTCTACTTGGGCATTGTCATGATTTGCACACAGGCAGCCGGTTCCGTTTCATGGCATTGTACATACTTACTTAAGGATGCCATGTCCAAGATGAAACCCGATGCCGACTGCGAGCTTCTCGTCGCGGCATGGTGTCGGCGGCGGCGGGTCGGCCAATCAAGACGGCCCCTAGACCCACTGGCTCAGTCGAGACCCGAACACATCCACTACCCACTACATGCACTACGACAATGTCGTCGAGTCGTCTCCACCACGGAGCTTCTAGGTAGCAGTCAGTGTCGTCTCTTCTTGGTCTACTACACCGCACGCTGGGTGCCGCTGCATGGACCTCAACGCCAACAACGTTCGGACCTCTAGCCAAACTTTGCTCTCGCTCTGGTTCTGCATCTGCAAGCGAGGCCGCCATGCCTGCAAACCCACCTCCGATGTGTCGTCGGCCCAACGTCACCGTTTCTCGTCTATATGCGGAACACGCCTTCCCCTGCCAGCACACCACCAGCGCCGACAGTCCAGCTTCTAGGAGTTGTGATCGACATGAACACACATGACAACAGATCTCTATTACCACTCCGCCCCAGGTATAGCCAGGCATGCTACTCAGGTACACGTTACACGCCGACTTCTAGAAGACTTTGTGCAATTTATAACCCGTCCATATCATCTCGCACACCCACATTGCAATTCTCATTTCCTGCCCCACGCGGGCGCCAGCTGTCTAGCACCATACTCCCAAACTGAAACCCTCTGCCCGAACAAAGCGTCATCACATCTTCGCGCTCTCCGCAATCTTCATCCAAATTTCTTGTCACATCACGCGTCGCGACTTGGCCAGCACTTGCCGGCCCGTTGCACTAGCTCAAACATTCCTGGCTACCGGTGGACGTTGAAATTTGCTTCTTCCGAGTCGCTGCCAGCACGAGGGTGCGCGACACGTCTGCAGCGTGGCTGCCCCAGTACGAGGGCGGGCATGCACTGTGAAGATGCAATGCCCACCAATCTGCGCCTCTCGGGTCCTGCCTCCCGTGTGCAAAGCGGCGCAATCATCTGCGTGTCGCCTCGACTGTGACGCTGTCGTCTTGGCCCCTACTATCTCTGCGCCCCCAAGTCATCATGTACACACTCGGTCTGGTCAAGAGTCATGGACCACTAAAAAGGCCGTCTGCTCGGGGGCCGTGAACCACTGGGCTTATGAGCTCCGCTTCTCCACACAAGCCAAGCTCATCGCTCATAGCTTACCAATTCTGAACAATCCTGCGCAGATCGATCAACACTGAAGATACCTCGCTCTCAGAGACGCAAATGGCGAATCCTTACTCGGATCCCCACATAACCCTGCTACACATCGCAGCAAGCGTCAAAGGTGGTGTGCGTATGCGTATACGTGTGTGGGTGGCGACGTGATTCCAAGACAAAACTCCTTGGTCTCAATATCAAGACGTAAAACTAGGAGTGCGCGCTACACTAATTGCCAGATTAAGGGTCCAGCTTCACAACCACTCAAAGCCCAGGATAGCTAAATTGGCCTGGCAGTGCAGTCCGGGTGTGGAAAGACCCGGGTAATACGATCTAGGTACCCAGCCCTCGTTTCTGTCTCATTGTCTGTGGGCACACCCGGTCTTGCTTTTGCCATGTACCCCAGATTATGACTGCTGCGAGGGTGGTCAGTGTTTCCAGGTCGAGCACCCTGTCACGAAGATCTGGGGCGCCGTCAGCTTCGGCTGAGCGGAAAGCGCTTGTGACATTTACCATGTATGCTTAAATGTCCCTGGTAATGGTATGATTCTCCACCACACCGATAATGCTTTGCCTAGCATGGTATTTACCGCTGACATCAAGCCCTGACAAGTAGCGGGGTGCCGCCGCCGGCCGCCAACCGCTTCGGCTATGCCAGAGAGCAAAATAGCCGTAGTCTGACAGCTACGGCCTGAAGCCTCAAAGCTGGGGAAATCAAGCTCCCGCCTAAACCCCGATGGGCTTGGGAGGGTGCAGCGAAGCAAAAATATTTGCCCGCTGCGTCCGCATAGCCCGTCGCGATTATGCAGCCTGGCGCATCGAGCATTAATGCGGGGAAAGTTATCAGACTGGGGGGTGTGGGGAAAGGGAAACGCAGGTCAATGCCAGGTTGACGGACGATGCGAGAGGGCAGCGAACGTTGAATCAAAGGGCGCGAACGAGCATGCATCGGCCTTGCTCTTAACATGGAACCTGTCCTGCTGATGAGGTGCATGAGCCACTATGGATGCGATGCAGGTGCAGGTGCAGGTGTTCAGGGCGCACCAAAAAAATATCCTGGGGTTGAAGATATACGGGTACCGCAGCGGCCTCCCGTGTTCCTTGAGAACAGACCAGTCAGCATACCCCATGACACTGACACGCAAACACACGTGGTTTGTCGTCTTGTCCTCGGCATAAGGTGAGAAAACGTCGGATGTTTCCCGTCTCGCCCGTTGTTGTCTCGAAAGCAAGCGTCACCTCCATTGCATAATCTCACTATATACACGCAGCCTGTCTACCTCTATCAACGGCAACACCCGCAGTCGGACGTCCACGTTAGGTACCCCAGCCCAAACAAAACGATAATGTCGGAAACTCGTTCGCCCAAACTGGCGGTCAGTAGAAAAAGACCCTTTACCGGGGTCCAATTGTACAGCACGCCACCTCTTTTCACTCCCTCGAATGGTTTCAGACAAACAGTCCATGATCCGTCAATCGGGGCGTCTGCGGTGCGACTTTGTGTTGCTTTAGCGCCACCTGGGTAGTCGGACCCGGAGCTTCTTGCAGATCTTTTCTTTGTTTTCTGCGACAAATCATGGGGTGCATCGGGGGGTTATTCTTTTCTTGGGCAAGGACGGGAGGGTCTGGTTATCTTTTACATCTGCCGTGTCGACGGGTCTGGAGTACAGATACAGGTACAGATACGTACGTACATGCTAGCGGGAAAGAAGGACCATCGTGGATGGAACGTGCGTTGGCGTTCGTGATTCCCTCATTTCCTCAATGGCGGATGGTGGCAAAAATATCCATATATCCGTTTACATACTCATCTATTATATAGGGGCTACGCAATACACTTGCACATTCCCTTATCCCCCCTCCCTTACTTCCCTCCCCCTATAAGTCCCAGCAATATACCCTCTTTCCTTTCCTCTCCTGCATCCCTCACCTCACCAAGCTTCTCACCTCGGCACAAACCCCACCCCGACGGACCAAACTACCGCACCCCATCCCTTTCCAGTCTAGCTTTCCCGGCACTAAATCGTCGTCTGAGACAATTCTGGAAACCGCAACGCCCGATCCGAACGCGGCGAGCGACCGAAGTTTGCCCGGCTAACTCAACCTACTGGCCGGGCTTACTTACGTGCCAGACCAGACCAGGGGAATGCGCTTGTTGCTTGTAATTATCACCGTAAAACGTAAAACGTACACGGTCCATGTAGCGTAGTTGAAGGGATTTTTTTACCACCAATGGGATGGTGGGGCTTTTGGTGGTTTGAGCGGAGGGTGGGAATTGGAAGGGGTGGTGAGTTATTTTTACATATCGGACTATTTGTTTACGATGGGACGATATTTTTAAAATGGTACGATGGATGTGAAGAGGCATGTTTTCCGATTCGGGAATTCGTATACCGATAGAGGTAGCACGCTAGCTTGTAGGATAACTCGGTATGACAGAACAGTTACACTTACAGCTTCAAACTTCGAGGTGATGTTTGTATCATTCATCCCCGCTTAGAGCTTCAAGCTGGTGTTTGTGTCAGCTTCAGCTTTGTTATGGATTGTCAAGATTTGACATGTTTGGACAGGGTACCACGTGTTCGTATTGCATGTTTCGCTAAGTAGGTATGCACTTGAGCTGGGACCTGGGAGGGACCCAGTACGTGAAACGAATTTGCTACTCCCGAGATACCATTTTCTTCTTCATCTCTTCTCTTTGCCACTGCCGCTCATCTCATCCCCGCCACATGCAAATACACAACGGAAACATGACAGAGCAGTTCAAACTTACTTTGCCAGCTTGGCAGCATCCTCCTTCATGCCCGCCTGCACCCAGTTGCGGCTACTAGCTGCAATCTCTTCTACCTTCTTCTTGTCCTTGAGCGTCTCTTTGATGGTATGTGGGTCTGGGACGTGACGGCCTTTTTCCACGCCTGGTCGGGCCGTCATGCGTTCTTCCCATGCCATAAGCGCGGGGAACTCGGTAATGTCGATGCCGGCCCAGCCTGCGGCTGCTACCCAGCCGTAGTGTGAGAGATCTGTGACAGGGTGAGTTAGTTATGCATGGCATTGCCGTCAACATACGCATTCATGATTGTGCAAAGCATCCATGTGGATGGGCTTGTTGGCGGGCGGATCTCGGGAGATGGGTGATACTAACCGGCAATCGTGCATTTCTCGCCACAAAGGTAGGGGCGGTTGTCGGAGGATAGATGCTTGTCTAGCACGGAGTAAAGACGGCGAGTCTCGTTTTGGTATCTGTTGATGCCATACTCGATATGCTCGGGCGCGTAGCGCGTGAAGTGGTCTTTGGGAGAAAAGTTAGCTCATGCTCTTTGGCTATCTCAGCTACGAAATACGATGTAAGAGCAGTTCCGTCTTTTGGTCTTGACCATGTACGTTCTCTTCTCGTAACCACGTATGACTCAGAACGTCGTACTTACTGGATTGACCTTGCATGGGACCCACACCGGCATTCTGGAAGAACAACCAGTTGTTCATCTCATACCACTCCCTCGACCCCCTTGGAAAGCTAATCTTGTGTTCCGTGTCGTAACGGTCGACAAGGTACTGCATGATGCTTCCCGACTCGAAGAGGTTGATCTGTTTGCCATCCGTAAAAGTGTCGGTGAGCGCTGGGATGCGCCCATTGGGGTTGATGGCAAGAAACTTAACAGAGTGAGCTTATGTAAAATGGTAGTGGGAAGTGATATGGTTGGAGAGATCAACGTGGGGGCTTACCCAGTCTTCCTTTTGCGTGTTCTTTGAGATTTCAATCTTTTGGACCTTGTAGGGGATACTAGACGAGGTTAGTGGATTAAATGGAACGCTATCGTCCATGTGTTCTTCGGCCAAGGTTTTTGTGGGACATCTTCCAACATGATACAGGTGCTTCTAAGTAAAGGAACCAACATCTGCATCCGGATCTCATGATGTTCTACAACTAAAGACAGGGGATGCGAAGTTCTGGACCCAAATACTCTGATGACAACCCACCGTCAACGTGGCACTCCATTCATACGAGCATACTGCAACAAGGGTTCCAGCCACTGAACAAGGCCCGATCCAAAAAAAATAGAAAATTCGGATATGAGTGCCGATTTTTACTTACCCCAGCTCTTCCAAGGTGATAGACTAAGTAAACACGTGTCAGATACGATGTTACTTCCAGCAAACCCCGCAATCAAACTTACTATCTTGATGCCGTTCGGCGTCTGAGTGGTGTATAGCGTGATATCCGAGTTTTGGGACATGATTGCGGTCGACTTGAGTATATTGATGTAACGTCAAGGAAATGATGAGTGTGTAGCCCCCGTGGCTTTCTTCGGAAGCTAGTATCGTCTTGGAGCTTTATAATTCAGCTGTGCTGATGAGGAAGTGGGGTCCAGTCTGAAGAGGGGCAGCTATGACGAGCGTGTTCCGAGGTCGCTTTTGAGTAGCGCCGAGGCTTGGTCATACGCAGGGCAACCGGCTTGTCTCCGATGGTTCACGATTGGAATACGAGTGTGGGGGAAAGCCTCAATACATGTGTACGGTCGAGGCACTACGAGGTCATGTGCGCACAGGAAAGTACCGTGGAGTTCCGTTCACACGGCCTCCAATCTGAGCCAGTCATGGCAACCCTGGGTGTCTCTGGCAGGTCAAGTACGAGCACGCAAGAAAAGTTCAATCGCACGCTTTGCACACCAGGGTACGAGCTGCTGCCGATATAAAGCAATTACGCATTCTTTTGTTATCATGGGAAGCAGCTGAATGTAGGCCTTGATAGTACTTGTCTAATAACAGCAAGCCGGAACCATGTAGGTAACGTGTCTGTGCGCGTGATGCCCATAATCGCGTGCCGCACACCCCACCAATATCGCGACGACGGCAAAGTTGAGGCTGCGCAGCCACGTACAATAACTATTATCGCGAGATTTTCCGGTGTATTGATCTATAGACGTAGCTCTACAACTTTGTCTATCTATATTTTGCCGGAGTATTGACGGCCCGGCCGCGTCGGGTGGTTGTTGGTGGGGGAGCCGGTGCAGCCACCTCAGCCAGAGTACCACCGCCAGCACCACCCACGCGTCGTTTTTTTGGCTGTTGCTTTGCAGCGGGCTTTGAAGCCTTACGCTTACCCGACTAGGGTTGTTGTATAGCCTTTGCAGCGTCGCGATCGCGTCGTTTGGCGTCAAGTTCGGCAGCCTTTACAGCCTTGGCTTCATCCCGCACCTTCTTTGCCTCCTCACGCGCCGCCCGCGCTGCCTCTTTGATCTTAAGTTGATAGATCCTGTTGTTCTCCTTTGCCTCTTTCAACTCTATCTTATCAAGTAGCTCTTTCTCCTTCTCCTTCTCCTTCACTAGCTGCCTAAAGCGGGCCTCTCGAAGCTTGCACGGCGACCACTAAACTGCCCCTGAATAGAACGCTTTTCGCTGCTGTAGATCTAGGGGAGGTTCGTGCCGATTGCGGGGCTTCTGGTGAACGTGTAGCGCCGCGCGCAGTGCGTCCTTCTCGTACTCGGCGATCTCTTTGGCAGCCTGGAGGCGGAGGAGTATTTCTGAGAGGTTGTTGGCCGCAATAGAGCTCGGATCGTAGGCCTGATTAATGAGGTTCGTGATAGTAGCTCTACTCACGTTCACTAGTGGCGGCGGTGCTGTTAGTGTTGACTTTCGGAACTTTTTAAGTACTACTTCGGGATCTATAGGAGCTATCCCAGTGGCTTTAAATGCCTTCAACGCGTGCTTCTTAATAAAAGAGGAGTCCTAGGCAGGCTTAAAAAGACGGTAGAAGTCATCCTTCCTCACAGCTAAGAGACCGTGGCTCGCCTGGAGGTAGTGCTGCAAGCTGAGTGAGTACGCGGCTGCTAGAGGTTTGAACATTACCACATCGAGTGGCTGCAGCGTATGGGTACTATGGGGGGGTAGTACGAGTAACATAATATTGTGGGCGATCGCGTAGTCAATAAACTCCATAGTAACGTGACTCCCATAGCCGTCAAGGATGAGTAAGCGTGTGTGATTGCCGGCCTTCTCCTTCGTATGGCGATCAAACACCTGTTCGAGCCATGCCAGGCCTACCTAATCATTGGTCCACCCTGAGGGACTTGAGGTAACGTAGACTAGATCGTCAATTGCGATATCATCAACCTATCTGGCGTACATGTTGCCCGAAGTAGCTTCGTATATAATCGCGGGCGGTAACGTACTCCTATTAGCACATATAGCAGCGATAACAGTGATCCAATCTCTGTTGCCGTCCTGTATCACTTTCTTAAAGCCCCCAGTCTCATATTTCTGCTTACTAAACACTCTCTTACTCCTCCCCGTTACTCTAATAAGGAATCCCTTCTTATCTATATTATATACATCCTGCGCCCGAATATAGTGCTGAGCCATTTTAGTAGATAGTAGATCAAAGTACGACTCGTACTTGTATACAGAATCAGCCTGGTGGCGATTGCGGTCCAAACCAGTTGACCAACGTGATATAATCGCGTCGGGATGACGGTGAAAGAAGCGCGTCACCTAGCTTTAGGAGGCAGCCCTTCCGGCTATAGCACTAGCAAAGTTCTAGATTATAGTCCTCGTCGGTGGTAAGCCAGCCTTAGTAAGCTCATTAATGTGCTCTAGAAGCTGTAGCTCCTAGTGTAGGTAAAGGAGTTGCTGATTACGTGATTTGGCTTCATTTGAGCCCCGGATCTGTTGATGGCGTCGCGACAACGTAGAGCGATCAACACCAAAGCGGCGCGCAACCTCAGAGTATGTAAATTTATCTCCGGGATCACGCGATTCAATAGCTTCAATCGCAGCGTTGATACAACTCATAGTTGTGGAGTTATGGGTGGTTGAAGTGGTAAGGGTGGATTGGTGTTGATGTTGCGGGGTGTGCGGCACGCGATTATGGGCATCACGCGCACAGACACGTTAATGGATGATGATGTAAATTGCTCCTGTCCTGCCCGCGACACATCAACGATGTAACACGTGTAATTAAGTAGTCGTATCGAAGTACCCTGGTCCCAATAGCCAGATGTGCAGCACGAATTCTGGCTGAAAGGGACCCTGAACCTGATCTGCAGGTGCCGACAACATCAATGCCGCGCTTGACGGGCAGAAGAGATCTGGCTGCCAAGGCCTGTGCGCTGACAGCTCCATCACGTGATGCCATCACTACCGCCTAGACTAGACTAGCGCAGCCCCCAACTAGCCTAAACTTTGCCTCGTCGCGACAACCAACTTCTCTCGCACCATCAACCTCAACTCACAACTGCAACCCTGAGCTTCGCAATCATGTCGTGGCGCAACCAGGGCATCACCGGCTCCAACAACATCCCTTTGGGAACTCGCCGTCGTTTCGGAGGTGAGAATGATGATGGCGGTTATAATCCCGCAGCTCCCGCCGAGGGTCTATCTGAGCTGAAGCGCGGCCGCAGCCCAGAGCGCAGTAAGTGCAGTCTCCCACACACTCACATCTTATGCTAACAACAATGTCACAGCCTCCTCCACCGACGGTCCGCGACAGCGCAAGAAGCGCAACCGATGGGGCGATGTCAAAGACAACAAGGCTGCTGGACTGATGGGCTTGCCTACTCACATTCAGGCTCCTATGACCACTGAGCAGCTCGACGCGTATACTTTGTATCTGCGCATCGAGGAGATTAGCCAGAAGCTCAAGATCAACGATGTCGTTCCCGCAGACGGCGATCGGTACGTGTCATCTCCCCCCGAATCTACCAGAGACTAACAGCCGCAGATCCCCGTCGCCCCCGCCGCAGTACGATAACTTTGGACGTCGTGTCAACACGCGCGAGTTCCGCTATCGAAAGCGCCTCGAAGATGAGCGTCACAAGCTTGTCGAAAAGGCCATGAAGACGCTTCCTAACTACCACCCACCTGCCGACTACAGGCGCCCTACTAAGACACAGGAGAAGGTGTATGTTCCGGTCAATGACTATCCGGAGATTAACTTTAGTACGAGACTAACCCCCCTCTCTTGCGTTCCTTCTACATCCTTGCTTCCCTCCCCTTCCTTGATCTTGGCCGGCCTGCTCATATTGCTGGATGTCTTGTGTGCATCTAGTGGCATCTGCAGCGTGGCTATATCACTAACCCAACACTTTAATCATATATTTTTGATCATTCACTAATTACAGCTTTTTGCACTAACAGTTGGACTACTCATTGGCCCCCGTGGAAATACACTCAAGAAGATGGAGACAGAATCTCAGGCCAAGATTGCGATTCGAGGCAAGGGCTCCGTCAAGGAGGGTAAGGGACGTTCTGACGCGGCCCATACCAGCAATCAGGAGGAGGATCTTCACTGCTTGATCATGGCAGACACTGAAGAGAAAGTCAACAAGGCCAAGAAGCTTATCCACAACGTCATTGAGACGGTAAGTCCCCTCAACTCCAAGCTGCACATGTCAATTCTAACAATCATAGGCTGCCTCCATCCCCGAAGGCCAGAACGAACTCAAGCGCAACCAGCTCCGTGAGCTCGCCGCCCTGAACGGTACCCTTCGCGACGACGAAAACCAGGCCTGCCAGAACTGTGGTGAGATTGGTCATCGCAAGTACGACTGTCCTCAGAAGCAGAACTTCACGGCCAGCATCATCTGTCGTGTCTGTGGTCAAGCTGGTCATATGGCTCGCGATTGCCCCGAGCGCAAGGTTGGTCAGCCGTGGCGCAACGACAACCGTCTCGGCGATCGTGGCCAGGCAGGTCAAGGCCGTATCGGCGGTGCTCCCGAGAACGAGCTCGACGCTTTCATGGCCGAAATGGGCGGTGCCCCTGGAGCACCCCGTGCCGCGATCGAGTACAACGACAATGGTGGTGCGGGCGGAGACAATTACGGAGGTGGCGAGCGCACTGTCAAGCCTTGGGAGCGTGGCCCTAGTGGCGGTGCTGCACCCTGGGCGCGTAACGACGACGATCGTGGTCGTGGCGACAGCAACTCGACCGCTCCTCCTCCTTGGGCTGGCGGTGGTGGCGGACGTGGCGCGCAGTCGTACGACCAGGGCTATGGTGCTGGCAACGGCGCCGCGCCTTGGGCTGCCGCTGCTCCCGCTGCTGCTGGTTACGGTTACGGCGGATATGGGTACGACCAGTCTGCCAGTGCGGGCGCTCCCGGTGCTTACGCTGGTGCTCCTGGCTATGGCGCTCCTCCTCCCGGCCCTCCTCCAGGTCTTGGTCCTCTCTTCCAGTCCTATGGCGCTGCTGGTAGCCCCCCGCCGCCGTCTGGTTCTGTTCCTCCTCCGCCTCCCCCGGGTGATGCCCCTCCTCCCCCGCCGAGCGACGTGCCACCCCCACCCCCTCCTCCGGCTTAGTCGCCCTACAAAGGCAGCAGCTTACACGACATGTCAGCTCAGCGTTCGGTTTCGCACTAGCGCTTATCCGTTTCCCAGACTGTAATGGGGGGATTCTTTGGCGCTTGCTAGCGCACACATGGGGGCCTTCAGAGGGGATTGTACATGTAATAGCTACATGAAAACCCGGTATCTGGCTCTCACGACAACACAGGTAAGTGTATCGGACCGGCCAGGTTTATAGAATGCTTCAACTTCGCTTGGATAGTCAGTGCCCTGCTCTCTACAAGTAGCTAGCAAGGTTGTGCTTGAACTTGATAGTCAATGCACTTTTCATTGGACACGCAGACTCGTATGTGTGACCAGTGCTTGCACATGGGTATCATCTGGTATCATAAAATGCTTGAAATACTAGTGTACAAAGGCTACTGTAGTCGCCAAACGTGCATTATGAGTAAGCACCTTGTAGGCGTATTTGGCGACGACAGTGACCTTTGTACACCAGTATTTCAAATATTTTATAACACTCAGGTGCTCGTATGAACACGTCAGGCAGAAAATCAAACACGTGAAAAGTGTAACCACTCAGATGACGTTGACGGCCGAGATTATACTAGCTGCTAGCACAAGCGGCGGGACGGAGCAGCAGCGTGACAGGGCGGGCACATGCAGACGAGCCCCCATGTTGACCATACAAACTCATATCTCGCTACAAGCTCGCCGACAACTCAAACCCTTCGTTTGCCTTTGTTATTCCTTCTCGATGCTTATAGCAAATAGCTGCCCATTTTTATAGCGCCACTAGACCCCGCTTCGCCGCCCATAAGTTATCCAGGCCGATTGCGCGTACCCCGTCGCTATGGAGCGGATACGCGTGAGCAAGGTATGTGATCGGATTAATCTACAGTAAAAGATAGACGTCCTAATTCTGTCCCAGGTAGAAGGTGTCTATCTCCTCCGCAGAGGCACTCGCTTTGATGGCACGCTGCATCTCATGCCCCACCACATCGTCTTCAGCTACCTACCCAGCCTGCCTGCAGACGCACCCGCAGACGCGAAACCACCCAGGCAGAAGGAAGTATGGATCACATATCCAATGATCAACCACTGCAGCCTTAAGCCTTGCCCGCCTATCCTTCGCCAGGAGTCCTCGATCCGCATAAGGTGTCGCGACTTTACCTTCTTCGCCTTCTTCTTCCCCGATGAGAAGAAGGCGCGTGACGTGTACGACAGTATCCGTGCACTGTCGTGCAAGATAGGAAGATTGGACAAGCTGCTAGCTTTTACCTACCAGCCAAAGCCACCAGAAGACCAGCAAGACGGGTGGAACATCTATGACGCGCGGCGGGAGTGGAAACGTTTAGGCATCAGCCCCAAAGACACGGAGAAGGGTTGGCGGATATCGGAGATCAATGTGGAGTACAAGGTACATAATTTGCGACAGATACAGATTAAGGCATGTCTTGACGAGTGGAACAGTACTCAGCGACATACCCCGCCCTGCTCGTCGTGCCCACCAATGTCTCGGACAGCGTCCTTCGATATGCCGGCGAGTACCGTTCGCGACAACGTATTCCAGCCCTAGTCTATCGCCATCCTATCAACAACTGCTCTATAACCCGAAGCTCACAGCCAACACCTGGCCTTCGCGGGAACCGAAATCCCCAAGATGAGAGGCTAGTTGCAGCCATATGGGCTACGAATCGTGGGTGGAAAGCAGCGAATGCCCCGGCGACCAGCTCTGCAGACCTCAGCCCGGATGCAAGCGTTGTCAACTTGAATGAATGCAGTGCTAACAGCTCTTTTGTGGGCACAGTCGACGGCACCGGGAATGCCGGAAGAACCACCGTGGACGACCTGACCGGATCCGCGGAAACAGACCCCGACCTACCCAAGATATACGGAGCTCAGCAGCGGAATCTGATTGTCGACGCCAGGCCCACAATCAATGCTTACGCCATGCAGGCGGTCGGACTGGGTTCGGAGAAGATGGACTACTATCCTGGCGCAGAGAAGGCCTATCTCGGCATTGACAACATTCATGTCATGCGGAAGTCACTGGATACTGTCATCGAGGCCTTGAAAGAATCCGATCTGATATCATTCCCTCCAAACAGGCAGTTGCTAGCCAAGAGCAACTGGATCAAGCACATTGCAAACATCTTGGACGGAACTGCCCTGATAGCTCGTACTGTGGGCATCATGCACTCGCACGTTCTTATCCACTGCTCAGACGGATGGGATCGCACAAGTCAGCTGAGCGCACTCAGTCAGATACTCCTGGACCCGTACTACCGGACACTAGAAGGTTTCATCGTCCTAGTAGAGAAGGACTGGCTGTCCTTTGGTCACATGTTTCGGCATCGATCAGGATTCCTGAGCCACGAAAAATGGTTCACAGTTGAGAATGAAAAGATTGAACGCAAGGATGGCCAAGGAGGGGGCAACGCCTTTGACAATGCCATTCGCGGTGCACGAGGTCTCTTCAACCGTCACAATGAGTCGAACGAATCATTGAATCAGCTTCCAGAGTCCAACGGCGATAACGTTACGGACATTGCCGATATTACTGCGCCGAAGCCTGAAAAGATCGGGGCAGCAGAAGAACACCGAGTCACCAAGGTGAATGAACTGTCGCCTGTCTTCCATCAGTTCCTTGACTGTGTCTATCAATTGCATTACCAACATCCAACACGCTTTGAGTTTAGTGAGCGCTTTTTGAGGCGCTTGCTATACCATCTCTACTCTTGTCAGTACGGTACATTCCTTTTTGACAACGAGAAGGAGCGCGTAGATTCAAGAGCAAAAGAGCGTACAAGGAGCGTATGGGACTACTTCCTTTGCCGGAAGCAGGAGTTCATGAACCCAAAGTATGATCCGGAAACGGACGACACCATTCGTGGAAAAGAGCGGATAATATTCCCTCGAAAAGGAGAGGCACGCTGGTGGGCAGAGTGCTTTGGTCGCACTGATGAAGAAATGAACGTCTTTGGACCTCAGGCTCCACCAAGCCTTACGCCACAGACTAGCATCGCGAGCAACGGAAAGAGTGGTACTACCACACCGATACCCGAGGAGCCTATCGTCACTGGCATAGAGACAGCGGACGGAGCCATCGGTGCGGGCACGACGGTGAATCTTCCGCCTACGCACGCCATCGGTGATCGCTCACCAAAAGTATCCAGCACGCCGAAGCCTTTCGATGCGGCTGCGGCGCTTGGGCAGGATCTCCGACAGGGCGTCATGGCAAGTTTTGAGAAGCTGGGAATCACTGCAAGCTCAAGCAGGGCCGTTAGCCCTGCTGCAGAAAGTAACAGAGCAAGCGCGGACGTTGCGCGAGAAGCTGTCAAGCCGAGTTCGCAGCTCAGCCCAGACATTGATCAAAAGCCACAGCAAGCCCCAAAGCCTGAAGACGTGAAGATTGCGCAGCCTGAAGATGATAGCATTGATATGAACGCGGATAAAAGTGCGGAACAGGTGTTAGAGACGGAGGCAGCGCAAAACACTGACCTGGGTCTTGGATCAAATATTGTCGAGAAGAAGGCGGAGAATCGAACTAGAAGTAGAAAGCCCAGCCACAACCCTGAGGAGAAGAAGGATGTTGTTGAGATGGAGATGCAATGATTAGCAGGAGAAGTGGATGGATGGAGCTTTAACAAGATGATAATGCCGAAGATGACGACGATGACTTTGTTCAAGGCGTGGACCAATGAACTTATCATAATATGACGAACGCAAATGGATGATACCCCGCTTTCTTACATGCACAGACTTGTCTCTCATATCGTGTTGTCTGATCTAACGCAGGTGGTATTTGCTGAGGTGGGCAATGCCATTTACTATAGTCAAGTGAGTTCCTACCACTCCATTACCCCCTCTCCAATTTCTTCCTCTGCCCACCCAGTAGCACCCCAATCTCCTGCACCCTCTTCCCCCTTCGCATTTTCCTTGTCTTCCTCTATACCCCAAGCATCCCAAAAATCAAACACCATCACCTTTGGTGCACACTCTTTGCATCGTGCTCTAACATATATGACTGGATTCTCCACACCATCACTTAGCGGACTAGCACTACCCAGACTCGTGGTGCTGGTACTGGTGCCATGAGGTGTCACAGTGACGATGTTGGTGCACTGGGGTTCTGAACATTGTACTGTTATCATTGAACGTGGGTAGTTGAGAGAGCTTTTGGCGGTGGAATGGGATTGTATGTGCAGGCCGTGGAGGGGGCTGCGGTTGAAGAGTGAGGGGGTGGTTCGTCGGCGTTGCATTTTAGTTGGGTTGGTAAAGTGATTTTGCGTAACGAAAAGGATGTGACTGTGCGAGGTGATGCTGATGAGAGTGTGAAGAGAGCGTAAGGGCCTCATATATTAACGATATTGGGGGTTTGCTGGCAGTGGAAAACACAACTCGAACGATTGTGGCTAGTTGTTTGAGAAGAGATGCTTGCTATAACTGATTAATATACAGGAGAAGAGGGGTATACTACAGATTATACTACCAACAAACACACGTCTCATTCACCTTCCCACCACGCATCCTCCAGTACCTCCCCCACCGTTGGTTTATCCCTCTAATCAAGCTTCATAATCCTCAACAAAAAGTCCCTATCCCCACTGCTAACTTCCTTTCTACTGATCCTGCGAAACAAGCTCGTCATCTCTGGCGTAAACTCCTGCTCCAACCTCTCTACCACCATCATCGCATCCTCTCTAGCAATCTCGCGGAACTTTTTTGGAAACGGGCCAAACCACTGGTAATGCTGTACCAGAACCGCCAACTGCTCTTCAGGTAGATCGGCGACTGGTCCTTGGGGGGCAAAGAGATTGAAATTGCCGCCGTAGATGAGGCTGATGAGCAGGGCACCAAAGGACCAGATGTCTGTTGCTGTGGTCCAGGGAAGCTCGAACATCATCTCTGGGCTGGCCCACTCGGGTATACCGACGAAGGCGCCGGAGGAAGGGCCGTAGGCGTCAATGGGGTATGTGTCGCCAAAGTCACCGAGTTTAATGTCTTGGAATCGGTCTTCTTCTGGGTTGTTGGGGTGGTAGTTTATGAATACGTTATCTGGTTTGATGTCTATGATCAGATTAACAATCTAGATTCCTGTATCTTGGGGGCATGAAGAAAGAGAGTGGCGGGAAACATACCTGCGTGAACATATTGTTCAGCGTGTAGAGCCTGCAAAGCTTCGAGAATACATCGACATACACGTTTCAACTCCTTTCGATTGAGCGTTTTACGGGCTGATGCAAGTCTCAAGTCGCTTTTCTGTATACTGCAAGGCAATGGTCACAGGATCAGAAGGATGTTCAAGCTCGTCAATCATTCCTCTGATGTATGGTGTACGATGTTGGAATCTTTGGAGTACATCGCGTTCGTTTTCTACTCTCACGTGGTTTTGGACGCCTTTGATCACTACTGGTTTCTGCGCTTGGTCTCTAGGGGCTTTCTGTTAGTAGTTTGGGAGGATTATGGTCTTGGCTCGATCTCACTTTGCAAACCAGACGGTTGATCGGAGTTGCTTCGTTATAGTGTATGTCCCTAGTCTTCCTCTGAGAACTTGGCCGGTGCGAAAAAGGGATGCCATGGATACCCTGCGGCCAATGTCCTGTGCTTGTACATGGAAATGGTAGCTTCGTGGGTGTATGCGGCGCAGCAGTAGGGCCTTGGCGTAGACGACAGATTGCCGAACTGGTATTACACCATCCCTGCTTCTATGAGGTTCATGCAGGAAAATACTGTGCAATAAAACACTATCAACGGGCTGCACAAGAGTTCTTTGAAAGAGTGGTATTGATGATATAATTGTCATAAATCATTGATTAAGAATGATGTGTGTACCCACGAAACTTCCATCCCAGCATTGGACCGCTGTCCAGTTGGGTGTATTCATTTGAGAAAAAAGGCCGCTACCGTCCTCCTTGCATGAGCTGGATAAGGCCCTTGGCCGCATTGTCTTGCAGTCCGCCTATACTGCTATCCATGTACTGTTGCTCTTTGAGACGTTGTAGTCTTTGGTGTGCAGTGTCTTGCCTCGCTTCTTTCCTTGGTCCGTATCCAGTCGTTGACACCACGGACGCAGCAGGTGCCTGATAACGACTTGTCTGATAATCTGGTGATGTGTATTGTTGGTGCGTGTCATGGTTGGGTAATGATACGCCTGGGGGCGAGGACGAAGGCTCGTAGCCTTGTATTGTTCGTGAAGAAGTTTGGAAATTGTCTTTGGGCATGGCAAATTGGACTGGTGCCGGCCCAAGTTTACCGACGGGACGAAATGGATCGAGGTTTGCCTGTACAAAGGAAGGCGCCTGTTCGCGTCGTGGAGACGAAACTGTAATGTTGGGAACGCGATAGGCGTCGAGAGATTCTCGTGATGGCGTGATAGTTGTTGGTATCGACGCGTTGAGCGCGTCCAACGAGTATGAGTACCCGTGAGGCTCGCTGGCCTGACATGTCCTGGCTTCATATGTCCCAATAATGTCGGCATCGCGCTTGGTCACTTGGTTTGTCTTGACCTTGTATAGTCCAAACTTGAGACGCGTGCGCAACTGTTCTGCGCGTGATCGCCTCTTCTCTTGGGAGGATGTTGGGGCGGGTACGGGGGGTGGTGGCATAACATTTGTCCCATGTTCGCTCTTCTGGCTAGCGCACATTTCATAGTTGAGGAGGTCGGAGAAGGACTGGTTGCTCTTTTGGGACTGTTGCATGTGTTCTGGTTCGGGAGAAGGCGTGGCGCGTTCGGTGGGCGAGCCTGGGTCTGCGAGGCCGATGGGGTTGTTTTGCTGGCATGTTTTAGTAACGTGACGACGCGTAAAGTGTGGCGGGGGGGGGGGGGGGGGGTTACAGTATGTCTTTGCATGGCTTCGGCGGTGAGGCGCATGCCGGTCTCAACGGCACCATTGTCGCCAGAGCGAGTGAGCATCTTTAAACTTTGGGCCGTTTCGACACTATCAACCTGGTCTATGCCCCTCTTTTTACCCTTTTGAGACGCGTCTGGAGTCGCAAAGTTCTCTTTGTCTAGAAATCTTGGTGGGGTGTGGGTGGTAACGTGCTTTAGTTGGCTTTGAGCGCGAGTGAGTCCGGATGCCTCGTATGCCTTGGCTAGGTTCTGGGGGGTATTTATGGCACTCGGAGGGAGATTTCCCAGCACGCGTCGATTCGGTGTCTTGGAAGGGCTATGCTGACTTGCCATATTATGTCTTTGCGGTGTTATGGTGGCGCTCATATTATCGCTCGCATACATCGATTTCCGTGACGCGTTTGAGCTGAAATTAGGCCAATGACGCGCGGAAATGGAATGTAGTGATTTTGGATGGAATGATAATATCTATATAGGAATAGGCTCTGCTGTGTCTGTTATGTGCTCGGTGAAGACAAGTGAGAGACACGAGAGAGGCACAAAAGTTGTTATGCGTTAATAGGTGCGCGTGGTTGGGGAAGTCGCATCACGGACGCTAGACGACGCGATTGGTGGCATGTCAGGGTCCAGCTTGGCGGATGGTGGCGGGATGGCGCCCTGGACAAGGTAGATAGTTAGTAGTAAAAGTACCCGTCTGACTGCATTCCAGTGGGTTTAGCTTAATATTGCTTATTCTCGCATCGCTTACAGTTTGCATGTGCATTTGAAACTACCAGTACAATCACTTCTGCACGCAGTCATGTCTACGCGCCTAACTTACCCCACGTCACTTTGCTGCTCCGTCCGAACACGACCTCACGGACTGCATCCATGTCACCCCTGTGCACACGCTTTGAAATGAGTTTTATGCACAATGGTCGTTCATCACGGATAATCCCGTCTACTCCGCGATAACATGCACTTCCAGCTCAAGCGTTACGTCATGAGCGAAAAGCACATGCACGGTTACCCGGCTCCACTGTCCGCGTCGTGCAACTACGCTGCTATCATAAACTTCCAGATCCCCAACGTCCACCTTCATGTCCATTTACAAGTAAAAGTGGCCAGAGTATAAGCCTCAATTGTATGTCTACCCTCAAAAATCGATTGTATGTCCACCCTCAAAAATCGAGCCTTCCGAATATTGCAACTCACCAATTACCCTACACTGCTCCAGGCGCATACTTACGCGCTCTAGCCCCTCGATATGAAGGGTTTCCTTCAAAAAGCAAAGGCCGATCTGAAAAACTTCTCTCGGCATGACAACCAGCACGATGATACCCCAAGTCATAGTGGTCATAGTGGTCATAGTGGTCACTCTCAAGAACAACATCACCACTTCCCTCCACCCCACCATCATGGAGGACCTGAACACGGTCATGGCCATCAACAGGGTATCAGCGATCCAACAACTCTAGATATCCTCCGCTATCGCTATCATCATGGTACAAACCTTGGCTCCGTTTATGTCATTGAACGCTGGCTACAGTCTTCTCGCTTCCCCGAAGGCGCCGAAGGGTCAAGTGAACTTGCAGCAGTCCGCGCGTGGGTCGACAAGATTGGCATTGCCGGTACGAAACAAAAGTTTGAACATCACTGGGCAAACATTGTAACGGACAACGCTATTGGATGGTTGAAGAATGTAGCCAAGTGCACGACCATCCGTCTGCCCATTGGTTACTATGATCTTCCCGGACCTGTATTCACCCAGGGTACGCCTTTTGAACCTTTCGCTGAAGTCTACACTGGAGCTTGGAACAGTATCCGCTCCTTGATTCAACGACTACGCGCACATTCGATTGGCGTTTTGATCGATCTACACGCACTTCCCGGAGGCGGAAACGCACAAGAGCACTCTGGCACCAATAGTGGACGTGCCGAGTTATGGTGTAATTCCATGAATCGCGCGCTGGGTGTCCGTTGCTGTCAATTCATCGCTCATGACACAAGAGCCGGTGCCGAGATTGCTGGCCTTCAGCTCGTCAACGAGGCTGAATGGAAGTGTGAGCGCATGTACGAATGGTATGACGAATGCATTGCAGCCGTCTCCGCTATTGATCCTAGCTTGCCAATCGTCATATCGGACGGCTGGAATCTTACAGAGGCAATTGATTGGTCCCTGCAGAAGAACTCGATATATGCTCACCCGCAATGCCCGGTGATAGTCGATACCCACTACTACTGGGCTTTCACCAAAGAAGACAAAGCCAAGACACCACAACAGATCATTCAAGAAGCTGGCACCAAGCTAGGCCAGTTGGATGGCAAAGAGGGCTCTGTGAATGATCGTGGGGCTGTCCAGGTAATTGTAGGCGAGTACTCGTGTGTCATGACGGAGGATTCATGGGCCAGGGGCGGTGACGTACCTAAAGAAGAACTTGTAAGGCAGTTTGGTCAAGCGCAAAGCCATAGATATCAACAGCGGGCTGGCGGTAGTTTCTTTTGGACATGGAAGATGGACTGGATGCCCGGCGGCGAATGGGGCTTCAAGGCCAAAACAGAGGACGGGAGCATCATACCACCCAATTATTTGAACTTATCCGCTGATGATAGGCATAAGATGATCGAGAAGGCGCGACAGGAAAGAAATGGGCGCATGCATGAGGCGGTTCAGCAACACGTTTCCTACTGGCGCGGCGTGGACCCTGACGGCCAGTACGAGCACGAAAAGTACGAACAAGGCTGGCAAGTGGGATATCAGGACGCTTCTGCATTTTTCGAAGGTAGACAGACACGAGGTGACAGGATCGGTATGCTTGAACTCTGGGTTCTTAAGCGCGTAAGAGAGAGTGGCTACAGAGGTGGATTCACTTGGCTGTTCGAGCAAGGTGTGCGGAAAGGCATTCAGGATTACTCGGCTGCCATCGGTGCCTAGTTATTTCATAATGTTTGCGTAATCCGTTATTCACCGTCACTTGCCGTTCCTCTAGCGACTGCCCCGATCACGAGGTTTGTGCTCCCGCACTCATATGTAGCCTAGCGATAGCAACGACGCGCTGTATGGAGACAGTCAAATCCATATCGGTTGCTGCTGGTATCACACTGTCACTACTTCCAATCTACATTCTACTATTTCTTCTCTCACCAACTTGATCTCACGCGCTATTGCTAGTAACGGCGCCTTAACGCATGGATTACAGCCGTTTTATCCCCCCAGATACGACCCACGACGTGCCTGGCGAGGCGCTACCTTTAGTTCAAAACACAATCGAAAGAAGCCCATACCAGGCATACTGCGAAACGGCAACATCGTCATCTCGGTCTTCGAGTAGTAGGAGTTTGATGCCCAGTCCGCTGCGAATACGCCGACACCTCTCATCACGGATCGCAAACGACTCCCAGCCATCAGGACACAATGGATCCGATCAAAACACTCTTCTAATCCAAGCTGCGGCAAGCGCTCCCGGGTCTTATATCGATGTGGTAACATTGCTCAAGACGGGAGAGCATTGTAAAACACAAACACAACCGGCCAATTGCGATACTCTTACCGAGAGCGCAATATCAAATCACATTACACGAGCTGTCACTCCACGCGGCAGCCACTTGTTAGCTTTAGAAACAGTGACAGCGTGTGACGTAACACCATCACATCCGCGAATACAACAAGTAGGATATACCGACTGCACAACAACTCGCACCATATCGCGTAAGCCAATTCTAAGAGACTCCGGTACATACTACAGACCGTTACCACCACTTCCGCCTGGCGAAGATCCCTTCAAGGATGACCATAGTGCAGGAGACGTGGATGACCAGGAGGAATTCCGGCAAATTCCATCCCAGATAACTACACTGAATGGGAGCCCAAAAAGTACATATCGAATCAAGCGGCGGCCACTACCAAGCCAGTACGACTGTGTGGCGTCAACAGTACCGAGTGAAAACTTCCCAATTAAAGCGAAGCACTCATCTGGTAGTCTTCAAGCATCACTACGCCCCTACCATCGCAACTCAAGTGGCAGTCTCCGACAAGATGTCCTCTACGACCGTGCACAATCCATCGCAGCAGACGCATCACACATTCCTCGCGGTCACTGGTCTGATGTCGACAACTATGTATCCACATCCCGCCTGTCTCAACCCAATATTGCAATGCTAAAGTACAAAGCCGGTCAACTATCTCCCCATACCCCAGACATATCACCACCCACCCCTCCTCACCGCGCCACCTACACCCAACGAACCGACTACTTCCCCCAGCAACCATCTACACCACCAGCCTATATACATTCCACCCAATCTTCTCTCGACACTCAAAACGGGCCCCGCCCCCCTCCATGGGGTTCATACGACGCCCTCGAGATGCAGCGTCGACAACGCAGCGAAGCGAGGGAAACCCGCCTGCAGAAACGTGGTGGAAGCGTTCGATTGAGAGATGATACCGGTTCGACGCATCAAAAGTCTTACTCAACGGAGACTCTGGTCAAAGAGGCGGCGAGGGAGGTGGAAGTGTATAGGGAGCAGATTTTGGGGGTTTATCCCGATATGGAGTTTGATGGGGAGGCGGGGGCGGGAGGAAGGGGGACTTGTTGGTGTGTTTTGATGTAGAGGGTGATTTACAGGTTGGATAAAATGGGGCGGTGTACAAGGGCGGGTAGATGGGTAGATGGTGTGGTTGGAAGATGCATCGGTGTATGTGGAGACCAATATGTCTTGTTAGCATTTGCATGGGTTCTATCTGGGTTGTTTTACTTTCTTCATGAGTGAATATCTTTCTATATTTTCAATCTCGGGCTGTTATTGCACACCAAACAGATTGGTTATAGGGTCTCAAGTTGGAGGAGAAGGGGATTGAAATCTGAGAATCTTATTAACGTACCTCACGGGCGAGTGGGCCACACGGGCGAGTGGGCCACTCCGCTAAGACCCCACCAAAACATACTGTTACCTACAGTACTTTCACAATGAGCCAACAACAAAACAATCTACCAGCTTTAAAAGAGGCTCGATTACAGCTTGCTCTCAAGGCTATCGAACGCGACGCGACGCTGTCGCAGAGACGCGCTGCAGCTATCTACAACGTATCTCGAGTAACTCTTGGGCGCCGACGCGCTGGAATACCTCTTCGGAGCGATTGTACGCCTAACTCAATGAACCTCCTTAAGACAGAGGAGGATGTAATTGTCCAGCATATCCTTGACCTCGACGCGCGAGGATTTCCGCCCCGACTTGCTGCTGTGCAGGATATGGCTAATTCTTTGTTGGCTGAGCGCCACCGCGACCCTGTTGGTCAGAACTGGGCTGCAACCTTCGTCAAACGTCGCCCTGAGCTTAAGGTCAAATTCAATCGCAAGTATGACTACAAGCGAGCCCTCTGTGAGGATCCTGAGGTTATACAAGGCTGGTTCCGACTTGTGGAGAACACAAAGGCCAAGTACGGTATCCTTGATGAGGACACCCACAACTTTGACGAGTCTGGCTTCATGATGGGCATGATATCAACTGGAGCAGTAGTCACAGGCTCTGAGCGTCGAGGACGACCAAAGAGCGTTCAGCAGGGCAATCGCGAGTGGGCTACAGTGATCCAGGGTATCAACGCGACTGGGTGGGCAATCCCACCTTTTATCATCTTCAAAGGCAAGAACCACCTCTCTGCCTGGTACAAGGAAGATAACCTACCTCGCGACTGGGTTATTGCAGTCTCTGAGAACGGCTGGACAACAAACAAGCTTGGTCTAGAGTGGTTAAAGCACTTTGACGCTCACACAAAGAAGAGGACTGTAGGAAACTATCGTCTGCTTATTATCGACGGCCACGAGAGCCACGACTCGCTCGATTTCCAGCAGTACTGCAAGGATCACAACATTATTACTCTCTGCATGCCTCCTCACTCGTCGCACCTACTACAGCCTCTTGATGTGGGGTGTTTCTCGCCTTTGAAGACAGCGTATGGCCGCCAAGCCGAGGATCTAATGCGCAACAAGATCACCCATATCACTAAACTAGAGTTCCTACCGTGCTTTAAAGGCGCTTTTGACGCTGCGATTACAAAGGCCAATATACAAGGAAGCTTTCGAGGCGCTGGCTTAGTCCCATTTAATCCAGAGGCTGTGATATCGACGCTTGACGTGCGGCTGCGCACTCCACTGCTACCTACCGTCGAGGACGGTCCCTGGCAGTCGCAAACTCCAAGCAATACCCTAGAACTTGGGTCGCAATCAAAGCTGATTCAAGAGAGGATTCGAAGACATGTAGATAGCTCACCTACGTATATGGTTGAGGCGATCAAAAGCCTGTCAAAAGGTGCAGAGATGATAGCGCATTCTCTGGTGTTAATGACCAAGCGCAACGCTGAGCTCCAAGCCGCCAACGAGGCCTCAAGTAAGCGTAGATCATATAAAAGGAAGCGCTTACAGCAGCAAGGGACCTTAACAATTGATGAGGGCGTGCGACTGACGACTCTTAAGGAGTTTGGGGCATGTAGTGATAGGAAGAAGGCGAAGAAGAGAGTGCGCGTTGAGGCAGGCGAGCCTAGCCAACGACGCTGTGGACGCTGCGGCGAGGCAGGACATAATATGCGCACATGTAGGCAAGAAGCAGCGATAGATTCTGAGTAGAATAGCCTATTACGATTTCTATTTACTATCTTTGACGGTGCTATATAGTCGTGTACAGTCGTGGTTTTAATGGGGTCTTAGCGCAGGTGGCCCACTCGCCCGTGTGGCCCACTCGCCCGTTAGGTACGTTACTGCAAATTATCTAGACACCATTAATGTCTTCACCAAATCTTTACCTTTGGTCTTCTTCGTTACTTCCATCAAGAAGATCTGTAGAATTATGTACTCTGCTTCTCTTATGCTAAACACTATACACTTTAAGAGCGACCTAAGCCGAGCTTTCTTTACGCTTGTCTTTGTCCCTGTGTACATATCACCTCTTTTGATACTAAAAAAATGGCTAGCCGAGGACATTAAATTCTATGTAATGTGATGAACGATCCTCCGTTCTAGAGCTTTAGAAGACTAAAAAGGATGTGCATAGTGCCCTATACCCCACTAAACAATAAGAACAAAACTATGAGAATAGCAAGAGGTGATTTACTATTCTGTGTTGAAGTCTTCACTCGCGACATTATGCTCGCTATTGCATCTGTCTACGCTCGCTGTTCTGCCCCAACATTAGTCTTCACGCAATCGATTGATATGTTTCCCTTCCTATTTCACACTAATTTATGCGGTGCTGGTTGCCAAAAGAAAAAAGAAGGCGCGCAACTCTGTAGCAGCGAAAGCCTAGAATGCCCCCACTTTCTGGCGAAAACCGACAGATTTAACTTACCTATCTGAGGAAACCGAAGTTTGACACATCGAAGCCTGTACATAAACGATGCACTTTAGTGTGGTTGACACTTCCCAAGGCTGGGCCTTTTACTAGTGCAGATCCCTGCCCAGGTGGCTGGGAACCATGCAGCGGTAAGCGCGACACGTCAACCATCGTAGGGTCGCGGCAATTGCGACACTGGTACAGCTTGAAAGGTGACGAAAGTTTTGAATACATAGATCAAAGCCACGATTGTGCATAAAAAGTGTTTTAAATGGACCATCCACCACAACCGCCGCCTCCTAGACGACTGCCTAAAGTGTCGAACCAGAACGGTCCCATACCTCCACCACCTCCTCCACCTCAAGGTGCACATGTTCCCATAGACAAGATCACCTTCATGCGTTCCCTCATCGCCGAAAACACCAAAACATCAGAGGAACCCTTCAAGCCCTGCTACATGTTCTTCTACGGCTCCCTCATCAGTGATCGGAATGGTCTGGTCTGGTCTGGTCTGAGGGTACAGACCAGACCAGACCAGGTGCTTACATAAGGACCGGTCCGACCAGACCGGTCCGACCAACAAGACCGCCAAGAATGAGGCTGAAGCAAAGAAGGAAGCCGAGGAAATGTGTTTTACTACTGACTGTCAATCTAGTCGTCTTCGTTCTCACTATCCTCGATATCGCTGTTCCCCTCAGCTTGGGGCTTTCCATACCAGGCCCGGAGACACTCGCACGCTTCTATAATATCTGCCTTCAGCCTACCACGGCGATCGACGATAGTAAGCTTCGCGCTACTAAAAAGACGTTCGCATTCATCCGACATAGGCGAGATCGCAAACATGTCTAGAGCGAAGCGAGCGAGATCTCGTTGGGAGTCGTAGCGAGATAGCCAGTACGCAATAGCCTCATTGCAACCTGCCTCTTCGTTATGAAGCCGGTCAGTAGAGATGTATTGTTCATACAAATCAGTTGTAGAAACTGGAGCGTCTATTCGAATGCGCTTATGTTCCCGCTGGCGATCAAATGCTGGGTCAGGATCTCTCTCCTTCCTGGCTGGTGGTGGCAGCATCTCGACAGGGTACCTTCCCTTATACTCTGTCTCCCAGAGATGCTTCACCGCTAATTGTGCGTTTTCAAACCACCTCTTCTTCTCTTCGTCGCCATGAAGAACCCACTCTTGCCTGAACCATCCACACTTGCGATATGGATCAAGGATTTGAGCCGCATAATATGCCGGTGGAAGGTCAGTATCTTCAGGGAATCGATTTTGCCAATTCAGCTGCTGATTGTTATAGTACTCAACGCACTTTAACCAAGCAGCATCAGCGCAGCCTTGAAGGTACTTCCATGTAAAGTTGTTATCGTCCTCAGTGTGGATGTCGTGGTAGTGATCCTTCGTCTCGCTTATCTCCCGGAGAAGGCAGTCCAAAGTTGAAAACCAGTCCGCAAGTGACGTCTTCTTACCTTCAGAAAGCAAAGTTGCAGCATAGAAGTCTTTGAGAGCGAGTTCAATCTTTCCAAGCTCAAACCAGTGCTGTCCATCAAGCTTAAAGTTCGCGATCCCTACGGAGCCCTTTCCAGGTACATGACGAGCCGAGAAGAGCTCTAAACGTTCTCGAACATTTAATGCACGTGTAATCGAATAAAACCATGAGTTCCAGCGGGTCGAGTTGTTCTGGATAAGCTCAAGCCCGTCGAATTGCGAAAGATCTCCGCCGATAATAATTGTAGCAAACTCCTCACGCCGTTGTGGAGTAAGCCTGATGTATCGCACCAGGTTGTGAAGACGACCCAAACATCCGAACTTCTTCCAGAGCTCTTCCACCTTCGTATAGTCGCCACGTTGATGATGCTTCTCCAGCTTCGCAAGATACTTCTCACAGTTTCGCCCCATAAGGAACGCCTGGCAACAGAGGTTGATGACATGGCCCAAGCAACGCAGCCGGCGATGACGACGTTGTTTTGACTTCATCCATGGGCAGAGATCCTTGAGTATAAACTCAACAGCGGTATCATTTGCCGAGGCATTATCCAGCATAAAGTATCCAATCTGATCTCCGCTAATGTCGTATTCTTCCAGCAATTCAAGGACCACCGATCCAAGATTCTCTCCAGTATGTTCGCCGTATATACGTCGCATACCTAAAGCGGTAACACGTCGCATGCCGGTAGTATCAATCCACATAGCGACGACGCCTAGGATAGCGTAAGGGTTTGGTGAAGTCCAGAGATCAAAGGAGATAGAGATCCTACTCCGTGAATGGTGTAGGTCCTCCCTAAGCTGTTGCTTCTTCGATATGAATGCATTCATTACCCAGCTTCGGATAGTCTTCGCAGCCTTCGGGAGGTGGTTGAGTAGTGCCGGATTTAAAAAGAGGAGTAGTTCACGAAAGTACTGGTTCTCTAATTGAAAGAAGGCGATATGGCAGTACACAATCCAACGAATTAGAAGCTCTTTAAACTTCTCTACTGACTCCTTCCAGAAAAAGATGCTGGAAGCAGCCCCATCCTTTTGCTGGTCGATTATAGACTTCCGTACAGAACCCTTTCGCTTGATGCCACTCTGGGGATCAATCTGGTGCTTCTGTTCCAGGTGATTCCGGATCCTAGAAGTGCCATTGATGACAAACAACTCTTGCTTGCTCTTCCCAACCCTGCACTCATGGCAGTAATACACCTCTTTCTTATCGCTATCTCGAATGTATTGGAGTCCGTACTTCCAGATGTGTGATGTACCTTGACGGAAATCCTTCCTTGCAATTATTGCACGTTTCACGTACGTGATACCGCCCTGCACGAACTCATCTGGAGATTCGTGATATTGAATAGGAGTGGGTGATAGTATAGGGGTGGGTGATGACGTGGGGATAGGAGATGGAGTAAGAGACGTTAAATCTAGTCTTATAATATTCGATGGGGACGGTGAGGTTGGTGTTGAAGGCTCCATAACAATAGTATATAAGTAGGTTGTTAAGGACTTGATTGTTCTATGTAAGTAGAAGACTTACCTTGATCTTAATGACTCATATTGTGCTAAATTTTCTGGCTAGATTAGTCTAAGATCTAGTTACGTGGACCTATTTATAGCTGGACCGGTCCGATTATTTAGACCGGTCCGACCACGGTCTCAAAAAATCGCCAGACCAGACCAAGTCTTGGCGGTCTAGACCAGACCAAGACCAAGTCAGACCAGACCATTCCGATCACTGACCAGGTACAAGTCACTACTATGTCTGAGAATAAAGGATGCCAGACTACTGAGGTAGCGAGGGAGACTATTATACACTAGCAGACGGAGGTACACGAAAAGCCGAGTATTACTACAGGCATGGAGATGCAAAACACTGGTATAAGAAGGGAGACGGTTGTCTACAAAGAACCCGAGTCGACTGAAAAGTCTGGTACTGCTGGAGACGCAAAAGTGGACAAGAAAACAAAGCCTATCAACGTTCTGAACAACGCCATTGAAACCGGAAATATCTTGAGAAGCGAGCATCACAACATGACAGCGACAACTACTCAAGGCGACTACCAACCGCGTGGAATGATCCCAGTCACAGAGACGCATGAGCTGCATGGCCATGGCGGCGGCGAAGACAAAGTCAAACACATAGAGCACATGGAATATGACACTAACAGCGAGCACGAGTACCCAGATATTTCCGACGACGAAGATGAGCATGAAGGCGCGTATGAGCATAGTGGTGACGAGGAGAGCGTTGAGGGTGACTATAGTTCCGACGAGGAGGATGAGGATGTGAAGACTGAGCAAAAGGATTTGACTGCTCCTTCTGCCTACAAGTGAGCAGCTGGTGAGAAGGTAGAGAAGAGTCGTAGGTGGCATAGTTGAGTTTTTCAGATGATATTAAGTAGATACTCAGACTGAAATCAAATGCAATGGACTTGAATGCCTAGAAATGTGACGGTATAGTCTATCGTGGCCATCCGTTAGTCTGAAGATGTGATATCGATAGATCGGGGGTATTATTTGAATGGGATAATTCTAGGGTAAAGCCTATGAGCACGAGGGTATGTGGTATGTGCTCTGGTTTCACGAATTTCGTGGACATCTGTTGATGATCGTACCGGCTTTGAGTTCACCCATTTTTGTGATATGCACATAACCTCTTGGTGCATTTTACACAAATTCATTGAAATTTTGTGACTAGAAACGTGTCAGTGTATCTGATCTTGGCGATGTGTTGATATTGTTTCTTAGTAGGTTACATTTAGATTGGAGCTGAACACGCCAAATAATTTTTTCAGTGTAATATATATCACATACGTGCAGTCAGAACACTGTTGAATGAATTAAAAATCACGAGTAACTACTTTACTGAAGAAGAAGGTTGAAGTCGACTGTAATCTTTCTTTGGATCTATTAAGAGCTATCTAATATACATGTAACTAACAGAGAAATATTCCGGATAATTAAGTTCAGAGAGAGCAGTGATCCTGCGAAATCTGTATATAAAGGACTGCGTCTTTCACCCTTCTTGTCTCTACCAAAACACAAATTCCTACTCTATAAAGCTTCAACCCTGTCTCTCATACAGCATCAGCACTACCACAACACAAACCTATATCCTACAAAAATTCAGTATTCAGACATAAAACAGGGCTTTTCAGGAGCGACAATGACTTGAAGCGGCCACGTAGCCTTGTAATGCAGGTTGTGGACCACTACCGATGGAAAAAGGTTTGCAAAAGGAGAGAAGAGTTCTGTGCGAACATGTCGCCAGCCCTCAAAGAACATATCGTCGCTATGAAACTTAAAGAATTGCAGAAGGAAGAAGAGTTCATCATAAAGCTAGAAAAGATGAGGCAAGCGGCAGATAAGGACGAAACTCGAAGGAGTAGATGGAGGAGAAGGCATAAACTCATGTAACTTGCATAGCCAAGACAATATAACCAAACTTAAATCAGGCCTGATACCTCATCCACCAAAGCCTCCGCATAATCTAGGTTCGTGACCAATCAGCTCTTGCGGACTCCCAAGATACAAATCCCCCCAAAAGGTCACGATGCCCTCAACCGGTGTAAAGGCGGCACATGCGTACGACAATGGCGTACGCCGTGTCACGTTATACACGCGCAGCACATTCGCTTATCTGCATGACCGTAACTACATGATGTTGTGTCGTCTTCTTGCATCCCAAACAAAAACATTGATCTTCGAGACATGACTTCAGGACTACCGTGGCACTGACTTGTTGGTTTACAAAGGGCGGTTGACCGAGTTTGTAAGGGAGCAAATGAGTCACTGACTTGCTTCAAGTATGATTGGATGTTGAGTGATAAGTGGAGGTGAAGAGGAAGCCAAAACAAACCAAGCCCAATTCGTACTTGCGCACTCACTCACACTCACCTTCACCTGGACTCGGCAGCGCAGAATCGACCATTTGCAAGCTTTTCTTCTCGCGTGTTCTACAGCCCAGCCCAGTCCCCACCCACAGTGTCTCCCATTCACAGAAAATTCTCTGCTTTTCTTTCTCTTCTTCCTCATCTTGTAACGCCGTCTTCCACACGGCCGATCCTTTCTATCCTCGTTGTTTACCTCCAGACCAACGGCATCGCAAGCATGGCTACACATATCACGCCCCGTCTGCCTACCTCGCCGCCATCAAGCCCAATGCGCCCAGAGACAGCACAGTGTACAATCCGAGCCATTCCGCCATCGCCATCGCCATCGCCATCGCCATCGCCATCAGCTTCGCCGCTTAGCCAGACAGCAGCCTTGTGGCTCAACTATGCTGACACGGGCACACGTGATCCTGACACTTTGACAGATAGACAAGTCCCCGGCGGAGAGGCCGTTGAATCGGCCACGGCGAACGAGGAGGGGTACTCCACTTCCAGTGACACGGAGGTGGAGTACCCCGATACTCCCACGCCATTGACGAACTGGCAGAAGAGGAGTGCCTACCTGGACCTGGGCACACCAACCCCCCCGTCCGTCACCAACTCCAAGGGCTCAGCAAAGCCCAAGGCCAGCAGCTCCAGCCTGAGAAAGGTGGCTGCTCCAGTGCCTCTTCTGCCAGTTCGTCCAGTGCACCCGATGCAGGAGACGACGCAAGAGGAAGCGGACAAGGAGCGTAAGGACCTGGAAGACGAGATCGCCCAATTCTCCAGGGAGTCAAGTGCCCAAGGCATACCGATGGAGCTTCAACGCTTCAAGAGGAGCGGCGAGGACGCCGCCGTCATCACCAAGAATGCATACAAACTCCAACCCCGTTACCCTAACGATCCTTCTACTCATCAGATCCCTCGTGGTCCTGTTCCTCCGCCCGGTCGTATGCCTCCTCCTGTTCCTCCGCCCAGCCGTATGCCTCCTCCTGTTCCTCCTCCTCAACCTCGCCGTCCTCCTCCTCCTCAGGTCCCTGCTCTGGCTGCTCATCCCGCCGTCGACATGTGCGGTAGCATGTCGTATCACGGATCCATCGAAGATCAAGCACGCCGCCCTTACCTCTCGCGTGTCCCAGCTACTACCAGCACCACTATGGTAAGAGAGCGACCCGTTTTCAGCATCCCAGGCCGCGACGAATATGAGCGGAAGAAGATCACTTTGGAAGCTGATGATGGACCATTCGCACAGGCTATCAGCATGCACGACTTGAATCGGTCGCGGCGAATCATCAACGAGGAGGTCGATGCCCGAGCTCCTGCTAGGCCTGATTGGAAGGAGGATATGATGTGTGGATGCGTACTCATGTGAGAGACGAGGCAGTCCGGGGATTCTTGTTTCTATTCTCTCTTCTCTTCTTCTATTTTCTTTTGTGTACAGAACGATGATGATACCCGCGATGGATGCGAGATGGATTGTATGCGAAGGCGAGGCCGGAATACAGACGTCTACGACAAGAGACACTAAGAGATACTTTTGCCTATATGACCCGATTGGGATCACTGGCGATGCGTGGTTACTGCTTCTTTTAATCTTTTTTTCACGATGACAATGTACGACGAAGCTACGAGAGACGAACAAAATGGGGGATGACGGCGTTTTTGTATAGCTCAGCAGAGTTCTACTTCTCATCAGTCCAAATGTACAATTATCATAGACTCACTATCGGGAGTAGTTCGATGCACGGTGAAGTAAAAATTGCGAAAACACCACCACCACCACCAGCAGACAAAGCCCATAAACATAGTCTCTCACCTAACATACCAGCAGCGCAGCGACACACCCACCGTGCGCGCTCCCAAACCACAGTACCATGGTACACCCACCCGCATCAGGAACAGCGAGCGAGCCACACACCCCCAAAACAACCACCGTTTCCAAACCGTCGACCGAACCATGAACGACTTCGACACCACCGCCAGTCCACACACCTTCTGACCGCTTTCCACCCTGAACACCACAAGCCGCCGAAATGCGCAAACCCAAATCCGCCGCCACCGCCACCGCCAGCATCAGCGCCAGCACCAGCTACAAAACATCGTCTAGCACAACCCTTAGACCCACCCCACCACGACCATTACCGCCCCGAATCCCTCCTCACACCTACACCGATCGGAGGCGCAGTGTCCACGCTCGTCTCCACCGCGAACGCAACGGCGCACCCTATATGCTATCCGACCTAATAGAGAGCACACATCGACTTTCAGATACCTTGCCGCCTGAGTTTTGGGAGTCTAGTGCTGTGTTTGGATTGCGGAGGGAGGAGGGAAGTGGGGAGTTGCAGATTGTGAGCTTAGGGTTGGGGGCAATGGAAGGAGACGAAGGGGAAGACGAAAGGGAAGAAGAGGAGGATAATAGATGGGGGCTGGGAGAGGCGACGACGACAAGAACGTGGGCTGATAGGTGTGTATGTTGGATCAAGAAAGGCGTGGCTTTGATGGCGTGGAGACGGGTGAGGGGTGTGCTTTGATCCTAGATACCGACGAAGAAGTAAAATCGAAATGGCTGCACTTTACAAACAACAAGTGGTTTCAGGAGCAGGATCTCTGGGCGCGAATAGACAGGGCAAGGGCGAGGAGATATAACATTGTTGAACACCAAAATATGTGAGCGAGCATTCTACGACAAAAGACATTCCTCTCCATGACGCGTCACTTGGCTGATAGAAAAGTACGAAGCACGAGACTCGAGAACTAATCGTGCTTCTTAGACGAGGAGAGTCCAGCGGCCATGTCGAGACCCTGGATAATATCGGAACCGAAGACGATGGTCATGTACATTGGGAAAGCAACCCAGAGACCGCTGTTGCGATACGTTAGATTGTGCTGGTTTTCATCACAGAAGAACACGGGAAGAGCCCAAGCTCGGAAGTAAGGGAGTACCAGAAATGGAAAACTTACTTCATAACGCCGTAGAACCAGAGAATGGTAAGAAAGTCGTTGTGCTTGATATTCGCGAAACCAGAGTAGTACTCGTTGAAATCTATCAATCATTAGCCCACAACCCCCCTCTCTCTCCATACGTGTATAACACTCACAATAAAGCACCGTCTTACTCAACGTCATCACCGCCGCCGCAAACCCGATCAACGCAGCGCGATTTCCATTCTTGCCCCGCACCTTCCTGCCTCCACCGAGAAACTTGCCCTTCCCCTCGACCTGCACGCCCGCCGCACCCCCCAACGTAGGAACACTGTGTTTGTAAACCGTCATGGCGTAAATCGCATACAAGACAAGCTCAATGGCATTCAGGACGCCCTGCGCGCCTCCGAAGCCATCGCCTCGCTCCCACCCGGGCCACCCGTATACATGGTCAATCGAAGCGTATATCTCGTATGGCTTCCACAAAGGCCACTGTAGCGCACCGCCTGCCATCGTGTGTGGGCGCAGCAAGATGTACAACGAGTCCCACAACACCAGTGGCCAGGAAACTGCGAGCCAGCCGAGGGTGATGTTGGAGGCTGTATGGCACCAACCGTCCTCGCCGTATTCCTCTGGCGCCGGGGGCGCGACTTCGGCAGCGACGTTTTTGGCTGCGCGCTTCGCGAGCGATTGGGCAGATGGCGACGACATGGCGCTTGGGTCTGGTGTTGAAGTGCGCGAGCGCGGTGCTTTCTTCATGGGCGAGGGTTCGGAGGCGGGGAAGTCGCCTTTGGGAGTGGAGCGCGTGGACACCATGGTTGCGCGCGCGCGTTTATATATACGTATATCACGTTTAGGGGCGGAGGACGACGGAAGCGCTGGGGGGGAGTTGAACGAGAAAAGCAAGAGTGCAGACGTAACGTGTTACGGAACCAGTGGGGTCTAGGTTCCTTGCTTAGCCGGCGGACCTATTCCCGAGCAGGAAGCAAGTTGAGGGTATTGTGGTTGAGGCCAATCAGGCTCAGATCGGTCCTGAGCGCGGCGTTATTAGTAGGATTATTAGTAGGAAGCCATTACTGCATACTGTGGCCCCAAGACTTACCCAAGATGCTATCAGCCATCTTGTGAAGCATGCCATGTCCCTGGATCTGCTATGGAATATTCGCGCCCGAACGAGCGCCTGCGGGTGGTGCCAAAATACTCAGGACAACACACTGCATGCACATATAGGTTGGGATGTGCCATAAGCACGCAGTCTCACACGCGTGTTGACTTTTCCACGTCATCTTCCTAGGCCGCGGCATGTGACATAACGATATTATGCGGGGGGAGCCTGATATACAGCTCAATCTGATGACGTCAAACACAAGGCACGGGTTAGTATTCACAGCGTAGTCAAGAGCAATGTAAAGCTTGATTGCACATCACCATAGCTTGCAGTTCCAGATGTGGCAATGGCTATGTTATTCCATTGCTTATACTATGTTCCGCATATGCTCATCACATGCTTGCCCTTCGTGAATGAATGTCGTGCCAATATCACAATCGTCTCCGTCAAGAGTAGGTTAAGCGGTGTATGTCAAAGACAGGTGGGTTCGGAGTGGTGTTGTCGCATGGTAGTGATCGTATCGGGAGTTTCTGACCAAGGCGTTAGAAAGGAACACCATCCAAACAGTGACAGTGACATACATTTGCCGCAAGTGCAAGCTCCCTGAGCGCAGCCGCAGTCGGCGCAGGTGCATCCAGAGTTTCCGCAGCCGCCCTTCATTTTGATGTTTGGTCGAAAAGTTCGAGAGTGGTTTTGAGAGTTGAGAGAGTAGTGTCGTGCTTTTGCTTTGATAGTTTGCTGGAGAGGAAGAAGAAGAAGAACAAGAAACTGGAGGGGTATCAGCGGGGACTGCCTTTTATCTTCCAGAATTCGATGACCAACCGGTCTCGGCACCAGCAAGCGTGACGCCGATACCCGCACTTGTTGTGACATCTCAAACGCTACGTCCCGGAGTATCTTCCAAGATTGTTCATTTAGGCGGGCCGGATTAGACGACCATCGAATCAGACCAGAGGCACGGCATGAGACCAGTGGATGGAGTGGCAAATCGAGCTGCCTGGTCAAGCGTTGGCGGCTGCACCAAACCGTGTTTGCGCAAGTTGCGTGGGAAGGTCGTGTGGGTTGGCTACGCAGTCTAGGCGCGTGGGGCAACCCACAACTTGCACTTCTCCGAGTGAAGCCATGCGTTGAGCTAGGAATGTTGTTGAGATACTCGGGACATGTGTACTCCGCATCATGGTCGAAAATGATGGATGAACTGACAGTGAAATTCGGTGTCATTGCACATCGAGAGGGTTACCTGCCTTCAGCCGGCATTGCCAGCTGTCTCCCACGTAGCCACCACATTCTTGCCCCGGGCTAGATGTGTAGTGAGCAGCTTACGTATCGATCCCAACCCTGACCCAACACGCAAAAGCAATGGCTGGGTATTGGAGTTTCTATCGCAGCCCCTTGCGTTTCTGCGAGACTCATGACTTCAGCCCGGGATTTCTGATAGGCGTAAACGGTGCAGAGTGGCTGGAAAGTACACCGTTCAATCATTCAGATGACGCCCCTTTTCTCCATGTTTGCGAGGTCAATGACCTCCTCTTCAATCTCAGACTCTGGCGCATGTTTGCCCTTTGCATTCTTGCCGCCTTTGGCGCTGCTCTTTCCACCGGCATTTCCCCTCTTTCCATCCTTGATACTTCCCTCATCGTCGTCATCGTCGCCAAACAGGAAGCCCTTGCCCTTCATTCGTCTCTTCTCGTCAGAGGAGAAGGTAGAGTGCGCAGTGCCAGAGGCAAAATTTGACGATGCCGAGTCTTCACCAAGCATCCAGGAGAAATTGGACGACGTGAGATGTGGTCTTGAGCGCGGAGAGAGAGCTGAGGCGAGGTTCGAAGGAGGCGACAGTGCCTGCGCTGGTGGAGAGGTGGGACGGGAATCGTGAGGAGAGGGGTTCTTGGGGACTACCGTCAATGGGGTTGTCGACTGAGATGTCGTCGTCAACGAGATTGGCGGGACACTAGAGGTTTGTTCCGACGAGACTGGGTACTGGGGACTCGGGGAAGCTAGTGTTGCCGCGGCCTGTGCTGTCGCAGCTTGGTCTGTCGCTTCGTCGGCAGGCAGCGGGATCGAAGAGTCCTCGAGGTACACTTGCACAAACTGCACTTTTGCGATTGCAAGACTGAGTGCTTCCATGGCTTCCTTTCCGTGTTGATCGTTCTGTCCCGCCTTTTGTGCCTCGTCGCGCTCCCTGTGGTATTCCCACAAGTCGCCAACGGCAACTTCCAACATCTTAGCCAAGCTCTTGTTCCTCCGGTCCAGCTCTGCTACTTTCCGAAGAGCGTTGGCCGATTGCACTCGCTCTAGGCTTGGTCGCCCGTTTGCAGTGGCTGTGCTTATGTTCCCGGGCTTTCGGAACTCCCTTCCCCCAGACCGCGGCGTTGTGGTTCCAGTGTTCGCGCCAGACTGGTAAGCTTCGACGTTCTTCTTCACTTCACCCACGGCATCTCGCAAAACCTTGCCGACGCCCCATTGCGATCCGCGGTCCATGACGTTCTTCGCAGCCCCTTGTAACAATGCCTCGAACCCGACGCCTTGTTGGTTTATGAAGTTGGTAGGTGACCGTATGTTATTGCGCGTTCGACTGGAGACGAACGACGGCGACGGCGACGGTTCGCGGTCTCTGGCCATTGGCCCAAGCTCGAAGACGGGCGCTTGCTTGCCGTATCGGGTGATGATCTCAGCACCACCTTGCGGTGTGAGATGATCTCGCAGATATAGAGCATCCTTGATGAAGGTATACGGGGGTGTGGCTGGCTCTGGGTATCTTAGCAAAAACGCAAAGGCCTCGTTGGTATCAGCTGCGATCAGCTCCCAGCGTATGCGCAGTAGCATAGCAACCGAGATCATGTCAACCAGCTCCAGCGACGAGTCTATGGCAAACAATGCGTCCCACATGTCGAATACGGCATCCAGAGAGAACTCGCGGCCGAACAGAAGGCGTATCCAGCGTCTAGCCATGTCAGCAAAGGCAGAACTGGGCGTGTTAGTGGCTTACAAAAGGAAAATTTGCGGAACTATTTCTAGCTTAACGAGATGAGCGTGTAATTCCGGATCCGCCTTCAAAAGGCAATTCTCAAAGATCCTGGAGCTTCTGATAAGCATCGGGGTGTCTTTGGTCGTGGAGCCTGTCTCTGCGGGCGCATAGAAGGACTTGGCAGTCTGCATGATGATGGAAAAGAGCATGTGCGTGTCGTGCTCGATGTAGCCAGAGTCGAGCATCTCTGCAAGCGTGTGGTCGATTGCGCCGGTCTTCTCCTTAACAATCTCAATGGCGTCTCTTTCCACGACCCAGAGCAGAGGCGCCAGTATCTCGTGCATGCCTTGTCGATAGCCTATGCCCGGGTGCATCTTGCACCACACAAACAATATGTCCAGCATCATGTTCTGCGTGGCGGGCTGGCGAAAGTAGACATTGTCTGGCATACATCGCTCAATGTCTTGAAAGATTTCGGCGCGGAGTTCTTCGTCGGCTCGGAGGGCTACCCATGGGGACTTTTAACGCTTAGTACATGTCAATACCAGTGTCTAGAGAGCACGGGTGGCATATACCTCAGACAGCTCGCTCAAAGGGTCTACAGAAGAATCAAATTCGTCTGGATTTTGTATCGCGCGGAGGTAGTGTGATCGCAGAGACTCGTACGTCTTGCGCGCCTGACTGAGGTGGGTAGGCCATGACGAGCGGTCGAGCGTCTTGAAGACGAGGAAGATCTAGCTATGGGATGAGCCGAGTGGGGGGATAGAGGGGTATAGCAGTTGCCACCTTCCAGCAGACAGATCGCAAGCCAGCCGTGATCTGGGGCTCCTTGTGTGAAGAGACATGAATCTTCAGGTCCGTCAGAGAGTGGAAGTCGTCCAACTGGCGCCAGTATTTCCTGTATGACATTAATAATTGTACGATACATGAGAGAAGAAGGCGTACGTGGCTTCGGCTACAGAGCGCATGGTGCAAAATTACAGCGCAGTGTGTGAGTACTGTGTCGGCTCCCAAGCGTACCCTGATGGTAGCTTGGGCTCGCGATATGCACCATGATGCGATGGCGCGCCGCGGGGCAACATGTGCCGATACGTCACGTGTATCACCTGTGTCATGGGCGAACTGTCAATTGCGCTAGGAACATCTGGGATGCAGTCTGTTGCGTTGCTAGGCGGCCAAGAACAGTGTTTGTTTGATGATTCAGCTGCAAAGGAGCATCACCAGCACAAGAATAGGTCACGACGTCACCATGACTTTCTAAACATGGATACGAGGATGCACGATGTGTAGCGTCTACCATTCCAATAGCGTGGTACGAAGCCACCTTGTCGAGTTTTTGCACACTATTCTGGCTAGGAACGGGAGCGCATCGCATGTTGCATGGCACTGTGGATAGCAGATGGTGCGGGATGCTTGCCATGGTCCACGATAGATTACCATCTAAACTAGAGGCCAGTGGCGGCGCGCGTGGCATGACATGCGCCGGTGTGGCGCAAACTATGCTGCGATTTAATCTCCTCTCTCCAACAGTCTGGGTGGTGGTGTTGTTCAGCTGTCGGGGCGACGGTGGCTGGCTGGGGGTGGTGGGAATTGCAGCTTCGGCGCGTCGGCGATGGTTTGCAGTGACTAAGCGGGCATAAGCTCCTCACATGACGGTGGTCCAGGTATGTTCGGTACCAGGCACGCATTGCATCACGCATCACGGCTTCGGCCGATGTGACCATGAGCGTTTACCGCCAGTCTTTCTTTGCCGGTACTGCATGTCGCTGGCCTTCGATGACTAGGCGGTCCATGAGGCCGGGGGCTAGAATGTCCTGTCGGAAGCGGTCCTGCTGCAGTAACTCGAGTGCACGGAGCGTGGGGCCCGGGTGACTGGGAGACAACATCAGCATCAGCATCGGCATCAGCATCAGCAAACATGGAATTTGGTCAGTGCACTGGAGGTTTGCTGTAGCGCAACGTACTGGAGAAATTTTGCATACTTTGGCTCCTTGAAGTACTGTAGGTAGCCGAGGTATGCGACGAATTCGGGCTTGTCAAGCGTCTTCTGCTGGGCAAGATAGTTGAGATAGACGGGATTGGCAAGGCACTGGACAAACTAGGCGGTGTTAATGAAGATAAAACAGGGGCTAATGACCCAGGCGGTATAGGGGAAATGTGCACACCTCTAGCTCGAGCTCGAAGCGTGAGAAACCTCCTAGGCCCGGGACGTCTTTGAGGGAGTGTTCAGAAGCCATGTTGTTTGGGGTGCAGTGTGCAGGACAAGGTCGAGGTCGAGGTCGGTGTTGTCGGTGGTTTGCAGGTGGTGACAGACTACGACTATGGCGGACAGGCGTGCAGGTCATGAGGCTGAAGAAAAGCAATTCAGGGTCTTTCCCCGCAAATCGAGGCCACAGCTGGGCACAAGGTCGGCAGCTAGTCCGGTTGAGCGGGTGAAGTGGGCTTTGAGCAAGTACAAGGGGGAGTTTGTCAGTCAGGAGAAGAAATCAGGAGAGTAGAATTGCGTGTATGCGTGTCAGCAAGTGCATTACAGCACAGTATGCGCGTAGATGAACGGCGGCGATATAGAGGCCTAGACAGACATGCTAGACATGCGTGCCAAACATGGTCAAGGACGTGATAGTAGGCTTGCAAGCCACGACCCTGTCCCCTGCGTTGCCGTGCAGCTCGGGCCCCTCCTCTCCTTGCCAACCCCACAGGCCGAGTGGGTGCAGTGCGTGTTCGGCCGTCTAGTAGGCAGATTTACCCTTGGGACTCTCGTTTTAGGCTTTCTCGACACCCATCTCGTGACTTGGCCGCCCAGGTTTGCCAGCCGGTGCCACCGAACACGGCAAACACGAGAGGCTTTCTGGTCAGTCTGGTCCGTCTGGTCTAAAAAGCCCTAGGCTGCTCTTGCGCTGACTGGCACTACTTACACCTGCCCACCTGCCGTGCGCCGTCGCAGTCTCAGTCTCAGTCCTGCCCACTTGCCATTCGTTTGCTTTTCAAACCTCCAGTCCCCTTCCCACCCCTCGACTGCGCTGTATTCACTAGACGTTGCATAGACTACTAACGGGCCCTCAAACACGACACCTCCCACACAACACACGACGCGCCCCCACTCAACAGCCCGCGGTTACCCACCGGGCCCGTCTATCCTCAGGTGCGAGACACGAGACACAGAAGACCAGAAAAGCATCGGTATCGGTATCGCCAGTCTTAGAAGTTAGCCAAGCCCCTATTTGCCAGGCTGCAGGCTGCCATAGCCGACGAGTGCACCAGCACCACAAGTCCCAGTGCGCGTCACCAGCCCAGCCCTTTTGCTCCGACCACGCCTGCCCACGTCTGTCGTCGCCCGCGCCGCCAGTGTTTGATTGGGCCGCCGAGCAGGGAAGTGAACAGCAGTCAGCATCATGTTTGCAGAGCCGTCAATGCCAGGTAAGAGGCCCCATCACAGCCTGTTTCAGCATATCTTGGGCTGCCACCAATTTGGACGCGCCGCTGATCACTTTCTTATCGGAATACAGAAAGGCGACCCTCGCCCGGATTGCAGCTCGAATTCTCCTCCAACAACCCCTTCCGCCGCGCTGCCTCGCCCGCCTTCCCTTCGCCCGCCTTGAACTCGCCCGCCAGCGCAAACCGCGACAGCTCTGGAAGCCGGCCAATGTCCCGCAACCCCTTCATCTCTACCTTTGAAAAAGAGTTCAACAAAGAGGCCAAGCGCGACCTCGTCGACATGTCGGCCACCATGAAGGAATCTCCTAAGAAGTCTTCCTTTGGTTTTGCCGCCGAGGAGCTCTTTGTACGTCATTTGCTCCCCTTGCTGCGAAACCCCCCGTCACCTTCACGTTGTACACGCCCTATCTCTCCACCGTACACCTGTACTCACCCGTGCACGCACTCACCTGTACAAAATCACCGAGACGGCCAAATCTCGCAATTCCTCCCCAAACTTTCCCTGCACAGCTGCACAATCCACACTCCGACATGGACCGCTTCAAGCGCTTTGTAGGCACCTTTGCTGACTATCCCTCCCTTGAACAGAAGAACCTCTCTATTGACGACGGCGACAAGAAGCGTGCTCCTCCGCCACGACCCGCCCCCGCCCGCAGCGGCACCGACCCCCGTGCAGGCCACCGCCCTTCGCGCTCCGAAGAGGAGAGAAGGGAGCGCGCACGCGAATCCTCGCGCGGACCTTCGCGGCCTCGGGGACCACCAAGCTCTTCCGACCGCCGGGACCGGGAGCACCGCCGCCCGCGACGCAACTCCGAGTCTTCCATCGCTGACAAGGGCACACTCGACCCACGCGAGGAGCGCAGGCGCCGAGAGCGTCGCCGGGAGCGCGAGGAGCGTTCCAAGGATGGCAAGGACGGCAAAGACAGCAAGGGAAAGCGCGTTCGCCGTCCCCAAGGTCTGGATCTGATCGACAAGCTCGATGTCACTGGCATCTACGGCCCTAGCATGATTCACCACGACGGTCCCTATGACGCCGTGCAGCCCCACCGCAACCGCAAGAAGGACCAGCGCGCGCCCATGGAGGCTTTCCCTGTCGGATCTGCCAACAACTCGCTGGGTGGCTCCGGACCGTTGAACACCAAGATCGACCTTGACCGAATTCACGGCAGGGGTGCAGAGGGCTTCACAGACTTTGCCGTCGCCGCCGAGTCGGACTGGAAGAAGGCAACACCGCCCACCGCCGAGTTCAGTGCCAAGGGCCGAGACGACATTGTCCATGGCGAGCAGAGCCACGGTCTCGGAACTTCCACCTTCCTGGAGGGCGCACCAGCATCCCGCAAGGCTATCGAAGAGGAGAGCGAGGCTCAGAGGCAAAAGTCGCTAGCTGAGGGTGGTCTTGGCCGCAAGAAGTCCATTGCCCAGCGATTCCGTGGCATCTCACAGCCCCGTCGTTATGGTGACAATCCCCGCATTCAGTCACCCGAGGCACGCTATGGAGCTGGTAGTCCCAGTGGCCCTTACAGTGCCGGAGTGCTTTCCCAGAGCAAAGCCACGGAGCCCAACCCGTTCTTCGGCAGTGACGAATACGAAAAGGCTTACGACGCCAAGGGCGCGACCATCCGTACCACCGAGGCCAACGGGGGATCTCCTCCTCGCGGCGCCAACCTGCAACGGTCCATTACAACCGACAGTGCAGGATCACCCACAGGCGAGGGCAAGCCTAGCGGCGGATTTCTCAACAGAGTCAAGTCACTCAAGGGCGGCCCACGCCGACGTCCCGCTTGAGAGGGTGAGAGATGCTACACATTTGCATTACCTCTACATCCAGTCGGCGCAGGTAGCCTGCTTGGCCGGTAAAAATACCAAGCATTGCACGAGGGCGACAGCAGCAGCGGCGACGCGACGGTAACAGCATCACAACTTTAGACGCCAGCCGCCTATCTCTCCCACCGTCACACACCTCCCTCCGGGGACCATTTTCTTTTCCTTTCGTCTGGTACCGGAGTGATTGGGACTTTGAAAGCACGCGAGGTCTGGATACCACTCATGTGTAAAAAACCGTAACAAAGGCGAGCTGCGTCATCGACGACATACGCGCGCGCGAACCGGGAGGGCTTCTCTTTTTTTTTCTACAGCTGCTTCTTCTTCTTCTTCTTCTATTCCACTTTGATCAAGAAACATGCGGCACACACCTCTTTTTTTTTCTAATACACGGGGAATTGCGGAGTGGGGGTTCGAATGAGTGAGTTAGTGGGAGACAATCTGTGTAACCATTCCATCACATCACACTTTGCAAGTTTTTGCGATCAAAGTAGCTGGGCAAGTGGGAGTGGTAGGGCGTGTCAAGGGGCGCGGGATCGGAATTGGAATTGAATTAAACCTATGTAGCGAATATCAAAAAGACTTGTCACGATCTTGGTCCCTTGGTGTTGACGGTGTTGCTGATGTCATAATGGCTGATCTCTTGGTCTTGGATCTTTGATATGGGCTGATGCGACTCCGCTGATCGCTGATCATTCAAGACGCACAGGCATCACAAACATTGGTTGATGACGCGCGTGACTTGCCCCTGGCGATCGTTCAGGGGCTGGCTTGGGCCAAGAAAGGCAACTCGTCGTCGCAGTCGTCGTCGCATGCCCGCCCACCCGCGGGCGCTACGTACATACTCCGCAGACACTGGCGGCTACATGGCTGGCCGGCGGTTAGTTATCCACGTGGATAGTTGTGCTTCTTCGCGTTTGTGAGACGTGCTTGTTTTGTTTTCTGGGCGGGCGGATGTCGGTCTCGCTGTCGCTGATGGATGGTCTAGACGGTCAGATTGCAGATTGACAAGGTAGGGGATATCGGCAATGTCAGATTTCTCGCTCAGCAACTGGAACCAAGGCGGAGGCGGAGATGAACGGGGGGTAAGGGGGGTGGTGAGATGGAATGACTAGATTGCGTGTGTAGATCGGGATCGGAATTTGATCGGATTACAGTATGTAGATCGGGTCTGGATGATGGAGGTTACGAGGTGGGAGGTGCGTGTGGGAGGTCGGAGATGCACGTAGGAAAGACGGATTGGTGTGTTGATGTTTTTTCTTTGTATGGTTGCATCGTTATTGTGGTTTTCGAAATACCTTGAGCCGCCTGGATCTGGTTAGCTTGGTGCCCAAGAACATCAACTCCCATAGTAGTAGTAGTAGTAGTAGTAGTATCCATTAACGTCCTTTTTCAGTCAGAGACTATGTAGGACGGTGGCCTAGGGCCGTTTGACTAGTTTTTTCCCTCTATACCCGTAGGATTTCGTTTCTTTGGTCGAGTTTGACTATGGGGGTTTGGGTTTTTTGCTTCTATACAGGAAAGAGAGAGAGACCTTGTAATAGACACCCGTTTATCTCCACCTTTGTGACCAATCCCTTTGCTATAATAACCCCGTGCTCCTAAGACTGAAAAAAACCTCGTAGGGGAAAAAGTCATGGGACCTTGAACGTTTGTTGTATATAGCGGCAGTTGCGGCATATTTTCGTCTCGGCGGTACTTTGTGGCTCGGTTGTACGGCGGCGGCTAGCGTTAAGCGTGCGGGGTATTGGTGAAAAACTTTCCAGGTTTCGAAAGGAGCCGTTCGATGTTTTTTGGTAAAGCTAGAATAATAGAATTATTATAGCGGTGAGGGGAGAAGGATTCGAACCTTCAACCTCTGCGAGCAAGCTAGCAGAAGCAACCAGGCGCACTACCACTGCGCCATCCCCCCAACTCCCATAGTAATTTGTTAGTAAATTAATGCAGCAGCCGTTTCCCACCTCCAGAAGCCCATGAAGCTAGTCCTGTACTCTAAATCGTTCGTGTATAGCGTTTTGTTTGTGTGGAGCTTGTTGCGAGCTCAATCTAGCTGCTGTTGGGATGCCGCCCAAGCGCCAGCGTAAGCCGAAGCAGCCATTCGATCAAGGCGTTAACCCGTCCTCCCAGAAGCGTAGAGCGCCAGCAACTAGACAAAATCCTACCCATTTAACGCCTAAACGTGTCCGCCGTGAGGCGCTGCCGTCGCCTCCAGCGACTGCCCCGCCGCGCCGTCAAAGCCCGTTGTCCGAGCCTGAGCTGCAAGCCACCCAAACAGCTGCCTCCGCGCAAGCTGAAGATATCGTTGGCGAGGATGAGGATACTTTCGAGGATGGAGATGGCGATCCGCTGCCTGAGGATGAGGATGAGATCGCTGCTAAGGGCGCTGCCGGTAGTGTTGAGGATGAGGGAGAGCCAGCGTACCGACGTCAAGAAGGCACTCCATGGCTGCCTCGCTCATCGCAAGCGCTAGAGGATGAGGTTAATCCTGTACTGCGCGTTAGGTGGAGGGCTTGCCTTGGTGGTGATATGGAGAAACACTTTATTCCTGAAGCTGCCGATAGCGAGCACGGCGTACGGCTGTACTCGCTGCATTTCGACGACCTATGGCAGTGGGTAGATGACGTTGTTGCAGAATTACGGCCAAAAAGAGCGAAGATCTCATCTGTTTGCACTGTTGTTTACCCAGCTAAGCAGGCCAAACGCGAGCGCGCGATAAAGCGATTGCGGCGAGGTGTTGATGCAACGTGGAATAGCTTTCAGCGCCTTGTTGTAGAGGTTGATAACTATGTCAGCGAGCCAGTAAACGTCGATTTCGAGCTCATCTTGGCTGAAATTCCAGGGGAGCAGCAGCCGTTGCCAACGGTTGTCGACGGTCCTCGTCGACGCACCGCAACGGTGATTCAAGAGGAGGGGCTTGCTGGTGTAATAGCAGCTGAACAAGCAGGTAGCGGGCATGCTATTGCTATCCGGGATAGATGGCGCTGTACAGATACCCATTGCGAGAACTATCCTTATTGCTGCTGGATGGCGCCAACAGCGAGGCAGCCAGCGCGCTTCGAAGATCACCTCTTTGTCAACGGCAACATTATCTCCATGTGGGCAAGAGCAATTACAGCGAGAAGGGCAACGTACGATGAGCCATCTGATGATGTACGGCTTGCAATTTTGAGAGCAAAGGACCTGCGGGTGCATGAGAAAACGCGCAAGTTGCGGGCGGCTGGAGATGGCGACGATGATATCAAAAGCTTAACAAAACTGCTCATCGTTGGACAGCTTGAGCGGATGAACAGGCAACCTCAACAGGAGTCTAACTTGCAGGCAGCTGCACCAACGATAACAAGAGCTGAGGTATCTAGTGCATCTCAGTGGGCGCCTATCCGATATGATCATGAGCAGGAGATTAACGAGCATACTAGTAATTTCTTTAACTACCTTAAGTTAAAATTTCCTACAGTTGGAGAGGACATTAACGAGCTTTATAAGACTCTTGTTATTGACGGAGCTATGGATATCAACCTCTTGATGCAGCCATCTGGTGATATCTTGAAGTTGTGGACGCAGCATTTCAAGCAGCCTCCTGGCTGGTTTTTCACGCTACAAAACACTGCAAAAGAATGGCAAGCTGGGTACCAGGGTCTCACAGATCGTAACTGGAGACGAGTCGAACGTTGTAAGAAAAGAGAAGAGATTGCGCGCAAGAAATTGGTGGTTGAACCGTCTAGCAGTGTTGTGGAGGATGATGGCGAGAATGCTTGAAGCTTAGTGGCCTGAGCGTTTTTGGTGACAGCGGCCCGTGCCCGCTATAGTGTTGAGGTTTTTCAGGCGTTTCAAATGCGCTGCAACAATAGTCTATTTGGATAGCCCTATGTACAACACTACAACGTTATGCGATTATAACAGGTTAACTTCCTAAGATAGTTCTATATGTATAGAAATAGCTCTTATTTTTTTAGAATTATTAAATCGCTTTTGTGGGTTGCGCATTAAGGTGTAATCGTTCGCATTTGTATGGTATCATCTACCTATAGAAACGTACTGTGGCATCCATTTAAAAGCACAATTAATAGGGATAGCCACACCTATGGAACCAGCTTCTGCAGTTAATATTACAGCACACCAGCTGCGCTGCATACTCAAGAAAGACCCCAAAGTCAATGAAGTTCTCCGCTTGCGCTGAATTCCTTTTCATCCACCCCTTGAGCTGCTTAAAGCTCTTCTCGATGGGGTTGAAATCTGGTGAGTATGGCGGCAGATACTCAAGGAGTACTCCAGCACTTTGGCAAAGCACCCGTACACGCTCTGATCGATGGATGGAGGCGTTATCAAGCACGATTACTGAGGCTGGCCCTGGGTGAGGATTGCAGAACGGCAGCACTTGAAACTCTAAGAAGTCTTCTAGGATCTCAGATGTAATCGCGCCTTGAAAGATCTTATAGCTTATGTAGCCATCTATCGTCATGGCTGGCAGCAGCGACCACCGTTCTGATCGCCTGAAGCTGTGTGATAGCTCCACCGGCTCCCCGATTGGAGACCAGCCATACTTGCGGTCGCCCGTACGCTCATTGCAGGCGCTCTCGTCCAACGCAACGATCTGCTCCGCCTTATAGTGTTGCGCCATCCTGGCAAGATAGAGGCGGCGGAGTGGCTCACTCTGCTCCTTTGCCCGCTTTGTTGCAAGCTTGCGAGACCATCTCATCTTCTCTAGCTCTCGGTAAACGCTCGCAAGGCTTATCCTAACGTCGTACTCGTCGTACAAGAAGTCCCTCATCTCATCCATGTATGCGCCCGGTGAGCCATTGAGGTATGCCTGAAGGCCTTCGCGCTGAGCTTGCCGGAGTATAGATGGCCGCCCAAGTCGAACGCAGCGCGGCGGATAAGGCACGCCCCAAAACTCTAAGCTCAACCTCAGCTTTGCTACTGTGTTACGGCTCGCACCTGTAGCTCTAGAGATGGCTCGATCACTTTCGCAGGCAGCAATTCGGTCGAGGATAGCCTGGAGAACAGCGGGCTGCAAGCGGTGGCCGGTGCCTGGCATCGCGATGAGATGGGCTCGAGAAAATTGCAACACCAAAAACGCGAGTCAGTAGAGGCGATCGCAGCAAACAATGAACTTCAAATACGTTGTGGGTGTTAGAAAGCGTGGCTGCATCGATTTACTAACAAATTACTATAGGAGTTGATGTTCTTGGCCACCAAGCCAACCAGATCCAGGTGGCTCAAGGTATTTCGAGAAACACCCATATGGGAGTTGACGTACCGGGTACAACAAATATGCGGGTGGAAATGCAGCATACCTATCACATCGGATTGTGCATCCTGCATGATGCCAATATATGAATATGCATATCTGAAAATGTCCATGAACAACTTAGACGCGCGTTTCTTTGCTCATCATGTTCCTGGGTTCTGACCTTGTTACCCGTTGCATATGCATGTGCATATTCGTCCTATCGTTATCTACAGTAGGATATCTCGGTACTGCTAGTAGCTAGTGCGGTGCGTGGCTTCATGTAGGAACGCGTGGCATGGCGGCGCGGCGCGATGGGCTGAGGCAGTTTGGTGTACGTAGTGGGTATGCAGTGTAACTGTAGTGTGGAGTATGTGGTGATAAGGGTGGGGGATAAGGTTGTATGTGGAGGGGGAGGGGGGATGGTGGAGATGGGCATGAGGGTCAGGGTGAAAGGCCAATCTCTATGATACTAGATTGTGAACGTGTAAGGGCGCGTAGAAGAAGGCACACAGGATACGTATACATCTTTCTTTTACCAACAATTCAATTCCTGCACTTCCCATCATCTCATCCTTACAACCCCCTCCACTACCCAGATACCGACTGCTAGATACCTTACCGGGAGATCTTCGGCACAAGCAAACCAGCACAGGTGCAGCTACACACACCCAGTCCCACGGAACGGTTTTCCTTTTGCCACAATCGTCGCAGCCCAGACGTTGGTTGATCTCTATTAGTACACCCACTTAATATACTACTAACTTACTGTATACACCGGCGTCGGGGCGGTACCGTAAAACCAAGGTACCGATACACGTGGGATGACGTCGATGGTGTTATGGATTCCAAGTTCGGGATCGGCAGTTAGCGGACACAGGTGAATGCTAAGCTTGTAGTAATGGTCTAGTCGGATAGGACCCAGGCAATGGCGGCCATGTTCGCATGAAGACATAGGTAGGGCAGATGAGGGTGTGGGCGGTGTTTGTTTCTAGCAGATTGGTTGTGATAATATTGAGAGTGATATAGTTAGTAATAATGTATGTCGGGAAATTACTAGGCTTGTTGGGATGAATGCGTGTGGGAAGGCCCGCTGTTATAATGAGGTTTATATAGAAGAGGGGCATGTGTTATAGGAGGATAAAACGTAGATCCTAAGGCTGTTTTGGGGGAGGAATGTTTGTTCGTTGTGTTATCTACAGTAGTTCATTACTGTATCTTGGTTTGTGTACGTGAGAGGTGAAAAAGAGCGCTGTGTTCAACGGTATTATGAGCGTGAAGCATGTTGATTAGTAGCCATTGAAGTTGCGCTATACCCTGTTATCTGTGTGATATTGATACAATGTCATCACTTCTCAAAAACACAACCTCTTGTGGACCTGATGTGCATTCCCCTCACATGTGTTGTTTATGCAAAGACATGCTCAGAAATTACCCCCATCATCGCATTGATCCTCAACACCCACAAACCTCCTCATTATCCCCCCATTTTAATCTCCCCGTACTCGCCAGCATTACCACTCCTCAACAAACCTCTCAACTATCTTCTCGCCCCCTTTTCACCCGAAACAACCTCATCCGACATATGACCAGGAACAGCGTATCTTAATCCCTGCCTACACAATGTCGCTTGCGAACGGCGCCTGGAAAGATAATTTTAGCGATTGGTTTGCGTAGCTGATGCAGGTTGTGTCAGACGCGTTCGGTTTGGTGCTGAGAATAGCAGTCTGACGTGTGATGTTTCACTTGGGCGGGATGGGAGGGGCGATGGCGATGGGTGGTGATGTGGACGGAGTAGGGGTTTAGTAGATGGGATAGCCCTGGAGGGATGCGCATAGGATGATGTTTTGGTTGGAAGGGGTCTTTGAGTACGGGCGCATGCGTCTGGGTAGATGAGAGGGATAGCTGGGGGCTTGCACAATTTTCACGCGTAGAAGAGTAGGTGAACCTAACCATCATTTCAGCCTGAAGTTTTAATTAAGAGTTTTTTGGTAATTGCGACATTATTGTCTTGTTGTATTCTGTTTGTAAACTTGGGCATTCAAAATGGTGACGTCTTTATCTGGAAGCTACACGCGTGAAAGTCTCGGAACGCGTTCCGAATGATTACATACACACCTGACATACCAACACTGCGCGACAAACACTAATCTCGGACTACTCACCTCCTACCAGCTTAATACATCTAATGGATGCATCTGTAGCCAACGTTGTTACCCCACCTGAGCATGTAGAACCCGTATTCGCCTCTCAACTTATCAGCGACGAAAAGCTGGACGATCTGGTAGACCGCGTGTGCCATTCCAGAACAAGCAGACGAAAGTGTGAAAAGAGCAGGCTAAAAACCAATGTCAGAAGTGTGGATGATGCGCTGGGCGGAGGACTTGAAAGTGCAACAGTAGTCTGTGTCAGTGGTGAAGCTGCAGCAGGTACAAGTGAGGTTAGTACATAAACGATCTGAACATGTACTCCTGCCTAAACATCGCAAGAAGCCCATCGGGATGGATAGGAAAGAGGGGCTGTGTCATAGGTATACACATCCGAAAAGCTGACCGCAGCTAGATCTGCCGCACTTATCTCGTCTCATCTCTCCTGCAGCACGCGAACTCAACGGCTGCCGTTATTGATACGACTGGAAACTTTGATATATTCCGAGTCCACACGCTAATTGTGGCAAGACTATCAGCGCATGTAGATGGCATCCCGGAATCTTTACGGTCTTTGCTGGACCCAGAAAAAGGCGTTGGGATCGAAGAGGTGGCGGCTATGGTTCTAGATCGTGTGAACATTATGCGGGTTTTTGATTTTGAGGGCGTGAAAGAGGCGGTGGGTGAGATTGAAGCAGCGCTGGAGAAAGTGGAAGATGAGGTGGAAAGAAAGAACGTAGTCGGCCTAGTGGGAGAAGAGGAGGAGAAGAGGATGAATGAAAGAGAGGACATGCCAAATGAACCGGAGAAACCAAAGAGGACCTATGTTGCAGACAGCGAAGATGAAGAGGACGGCGAAGAGGACGAGATGCTATTCAATATCGAGACTATTGAGACTACCACAACAACAGTGGCGGCACCACCAGTCCAAATCGCGACGTTAAACATAAGCCCCTCAAAGCCCTTAGAACAACAACCCAGTACCATCAAATTCATTCTCATCGAAACCCTCGCCCAAGTCATCAACCCCCTTTTGAAGAAGGATTACATACAAGGTACGTCCACACCACCTTTCTCTATCTCCAACAAACCCACACACTAACCATTCCTTCCCTCCAACAGCAAACGCCCTCTCATCAGCCTTCCTCGCATCTCTTGCATCCATAACTCATAAACATAACCTCCACACTCTGCTCATCAACCCCATCATCCCTCCCCGCCTACCCTCGCCCACCCGTCCACCAGCAGCAAACGCACCTCCACCACGCCAGCGCCAGGAACCACCTCCAATCCCGTCTGTATTTGCGAGTAACACTGCGGTCCCAGCATTGATGAGTGTGCTGGGACGGTATACAGATTTAGAGGTGTTGGTGGGGAAGATGCCGAGGCGGAAGGGGGACGCAAAGTTGTTCTATAGCGAGAGCAGTAGGAAGCAAGGGGTTGAGACTGTGGGGGTGTTGGAGGTAGTGAAAGATCGAACGGAGGGCCGGAATGAGGCGTGGGCGATCTTTGGGGAGAGTGACAAGGGGATTGGGGACGTGATGGGGAAATGATGGGTGTTGTGTTGATCTATAGACTTCTATCCTCTATGGTAAAGTCTGAGGTGGTTCCTCGAGGTACCAGGCGTCGTCTCCTGTATTTCTTATCCACCCTTTCAATGCCGCTCTCACATCGTCTTTGACTTGCTTCCTATCTCCAAGTACCTCTGTCCCCTTCACCTGCTCATACGTCTTCCTACCAAGAGTCTCACGTACAAGCACTGCGCCCCCAACAAGTCCAGCCAAACGCAGAGCCTCCATCCACATACCCCTCCGACAAACCCTACTCGCCCCTCTAGGATCCATCTGTTTGCGTCCCTGCAACACACCTCCAATAAGCGTCTCCTGCCAACTCGGGGTCCACACAGCAGAAAGATTGCTCGACACCGCTTTTTCAGCTGCAGAAACCGCGCGGCGGGACCACGTGAATTCTCGCTCTGTGGGCAGGATATTGAAGGGTTGGAAACGGTACCCTTCTTTCCAGTTTCCAGTCTGCATCTGCGTGAGATTTCTAAGACGGCCTGAGGACGAGAAGGCTCGCGTACAAGCTTCCGGTACGTATTGAGAGGATGGTAGGACTAGGGATTCCAAGTACGCGTTCCGCGGGCTGATCAGGAGGGAAGTCGTTGATGATAAGAGGGAGGTTGCTTGCTTTGCGGCTAGTTTATCTGTGCACGACTTGCTGAGTGTAGGAGGTGCATCTGGGCGTGAGGGTTTCGCGCGAACGATGCCTAGGAGAGAGAAGTTTGAACGGCCTCGGAGGGCGGATGGCTCTTGGTCTGCTGAAGAGGAAAGGGTGGGTGGTGCGCTAGTCCAGGGCGTAGCATTTTCTTGTAATGCCATGGTGAGCTCCATACTGGCGTCGCCGCAGGGTGCTTCGGAACAGTACATGTAGAGGGTGACGTCTTCTCGGATGGTGAATGGTTGCTGTTCGGATGTGCATTGAGTGGCTTCTTCGGGTACTCGCTGTCGGACAATGTCTGAAATTGGGTAGGGCGGTGTTGATATGAGGATGCATTCATCCAGTAGGTAGCGATTAAAAGCTCGGATAGCGACGATTTCTGCATGCCAGTCGTGGAGGATGTTTCCGTGGGCGAGAAGGAGTTTGTTTGATGGGAGACATTTCATGCCAGTTCTACAATGGCGTCAGTTAATACATTGTTCTTCGGATGTAATTCCTGAAAAGCCAATTTTTTCTTTCATGTAGCCATGTGAATCAGTACGGCTTATGATAGTCCACTATTGCTAGGGAGCTAGAGATGCTCCAGTCCACGATGTTCTACAGAATCAAGTCATTGCTTACCCTAGAGAAACACATGAAAGTCTACCGCCTTCACTAGTTCATGAGCATAAGCAACTACAGCTCCTTTCGATTCCAAACACGCAGGAGCGGTTACCGTTACACGTGACGATACCTGCGAGAGGCACCCATTCCCTCGATCCATCATTGCGAGACCGAGGCTTCCTCTTGTCCGGCAACCGATCAAAGGCTTCCAGCACGCAGTCAGCGATGGCAGTTGCATCTGGCATCATGATGGATGGTGGTTGGTGAAAAGTGCGGAAGCCGAAGCTCGAGCGCCAATGCATCGCATCTTGTCGCGCCCCGCTTCAGACCTGCAAGCTCATGACCCACTGATTAGTCTACGCCTAGCTTACCATACCTTCATAACGCGCTGAAAGCAAACTACTGTTGCTCTCTACCCACCACCCATATTCGAGGGAAATCCACGCCAGCGCACCCATCATGGCCCCTAAAAATAAAGGCAAAGGCAAAGATGACTCCAAATCTGACGCCAAATCCGACTCCAAAGCCAGCAACTCCAAACTCAAACCCGCAACCTCGATAAACGTCCGCCACATCCTCTGCGAAAAGCACTCCAAAAAAGAAGAAGCCCTCGAGAAGCTCCGCAACGGCGCCAAGTTCGACGAGGTGGCGCGCGAGATGAGTGAGGACAAGGCTCGTCAGGGAGGGTCGTTGGGCTGGAAGGTGCGAGGTAGTTTGATGCAGGAGTTTGAGAAAGTGGCGTATGAGTTGGAGCCAAGTACGACAGGGAGTCCGAAGATTGGTGAGGTCAAGACGAGTGAGGGGTATCACATTGTTATGGTGGAGGGGAGGAAGTGATGGGGGATCGGTGGGCTGGGTTGCGCAGAGGGAAGGGCAAGGGATGGCTGCGGGAGATTTACAAAAGCTACCCTACTATGCGCGTGTTGGCAAGTAAGGAATAAACTATAAGAGATACCCCTTTACTTATGCGCAACCCATGCGTTTTCACGATGATCTGACAATGAGAATGGGTAGTAATCACAACGCGCACATATACACCACCCCCACGAAAAGATCGAGCCGCTGACAGCTCGTTTATTATGTTAGTGGTGGTCCATGTGATGAGTGACCGGCTCATTTTTGGCGTTATTGGGGATGTATACATGGTTTCTCGCAAATCGCGAGTTCTTGCTCTCGACAAGTCGCGTTCAGGGTCCGTGTTTCAGCTAGCGCACAAGCAAAAAGCATTAGAGAAACGCGTCTGGCGTCGCGCAACCCTCGTGATCTACGTCATACCTAGGTAGCCACGGATGTATTGCGGCGATGGCGAGATATAACAATGAGACGTCGCACGTCTTCTACCCCTCTTTTCGCCCACTGAAACGTACTCATTTTTGTTGAATTGTGATAGCTACTACTGCGTGTGGCTAAAATATCTCGCCTTTTCTATCGCAACCTGACTACGATACGACACGTGTGCTGCTTGCATAATGACGAAGCGCACATCAGACCAGTTTATGCAGACCAACCCGTATGAGGATGAGTTTGAAGTGCTGGGCTATGAAGGCGATGCACCTGTAGTTGTGGTGGACGATTGCGATACTGTGCGGTATACCAGAATTTCCTCTACCAATTTAGAAGATAATTTCCCATCTATCACGTTCGGCTGTTAATGACATGTCTTCTGCAGACGCAAGATCCGCGCCTTGATCGACAATGGGGAGATGAAGGTTGGCGAGTTCCAGAAAGCAATCGATGTCCTGCCGACGACGTATTCGCGCTTCATGAGCCAGAATGGTAAAACAAAGGGAGAACAGTCTTCTGTGTATCTGGCAGCATGGAAGTTTTTCAAACAGCGCGAGATGATGGGCATCAAGACTGTGCCAAACAAGAAGGTTAAAAAGGCTGGGGAAGGGGACGGTCCGCCGCCTGTTGACGATGTGGAGCTAGAGGGAGAGACCGAAGACAAAGTGCCAGTGTACGGTAAGTTGTGGTATATTCTAAAAGTAGTGAAAGCTAGCGCTGACCGTGTCAAGACACATGCGACGATGTTCGCAGGAAGATCAACGCGCATCTCAAGAAGCCTGGCGTGACACAAGCCTCCTTCCTCCGCGCTGCCTCGGCGTCCTTCCATACAACCGAAAAGAAGCTGGCCGCCCGTTCACTATCCACCTTCCGCAGCAAGCATGGAGCATACGAAGGCAACATGTCTGACATCTTCTATGGCGCCTACGTCTACTTTGAAAAACTGCGCATTAAAGAGAAAAAGCCAAAGAGCAAGAAGAGAGAAGAGATGGAGGAGATTCATGCAGAGAGAGGAGGTCTGCTTAGAGATCGTGCGATGGACCGGGTGATAACGTTGGTGAGTGACCACTGGCATTACGATGCGTATGCTAGGACAGTCCTCAACGGTCAAACTTTCGGGTGAGAGGGTGGGCGTGGACCTCGACTTGTTAGATGGAAACATCCATTGTATCGTAGCGAAAGGTAATATGTACATGTGCCGTTTGCATTGACTGCGTCCTGTGAATCCCAACGCCACCAACGCCTTTGCTCGAATGCATAGTATATGTAAAGCCGTGGCGCTCACAATGATGCGGCCGCCTCAGCAGCTCCTGCCAGCTTGAACGTCTTTGGACTGGAGAAGACGATTTCGACGGGGTATTTCCACTCCATGAACTTGGCCCACCCTTCTCGATAGTCAGCATCCAATCGAACAACTTCCATTTTCCCGTGACGCACCCCAATACGCAGCTTTCCTGCCAAAGTATTTGCCCAGGTATGGAACCATGACCATGGTTAGCAACAGCTCCAGCTGCTGCAGCGACTCTCTCCATTCTCGGTCTGCATCTGATATGTACTCGTCTTCGTCTGCCGAGGAGCTTGTGGCGGATGATGGTAAGGAGTCGACTTCGTCATTGGAGAATACACCTGGGCTGGTAGAAGGTTCGATGAAGCCCTCGCTGTTGCTCATATCCATGGCGGCGGTATGATGGGGGTATTTGAGACGAAGATAGAATCCGACTAAGAACGGCTCGCTACCGTGAGAACATTGAGATGCAATGCAATGCGACACGATGGCAGCGCGTTTGGTGATGGTGACCCTGCAGCCAATGAGCGTTGGTGGGGCTGAGCGGGTTGTATCACGTGATGCAAATCTTGGCACCCAGCGTTCGACTCATACATGTGTTGCGGCCAACTTTGAGGTAACTACCTGCCCTTGTTCTTTCACCACCGACCCTCTACAACACCGAAAACGACGAATTCATCCCAAATAATCTGCGCTACAAGACCGAAGCAGATAATTCGACTACAACCGCAATCATGGCTGATACTGTACGTCATCCAACCCCACGTTGGACGTCAAAATGGCGAAATAGGCGCACCTTTGCACTTGGGGAAAAGCGGAGACGAGGCTCCGAAGCGCCGTGAATTCTTGAGAAATCTAGAATCTAGGCCGCCTCTGATAGCTGCTGTCATGGTTGCCATGCTGTGGCGTAATCAGCTTTTCCTCAAACGCTGGGGTCGTACTACGCTATCGACTACCCAGGTCACTGTGATTCACATACTAATACAAAGACCAGGACGATCTTCCCGACCGCAAACCTCGCAAGTCTGTCCAGTTCTCAGAAGGCGCCACCATTGTTGACAGCAACGGTGAAGTCACCGAGTCGATCGATATGAACGGCAGCAAAGATTCCGCCGAGGCCCACTCCTCAGGCGCTGGTGAGGCTACCCACACATCACAGACAGGACACATACTGACTGCTATAACAGCAGGCGACGACAAAGAAGTCGACGAGGTTACCGACATGTTCGCTGACCTTGCTAAGAAGGTACGGCTCACCAACAACGTTACATATCAGCTGGCTGACATGGATACAGAAGAAGAAGAAGTCGACCAAGAAGAAGGAGGGGGAGGAGGAAGATGGCGCAGAGGGCGACTTTGCTGCTCTCAAGAAGAAGAAGAAGTCCAGCAAGAAGAAGGTCGAGGACGACTTCGAAGCCAAGCTCGCTGCCGCCGGCGGAGACAAGCCCGAAGGCGAAGAGGAGGCCGCCACTCCCGAACCCGAAGTACAAGAAGGCGATATGATGAAGGGAACCGGCATCTGGCAACACGACTCGACAGCGCCCATCAACTACACCCTTCTCCTCAACCGATTCTTCACACTTCTACACGCGCAACATCCCGACCTTGCAAGCTCGGGCACAAAGAGCTACAAAATCCCACCCCCACAGTGCATGCGCGAAGGCAACAAGAAGACTGTGTTCGCCAATCTCGCTGAGATTTGCAAGCGCATGAAGCGTTCAGACGAGCACGTTGCCCAGTTCCTCTTCGCCGAACTGGGTACTAGCGGTTCCTTTGCTGACCAGAAGCGCTTGGTTATCAAGGGTCGTTTCCAGCAAAAACAATTGGAAAACGTTCTCAGGCGGTATATCGTCGAGTACGTGACTTGCAAGACCTGCCGTTCACCCGACACGGATCTGTCCAAGGGAGAGAACCGTCTCAACTTCGTCACCTGCAACAGCTGTGGTTCAAGGCGTTCGGTACAGGCCATCAAGACTGGTTTCTCGGCCCAAATCGGAAAGAGGCGGAGAATGGTGGGTTAGAAAAATTGGTTTTACGCGCTTCACAAGGTTTACGGCTGGTATGGTATTGCTTTGGCTTCTTGATAGACGCCATGACTGTTTCTGTTCCAGTCTCGCTGGTGTAGGGTTTTCACAATGGATTCCACGGTATATGGAGGTTCGCTGGCTGTACATTCAAGACGGGTTAGGAACATGAACAATTCATTTTGTTGACGACGATTTGACCAAGGGGCTGAAAGTGGAGGCTAATCGTGCAATATCCCTCGTGTTGACGAATCAAATGCGTAGGAGTAGCATACGCGCTTGCACTAAGCATCCTTCTTCCTGCACCATACCCTCTCCATAAGCACCGAAAATAGCGCATGACCCGTACGAGAAATCAAAGCTTACCGTGGCACAGCGTTGGCACATGCAGAGCGGCGAGTGCGGGGCGCTGTTCGGGCGGCTGCACGTACCCCGCTAGCCAACAGCTGCGCGTTCGACGATGCCCAGTGTAGCTTGATCAAGAAGAAACGAATGGGGCGCGCGGTTAAATGTGTATGCTATACTGCTTGTGGACCTGATAACTCCGTGCCATGAACTGATCTATCCTCTCTCCTCCCTACTCCTTTCGTTCCTTGAGCTTGCGCTTGTGATTGCTAGTTGACATCTGCACGAAGCTCTTGTTTAGCTATACGTCTAACTGTGCCCCTCCAAGGCCCGAGTGAATTCTTCAATATGTCTGGATATCAAGGGACTCCGCCGCCTGGTGGAAACTATTATCCTCGTAAGTTGCATAGAGCAATTGTGTAGGTGTGTGATTAACAAGCAACAGCACCACCGGGTATGTGCATGTTATCTCGTGATTGCTCTCATTCCCCTTCAGACGCATGCCCTCTCAAACCTCCATTCAAGGATAAACATCCATTAACACGACATAGACCAACAGGGTCAGCATCAGTACTTTGCCCCTCCTCCAGGCGGCCAGTCCTACCCACCACCGCCCTCGTCCCCTCCCGCACACCAACAACAACACTATCCTCCTCCACCAGCCGGCGGCGCAAACACACAGCAACAGTACGCGCCACCGCCCGAACAACAGCAATATGCGCCGCCACCCGAAAAGCAGCAATATGCACCACCGCCCGAACAGCAGCACTTCCCGCCCCCGGGCCAAGTCCACGCACCGCAGCCGCAACAGCAGCATCAACAACCACAGCAACCCATGAGCCCAGGCTTTGGCGGCTTCCCCGCTGGAAGTCCAAGCGCGAGTCCATACCCAGCTGAGAAAGCTGGACACCCCGGCATGGGAGCGCAGCAGATGAGCCAGCAGAGCATACCACAGCAACCGCAATATGTAGGCAATGGAGCGAGTGCCGCCGCTACAACAGCAGACGATGTAGGCACATTCAACGGTGGCAGTTACCGCGTTAGCCACCGCGACACCAATTCCATTCTGACGGTACAACTGGCAATCGGATGTCCGCTCACCGCGAAGCCTGGTACGTTCCCCTATAGATCAAGACGAAAGCCGAATGTGCTCGCTAACGCTGCCACCTCCAGGCGCAATGATCGCAATGTCTCCCACCATGACGCTTAAAGGTGCCGTCAAATTCTCCCTCAAAAAAGTCCTTACTGGCGGCGACATGTCGAAATCTGTCTATACGGGGCCCGGAGAAATCCTCCTCGCACCCTCCTCCATTGGCGACATTACAATCATCAAGCTCGCAGGCAAAGAGACATGGTCGGTTGGTCGCGACGGTTTTCTCGCGTGTACGCAGGGTATTGTGACGGAGTATAAGAGCCAGGGGATTGGAAAGGGTATGTTTAGTGGAGAGGGACTGTTTGTGTATAAGATTAGTGGGACGGGTGTGCTGTGGTGTACGAGTTTTGGGGCGATTATCAGGAAGGATGTACGTATTTTCCTGTTTCTTGCCTATCTTGCTCTTTTTCCCATCCAAACCCCTCGCATGTAGGTTGGATAGTTTTATTAACGATATTACAGCTCGCGGCCAACGAAAAATACATCATCGACAACGGTCACCTCGTCGCTTGGAACTGCAAATACGTCCTCGAGCGTATTGCGAGTGGAGGTATTATAAGTAATCTGACGGCGGGCGAGGGGCTGGTTTGCAAGTTTACGGGGCCGGGGACCGTGTTTATGCAGACGAGGAATGCGGTAGCCTTTGGGCAATGGCTAGCGGCTCATTCGGCAGCGCCATAGATGTGATGGATGCAATGGAAGATGGGGGGATAGGGTAGGGTGGGGAAGGCGTTTGTATTTGTATTTATGGATGGAGATGGGGCAGATTGATGAACTATGCCGGAATAGCCAGGAAATCTCAACCGAGTCTGTCACATCCCACGTTTGATCGTAAGATGGTTTGCATGCCGTACCACTCCATTACTATTCACCTCAAGCTTAATAATCGAATCCAAGACGTAAGCAATCCTCATTTCATCGACATACACTACATGCTTTTACCGGGGTATCATGATGAATCATACGAGACCACAACCTCCTCCTCGTCTACCAACAAACTCGCCCACTCACTCAAATGTCGTCTTCTTACCCTGCGATTCAACAATCGCTTGACTAGCCCTCGGAGCATTCGAATGCGCAGCCCCACTTCTGATAGTTCTAGGATCCACCTTGCGCTTGAAGTCACGTCCATCGGGCTTCCCACCACTCTTCTCCTGTTTGCCAAACCGCCTGTCACCACCGCTTCCCTTGTTACCGAAATTCTTCCAGCGATCGGGACTAACGCCGTCGACGGCGTCAGCGGGCTTCTCCTTGCCGTAGCGTTTGTTGTACCGTGTTGTTGCGTCTTCAGCGAATTCGCAGCGAACTTCGCGGCCGGCGATTTTGTTGAGTAGCCATTTGCGCTTCTTGCCAGGTTTCTTGGTGTCGGCCTCATCAGAACTGTCGTGCTTGTCTTTCTTGCTCTTGAAGGCTGAAGGGTCTTTGTAGACGAAGCCGTTGACGGCGCATGTTGCGGCTTCTACGTCGCTAAAGGTAACCCATGCGTAGCCTTTACACTTGCCTGAGTCTTCGAATGTAGCCATGTGGATGTGCTCGACTTCACCCGCCTGGCCGTAGTGGTATTCTAGGTCCTCTTTTGTTACGTCAAAGGAGAGGTTGCCGACGAAGACGCGCTTGTTGGGGGGATGTCCGGGTTTGCCTGCACCCTTGGCTCCACGGCCACCGTCTTCTTGTTCCGTCTTGGGCTTGTCGGGTCGTCCTTCGAAGCTCTTTGCGTTCTTAATGAGCAACGCGCGGCCGTCCATCTTGGTCTCGGTCAAGGCGATGCAGGTATACATTGCAAGCTCGGTGGAAAAGTCTACGTATGCGAAACCTTTGTTAAGAGGCTTGTTGGTCCAATTGGGGTTCGCGGGCTTCGTGGGCGGGGGCAGGTGAACACGGGTGATTTGCTCGCTCTTGATCTCGCTGTTTTCGCACAGGAAGTTGCGCAGCGACTCTTTGGTGGCAGACCATGGCAGGTTGCCAATCCAAACGCCATATTCCGATCGCTTTCCAGTGTCCTTTTCCTCCTTTTCCTCGCCCTCTGTCTTTGCGGTGTTGTCGGCATCGGCGGTGGGCGTGGGATTCAGCTTCGCTTTCTTTGCTTTGCGAGCGGCCTTCTTAGAGGCAGGCTCGGGGAGGCTGACGTCGATTTCGAGTTCGTCGGGTAGAATCTCTCGCTTGCGCTTCCTGGGTGTCTCTGCTTCTGCTGCTGCTTCTTCGCTAGCGTCGCCCATGTCGACTTCGTTCATCGACTCGGATCTTGCCCGTTTCTTGTCCTTTTTTTCCTTCTTATCTTTTTTCTCGCGGCGCTCCTTCTTTGAGACGACGGCGGCCTCGGGCGAAGACTTCATTTCTACGTCTTTGGACATTGTGGTGGTTGTGGATTCTGGGTGCACTGGCCCCGAACTTTTTTCTGGGCCGTCACATTTTCGCCATCAGCAAGCCTCACGCTAGAGACGGGCTTAGTCATGCATGCTTACTTGCGGACGCCAAACATCAACCTGTCACTCAGTCTTTACAAAGGACTCCATTTGCAAGGCAACATGGTTTAGTTTTCGTGATACTTTACTTCCTAGTGGCAAGCACCTCTATCAAACTGGTCGCATAGCTCGACGAGATGCTTTCCATGATGCGGGTCTACATGATCTTCCGCCGTGCTCCTAATGTGGAGCGTTGGAATCTCAATCAACGCTGGTTGCGTTTTATTTTACTCCTATCGGCACAGCCCATATATGCCGTCGCTGAGGAAGGTAGTCCCATCTGTTGTCATTCTCTCCTCCAGCCTGCTTAAGAGTCCGAGCAGCTTCTTATGATCCACTTGATCTTCCTGGTCCACTCCAGGTTTGTGACGGAGCGCGCTAGATCGAAGGAACATCTCTTTTGCTTGTTGGAAAGTATGGGAGACGTTGACGTGGCCACTCACAGTGTCGACATCGTCGACATAGAAGACGCGTAATGGGGATGCGCTGTTCACGAAGACTGCAAAGCGGAACAAGGGCTCACTGGCAGGTTCGGATTTAGCAGCTTCAATGATGAGCTCAGCTGCTAGCGCTGCTCCGCCAGAGTATCCGAAAACCCCATCAAAAAGACCATGGTCTCGGATGATGCCGAGAAGTTCTTCGTGGGTCTGCCGGATGGACGCGGGGTCGAATGGGTTGTAGTATGTGTATAGAGGCAGCTTGGAAAAGTCGGATGTGTGTAGAGATCAGTTTCCTATCAGTCATGGAATATGTTAACCGTGCTCTTCCACTTCGAGACGTTGTATTTTTCTTACCTTCGGTGTGGCGGACGGTACCTTGGACAAAAACCCACTCAATGTCTTCTAGTGCTGCACGTATAGGAGCCATTTGCATGCGGAAAATAACTTCACGAATTGCTGCAAGAGAAGCAAATCTTTGTGAGGAAGCTGCCTATTCACAAGGCGTACCATCCGCCACACATGAACCGTATTGCGGTTGATTATGCTTCACTTCTGGATGGCCTATCACCGGACAAATCTATCAAACTAAATGCTGTATCCATGATCTCAACAGTGACTGGGACTTTCGCTACTGAAGAACTTTTCGATGCCGAATACTGGGTGAAGAACCTGGTATCCCCGGTTCGCTTTTCAGACGGCTTAGCGACTACATGTTTCCAATCCACACAAAATGGACAAATCTCCCTGCGTGTTGATGCTCAGGGAGGCAACCATTTTGCGGATGTTATATTGGAGCTTGGTCCGCACGGTGCTCTTCAAAGCGCTATCAAAGATATCCCTGCGACTCAGCCCAGCGGAACTAGTATAAGTTCGTTTCCAGTCTTGAATCGATCCAAGCCTAGACCCGAGACATTTGACTGCAATGGGCCATATCTGGTGTCGCAGCTATCCGATTAGCCTCCAGAAGATCAACGAGGGTGCTCAGTGCGAGCCGCTCACGCGGCCACATGCCCTGTTGACTGACATTCCTGGCTACGCTTTCAATCACTCTCAGCTCCTCTGGTATGAGAGCCGTCTGAGTCGTAACTACCGTCTCCGCAAAGCACCTCGCCATGATCTCTTTGGCGCACCAGTACCTGACTGGAACAAGGAGCGCCCTCAATGGAGAAACATTCTTTGATTGAATGAGCAGCCTTGGCTGCGTGACCACATTATCACGGATTCTCATATATATCCAGGTGTCGGGTACCTCATCATGGCTATCGAGGCGGTTCGGCAGATTGCCGATGAAGGTCTGGCCATCACTTTGTTTCGCCTGAGAGACATTTCTATCAAACGTACAATGATTGTTCCGGACAGTAAAGACGGTCTGGAAGTTGTGCTCTCCATGAACCGAGTGGACGAATCCAGTGTGTCGGTCTCAAATGCATGGTGCCGCTTTCAGATATCGTCGTACAACCCTGCTGGTGATGACTGGGTCGAGCACTGCACAGTCTACATTGCCGTGGAATATGCTACGACTACTGGCCCGATCGATGGCGGACGAGAGGCTAGGGGGGAGTCGGCCATTAGACGTCGAGAACTAGAGAATGCCGAGAATAGGTGTCAAGCAGCATTTGACATGTTCCGCGCGTACGAAAATATGGCTACAGTAGGGCTTCAAGTTGGCCCATTGTTTCGCAATGGTTCGGACGCCAGAGGTACAGGCAGCCAAGGCAGAGCGGTCATAGGACGAATGACGGTGCCAGATATTGCGACATCAATGCTTAAGCAACACTTCTCACCACATTTCATCCACCCTGCCACGTTCGATAGCATGATCCATTTCGTCCTTGCCGCTATCATGGATCTTTTCGGCGCCACAAGCCTGAAGAATCCGGCAGTTCTAATGTTCATTAAAGATGTATGGCTGTCAACAGAGCTGAGTCCGCTGCCTGGTCACAAATACAGAGTCCATGGCCGGACTGAGCGAGTCGCTTTTGAAAAATACGACAACGATGTGCTCGTGTGGGATGAGGCGGCCACTGGTGATGCTAGAATGTTGGTCACCGGTATCCATGCCACACCGCTAGACTCCGCGGACCAGCGAGCAGCAACCAGTAGAGAGTTGTGTCACGAAGTCAAGTGGCCCATGTACCTGGAAACCATCTCCCAAGCGGACTTGAGCGTAGAGAATTCTCCCCTAGGGTCGGATAGACTAACCGCTGAATGGGTACATCGGCTGCAATTAGCCACTCTCTGTCTCGTCCATGACGCTCTACACGAGTATCGAAAATCCCCGGGCAGTGCATAGGGTCATCTCCACAACTACCTTCAATGGTTGGAGCAACCCGAGCACTGGACCAAAGAAGACAAGGTCTCATCCGTCTCACGTTCCGATTTCGAGGCTATTCGATACAACGAAGCGGCCAAAGCGGAGCTCTACAGCAAGATCCAAGGATACAAAGCAGAAGGTCGTCTGGCCTACCGCATGGGCTCCAACATCGTTTCCGTGCTACGTGGGGAAACTGATCCCCTTCAACTCATGTTCGGTCAGGACGACATCTTGGACCAAGTCTACTCTGACCTTGTCCGACTTGGTGATCTCCCCGAGCTATTGGCCAGATATCTGCAGATTCTAGATGGAAACCGCACCAATCTTCGTGTCTTAGAAGGGCGCCGGAACCGGGTCCTTCACCGAAGCTGTTATCCGCCACCTGGCCCCAGTCTCCAATGACAGACGTCTTTTGCAGTCTAGCATCCTTCAGTATACGTACGCTGATATATCTTCTGCTTTTTTTGACAAGGCTCGTGATAGGTTCAAGTCCTGGCAGTCTATCTTTGAGTACCAGGTGTTGCATGCGGAAAAAGACATCGAGAGCCAAGGTTTTGGATCCGGGACGTATGACATAGTTGTCGCGCAGAATGTGATCCACGCCACTGAAGATTTGCATTCTACCTTGGCGAACCTGAGAAAGCTGCTCAAGCCCGGTGGTCGAATTGTGATTCAGGAAGGTATGAGGTAGGACTACTTCTGGTCGGCTCTGGCTTTCGGACAGCTGAGTGGATGGTGGTTGTCGAAAGGGGAGAGTAGGCGATGGAGCCCATTTGCGTCGAAAGAGCAATGGGAAACGCTATTGAGTGGAGCTGGGTTCGATGGCGTTGAGCTAGAGTTGAAGGACGCTCAGACTCCAGTATCGCATACGCAGAGCATTCTTGTGTCGCGCGCTGTAGAGCACAGCGCGGCGTTGAATGTGCTCCCAGAGAAGGTAATAGTTGTTGTACCCGAAAGAATTGGCAGTGATTTGGTCTCGGGATTACGACAGCAATTACAATCAACACTTGAAAGTGGGGATATTTCCATCACTCCAGTCCTGGAGCTGAAGGACCAGGATCTAGCCCAGAGCCTATGCATTTCGCTCTTGGAGATGGATAATCCCATCATGCCAATCCTGACATCAGAAGAGTACGAGGGCGTGCGAAAGATGCTGACGGAGTGTCGTGCCCTTCTCTGGATCACGGGCGACATGGTAGCAAACCCGGGAAATGGCATCTCGCTTGGCGTCATACGAACAGTACGCTGGGAGCGGGATCTAGACGATGCCAATCTCGTGACATAATTTGTGGCAAATCCACGGCCCGACACGGCAAATCTGATCCAGTGCATAGTCAAGCTCAGCGCTCTTCAATTCTCCAGCACCATCACCAGAAATGAAATTCAGGGCGAGTACCTTTTGAATGAAGGAACCTTCTTCACGAGCCGTCTTCACTCAAGCTCCGGGGGAAATCACTTTTTCAGTGACGCAGCTGGTCTTCCGGCTGTGTAAGTCACTGTGCTGTATGCACTGAGGGATGTGGCGATGCTGGCTAAGGGAGACAAGGTGCTGATCCATGCTACAGCAGGAGGAGTTGGACAAGCGGCGATCAACTATGCGAAGAGTGTCGGAGCAGAGATTTTCGCTACTTTTTCCACGCCAGAAAAGAGAGATGTGTGTTGCTACTTCTTCATGCGCGCAGAATCACTTACTAACTCGGTCTTAGTTGCTCGTGCAAAACTACGGCATCGCGGAAGATCACATCTTCTCCAGTCGGGACATGAAATTTGCAAAAAGCGTTCAACAAATCACTGGTGGCTACGGAGTGGACGTTGTTCTCAACTCACTCGCCGGTGATGTGAGTTTACAACATCTTACTGCTTAACCCATCCCACTAACACACTTTCCCAGGCCTTGCGATGCTCTTGGGACCTCCTTGCACCTTTCGGGCGCTTCATTGAAATCGGCAAGAAGGACATTCAATCCAACTCTAGGATAGAGTTGCGACCTCTGCTACGAAGCACTTCTATCACTTGTGTTGATTTGGTCACAATGATGAAGTGTCGGCCACAGCTAGTCAAACAGCTCACCGAAGACACCATACGCCTCTGGAGCGAGGGAGTCGTCAAGACAGCGACACCAACAACTGTCTCACCCCTCTCAAAACTGGTTGAGGGTTTCGAAACTCTGCGATCTGGACGTGGAACTGGAAAGATGGTGTTTGTACCACACGCTGACGATGTAGCCCCAATCGTACCCGAGCAGCAGACTCCATTCTTTTTCAAGCAAGACGCGACATACGTCCTGAGTGATGGTCTGGGTGGGCTAGGACGGAGTATCGCAAGATGGATGGTGAGCAGAGGTGCTCGCAACTTGTTGTTTTTATCCCGTAGTGAGAATATTACTCCGGTCGTTGCAGAGATGGAAAAACTTCTAGCTGAGCAGAAGTGCCGAGTCCAAATCGCGAAATGCGATGTCACCAACGCAGCGGAGCTTGTAAGAGTATTGGACCAATGCAAGTCTTCCTTACCGCCTATCAAAGGTGACATTCAAGGAGCTATGCAACTATCAGTAAGTCTATCCCCAGCCTGCTAAGCGAGTGAAAAAGAACTCAGCTGATTCTCATCTACCGGACTCCATCTTTAAGAACATAACCTATGATGCATACATGGCTGTGTTAAAGCCCAAGGTGCTTGGTTCCTGGAACCTCCACAAGTACCTCCCAGCTGATCTCGATCACTTCGTGTTTCTCTCTTCTGCAACTGGAATACTCGGCAATCGTGGCCAGGCAAACTACGCCGCCGGTAACACGTACCAAGACGCCCTCGCAGAGTACCGTCGCTCACAAGGCCTCTCTGCCAACACCATCGACGTCGGTGCGATTCTCTCCGTCGGATATGTCGCCGAACACTCTCCTCGGATCGCCATCAACAAAGGCGTAAGCGTCGAACTCGAACAAATCCGCGAAGAGGAACTGCACGCGATTCTTGAATATGCCATCGATCCACGGCAGAACCCACCCACCCATGTTGTGACTGGTCTCGCCAACAGAGACAAATACCGCACAAAGGGAATGCCAACGCCTTCATTCATGAGCTTTCCTCTCTTTGCGCACCTGAATAGTGAGAGCTTGATCGGCTCTGCTTCTCCTGAGCGCACTGAGATTCCGGTTGAAGCTTTGCTCGCTCAATCAACAACATTGGATGAAGCAGCTGATATCATCAAAACGGCGGTAACGGGAAGGCTTGCCAGTCTACTTTCGGTAGCAGCGGCCGACATTGATGAAGATAAGTCGGTGAGCGCAGATGGTATCGATTCGTTAGTGGCTATAGAATTCAGGACGTTCCTTGCGAGGGAAGTCAAGGCAGATGTGCCCATGTTGGATGTTATGGGGACCTCGACGATCAAGGTCCTGTGCAGAAAGATTGCTCCGCTGAGTCGTGCAGTTGAAGTCAAACAAGATCAAAAGGGCAGTGAGTGAGGTTGCTTGAGTGCTGCCGCGTAGTATAGAACTTTTTAGCTCTCTATTACCAGACACAATACTATGCGCATTCTCATACTAAAATAGCCAATGCTGACTCATCCCGGGACACGTGGGTGTCATGAAATACTTGCCATACTAGTGTACAAGGGCCACTGTAGTCGCCAGACACGACTATTAGGTGCTTACCCACACTGTCAAGTTTTTCATGACACCCGGGTGGCGGGGTCCTAACATCCATAGTTTCTATCAAACTTTGTTACTAATAGGTATATTTTTTCCAAAAAAAATATTAAATAAGAATAAGAGTTAGTTAACTAACTATTATTATGATTTTTGTTAGAACAAGGTCTCCTCTGGTGGTATGACTACCATAGGCGACCGAGTAGAGGTACGAAAGGTAACCCTGTATTGGATTGAACTTCACTAAGAGCTATTGTTCTTTGGCAGTGCTGTACCAGGTTTTTCTCGCAGACATAGAAGACTTTCTTCCCCTTAAGCTTGACCTTGTTTCGGCGGAACCAAGTATCGTGGTTTTCAGCTGTAAGTTGGGGAATCTTCCATTCTTCCTTCTCTACAGCCATCTTGTGTGTTTTGAGTTGGTGAGACTATTATGCGAGCAAGGTACGTGGTATGATGCTAAGAGTGTAGGTGATGCGGGCGATGCGGGCGATACAGGCGATGCGGGCGATGCGGGCGATCCGGGTGATATTCTGCGGGCGGTGCAGTCGTTATCGGTTCTCGGGTGTAGAGACGGTGTATTTAAGTGTGATTGCGTGTTAACCGCGTTGTACACGACTTCTTTTCTTTTCTGATTCCTTCTTGAATCTAAGTCCTTCGTGACTTGGGTGGATGTTTTGATTCCTTCTTGAATCTGAGTCCTTCGTGACTCGGGTAGGTGTTTGAAAACAATAACGTTGGGTTAGGCAACCGGGCTCATAACCTGTTAGAACAAGGTCTCCTCTGGTGGTATGACTACCATAGGGAACCGAGTAGAGGTATGTTAGGTCACCACGTATTGGATTGAACTACACTAAGAGCTGTTGTTCTGTCTTCTTATTATCATGATGATCTGGGGATTTACATGACAGATCATCATTCCGCGTCGGTCCTTCTGCTCGGGCTTACTTCCACGAGCCTCATCCCCGCCGACCTGGACTGAACCTTACATCTTCTCAACAATTTTGTAAATTATTATTTGATAAAAGTAGGTAACTAACTATTTAGGGAAATAGCTTGATTTTGAGAAAAGACATTCAACTCTGTAATTGCTTTGCCACTAGTGAAACGTTATCGTCGTGATGACGGGTGCAAACCATTGTGCCAATCATGTGCGGACGAACAAGAGACGCCGTGATATGCATGGAAAACGGAACTGGGTCAAGCAAGAGCTCCACAACATGCACGGCTCCTCCCCGGCTGACGCGCATTTGGTGTACAGTAGTAGGAAGTAGTCTGGAACTCCGAGGCTCACATGAAAGCCGTACGGAGCACTACTTAACTGAGCCACCCGCAGTGCAGTAGTGTGGGCAGCAGGTCGGAGCCGGACCAGGGCGCGTTTGACAATGTCGCGATGATTGAATTGCCCCAAGGCACCCACGGTTCACGTCGCTGATTCTGCCTCTTATCCACTCGGGGCGGCGATCTGGGGGAGTCCGGTGTACAAGTTGCACTAAGCACTGACCCCACTCCAGGGCTTAGGCAGCGACCATTACACCAGCTACTCGCCCGTCTCACCTGCTCCACCGTGCTCCGCTTCACTCTCCATCACCGCCCACCTCTCCTCGACAGCAACCACTTGACAGTAGCTGTATTACCCCCTTCTTCATCTTAGGAGCGGCGGTAAAGTACGGTCGCGCTGTCTCCTACACCCTCACCCTTCACCCTCACACCCAGCCTCGCCCAGCATGGCGGCGACTAACAATGTCCCCGTGACGCTGGAAACACCCATTGTCGTCAAGGTCCTGTTTCGCGGCCAGTACAAGAAGTTCAAGCTGCCGTTGAAGGACCTGGGAGCTCACGTTCTCCCCGAAAAGGTCCGTAACGCCCCCAGAGCTTCATGACGCACATGTCGATAGGACTGTGCCTCTTGAGCTCAATGAAACGCGCACTATAGACTGCAATACTGACTCGACTGGTGATGCGCAGCTTCGCAGCATCCTTCAGCTCCAGCCTGAAGACAATGTTGTCTTTGAGCGCTACTCCGACTCGGCTGCTGCCTACGTCACCCTGGACGCGGACAAGCCTCAAGTCTACAAGACGCTCTTCCGCGCCGCAAAGGCGAAGCTGAAGCTGCGCCTTAGGGCTACCATTCCCGGTGAAGAGCCCCCGGCTCCACCTCCAGCTGCCATTCCACCCCATCTGGTTCCCGGCTACGTGCCCTCGATGCACCGGATGAGCACCGACACTCTGATCCCCCAGGCCAATGCCACCGTCTCTCCCGTCATTGCCCGCTCACCCGATGCGAAGCCGAGTCCACCCCTTAGCCCAGTTTCGCCACCAAAGGCCACAGAGGCCAAGGCTGAAGAAGAGGCTCCTATACCACAGGCCTTCACCGCGCGTCAGAGTAAGCTTCCACGCGCACATGACATGGCATGCGACACGTCACTAACACGCAGGATAGGCTTCTTCCGCGGTCTCGCTACCGCCAACCATCACTCGGGCCTCGCTTTCCGTCCCAAGCCGAGCAACGCGTGCACTTCGTGGGTCGTGTACTGCAACAACTGCAATGAGCCCATGGAAGACGAGCACTTCCACTGCAGTGTATGTGACGGAGGCGACTACGATCTTTGCCCGGCCTGTGTAGACAACGGCATTCACTGCCCCGGAAACAGCCACTGGATGGTCAAGCGCTTCGTCAAGAACGGCACCGTTGTCAACAGTACCACTCAGCGCATTGCACCAAAGGTCAAGGCCGAGGAGGAGCAGGAAGTCCCCGGTGCCTTTACCGACGAGAAGCAATCCGTCACATTGGAGGAGGAGCCCACTCGCACCTGCAACTGCTGCGTCAAGGTTCTCCCCGAGAAGGACTTCGTTACCTGCGTCTCCTGCGAGGACTACGATCTTTGCCTCGAGTGCCATGTCAACAACAAGCACGGACACCACCCTGCTCACACCTTCAAGGCAGCCACACCCGAGACTGTACTTCCCACGCTGGCCGAGTTCCTCTGCAACTCCGGCAGGAATGTTCGCCACTCGGCCATCTGCGACGGCTGCGACAAATTCATCTATGGTGTCCGCCACAAGTGCTTGAACTGCCCAGATTGGGACTACTGCTCCGACTGTGTCAAGAATGCCAAGTTCATCCATCCACGCCACCGCTTCGTGCCCATCTACGAGCCTCTTGCTGAGCCCTTGGCCAGTGCCAACCGCCACTACGGCATCTACTGCGACGGACCTCTCTGCAAAGAAAAGGAGAACGTCTCATACATCGAGGGCGTCCGCTACAAGTGCGCCGTCTGCCACGACACAGATTTCTGCCAGAACTGCGAGGCTCATCCTAGCAACAAGCACAACCACACCCATCCCCTCATCAAGTTCCAGACATCTGTGCGCAGCGTCAGCGTGACAACTGTCAACGATGACAAGCAAGGCAGGTGCATGGCCAGGCTTGGTGACCGCCAGGTTGACAGGCGATCCACGGCCACCGAGACTACTCCCGTCGCACCTTCTACCAATGCTGCGACTCAGGTGCAGACCATCGTCGACATGAAGCCCTCAGAGGTGCCCCAGGTCAAGAAGGAGAAGATCACTATCAGCGATCTCCTCGTTGAGTCTGTGGAGCCTGTGCAGGAGGTCGTAACTGCTAAGCCGAGTGAGGCCGTCAAGACCGAGGCCATTGCGGTTCCCAAGTCCGCGGTCTCTCTTGAGGGCCTTGACGCGCACTTTATCCGAGACACCATTGTGGATGGCTCTAAGATTTGCATGGGCGCACAGTTTGTCCAAACCTGGACACTGCGCAACCCAGGCCCGAATGCCTGGCCAAAGGGATGCAGTGTCCGACATGTTGGTGGCGATAACATGCTCAACATTGACAACACCCGCCCTCTGAGCAAGACTGATCTTGCTGAAGCTAGCGAGAGCAACATCCTGACTCATGCCGTTGAGGCCGGAGAGGAGTTCCAGTTCCGCGTGATGATGAAGGCCCCCCAGCGCGAGGGCACCGCCATCTCATACTGGCGCTTGAAGACCCCTGCTGGTCTACCTTTTGGACATCGCCTGTGGTGCGACATTGCCGTTGTAGCTCCCCGGTCTCCCCCCGTTGCCACCCCTGCCTCGGGCTCGGCCACAACCTACGAGGTAGCGCCCAAGTCAAACCCTCTCTACGAGCGTCTTCTCCAAGCCAGGGCTGAGCGAATGAAGCACGTCCAGCACACTCAGCAGCAACAGCTGGAACATCTCAACCAGTTGCAGTTGAAGCACAACCAACTCACCCAGCAGCGCGACCAGGAAAAGATGGAGCGCATCCAGCGTATCCGTAAGGCTGCTGTTGAGCGCGTACTCGAGAACCGCCGCAAGGAACACGAGGCTGCTCTTGCTACGATCAAGCAGGAGCCCGTACCCTCACCCAAGGCCGAGGTTGCTCCCGAAGAGCCAGCGGCCGAGCTACCGGTTGAGATTGAGGAGAAGCCAGCGCAGCCAGCAGCTGAGCCCGTGGCTTCTGGCATGATCTTCCCCCAGCTTGATAAGGAGTCTCCTGAGTCTAGTACATACGAGGCCCCATCTACCGTTCAGCCCATGTCTCCCGAATCTCAGAAGAGTACAATTGCCCGTACAATCACCGTTGCCTCTGATGATGAGTTCTTCGAGGATGCCGAGAGTGTTGCTCTCCACTCTGACGACGGTTTCATGACCGACGAGGAGTACGACATTCTCGATGCCTCCGACGAGGAGATGCCGTGAGCGGATCATGTAAGTTGTGCAGAATGTGTGGTTCAACAAGGAGCGTGCTTCAATTGGTCTTTCCTTTTTCTCTTCTTGGGGCGCTTAATGGCGTCTAGCGTTTGGGTCGATTGTATCGATATCACAACAAACACTCCTTGCACAGAGAAGGCGCTGGTGCGCGCTTCCAAACATCCCCGACGGGAATCCGTGAGTTAGGGCGTTTTACCTATATCCCCTGGTCCGGTCACAAATCTCCTAACTACTCGGCTCAATTTGAACCTTTCCTTGTGTCTTTCAGGTGTCTCCATGTATGTGTAATCAATCAATGGTAGTCTTCTCTTTAATTGTGCTTTCGTTCTTGCGTGAAACTATGACATGACTTACGGCTACTCGTTAATGATACTCGCAAGGTAAGTTATTGCAGCTGTTGCAACCTCTCAATGACAATGACACGGTTCACAGTCATGAAAGAATCCCACGCTCGCCATCAGTCAAGTGTGACATACCAGGATATCCTTTCGTAAAAGACGTTGCACTGTATGAAATCTTACAAATGCAACTGAAGCTCCTAGTCCTACATATGTCAACTGACGCCACCGGGTCTTTAGTTTATGGCAAGAACCACATTGGCCTAGCAGCTACGTGTACGTGTGAGGAGGATTGAGTAAATGAAATGATGGTATTGGGGAGATACGAGGCATCTAGTAGGTGTAGCCAATGCTCGAAGATACATGTGAAAGTCCGCTTCCTGCTTTGCAATTAGAACGTTAAAAATCAGTCGTACTTTAAGGGTGCTTATTCATTACTATCTACTTGCTGCTAATTCTGCCGAGTAGTCCCCGATCGAGCATTCTATGTAGCTGGATCTACCCGCCATTACCAAGATGCTGGTTGAAGCAAAGGCTCAAAAGGATGCTCCCATCAAGGGTTAGACGGAGAGAGAGATGAAAATATCAAAGAAGACGGATTGAGAAGGCCGGGATGCGCACTGTCTAATACTTGCTGCAATCATGACAAAGGATATCAGCACAATAACTGTGGAGGCTGGGTGCCGATAGCCTTACACCCGACATAGACTTTAGTAGTCATCTTCATGTATTGAGAACCCATGTAATGAGAGAAATTGAACCATTTCCCCTCACAACGCTCCTTCAACCCCTCAAGACGTCCCTCCACTTCCCCCAAACCCGATCACGTCTCCTCGCCTCCTTGCCCCCTCAACCCCTCACTCTTTTCCGTCTCTCTTACCAACGTATCTTCGCGTCCCACCAAAAAGTAAAGATACCCTCCCACCTCTGTAGGTATTCTCTAACTCCCCACCCGCCAGCCCCAACCCACCCCCCCCATTATGTAAGAATGACAAAGCTTAGTAGACTCTCGTCAAAATCATGTAAGGTTCTTCAGTTTGGTACGCCAATGGTACGTCTGGACATCTTCAAGTTTACACCTTTTTGCAGCAACATCAATTTCACGAACCTATCCATGTAGTGTATGCGTTATTTTCGAAACGATATTAGTACCCCACCTTCTCAAGGCGTAGATTGTGTTGTCTAGAGACGAACGTGATACAAAACCCAGCCAAGAGAAAAGCAATTGGATATTACAAGATATATAAATAATTCTTCCCCTTCCTCTCTTGAAGATGTTTGCAAAGCGTACGTCTTTCGCCATTGAAAAGAAGAAAGAAAAAAAAAGACGCAGACGTAAAACCGGGTAAACACCTAACCATCTCCACGAGTTCTATATCTTACTTGCCCAAAACTGGAATCCCACTCAAAACACCAAGTGACGCCATAGCAACGCCTAATATTCCAAACCAAAACCCAATCCTACAACAAGCGTAGATGATACAACGGCAACACGTACAGAAAATCTACCCTACAACCTCAACCTCCCTTCCTCACTCCTCCCCCCAAACAAGCTCAAAAACCCACTCCCGCGATCTCCCTCTCCACGCTCAATCCCCCTCCTCGGCCCTTGCTCCGCTTCATCTTCATCGCCACCCAGCCATTTTGGTCTTGAAAAAGAAAGCTCATTTGTCTCGAACGTGTTCTTCACTCTTGAGGCGAAATTTTCGAAGAAATTGCCCTCTTCGGCTGCGTCATCGTCGATGAGTTGGCGTCTGCGTTCTGGACGCGTTGCCAGTGGGCGGGTGGACGAGGCGGTGCTTGGTCCATCATGGGCGATTGTGGGATGATGGGATGATGACGGGTTTGGTGTATCGGTGTATCGTTCGGTTGGTGGCGAGGAAGTGCGTTGGGAAAGGCCAAGGACGTTGCCGCTTGCGCCCTGGATCTCGCGTTCGATCAAGGCGCGGCCTTCGCGCCAAGACCCAATGCCTGCGGATGCGCCACCAGCTTCATCCTGCTCGTCGTCGAGCAAGTCGCCGAAGCCACAGATGTTTCTGACTTTGCCGTAGAGTCCAAAGGCGGTCGCGAAAACGGGTACGAGAATGAAAATAGGAAAGAAGGCGCTGAAGCCTTCGCCGAGTGGTGTTAGGACAATCAAACGACCGAGGAACTTGTAAAACATGGTACCCTTCCAGATATTCTTGTCCGTCATGGTCAGGAAATTGTAGCTCAGGGGAACCGTCAGCTTGGCGACCTGCAGACCGTACCACGTTGCGCTTTCTTGGTATGTGTTACGTCGTACGAGTGCTCGGTTGCCCCAAATTTTGACTTCGGTGAGACTGTAGAATGCGCAAATACACATGTAGCAGAGCCAGGCGGCGGCAATGATTTGACTGTTGAAGCCAACTGATGACCGGCCACTGTCGTGGCGGTGGACGACTGTCCAGCCGATAATGGAAAGTTTGGGCCCGCCGAGATCTTGGGCTTCGCGGACGCATTCTGACCAAACGATGGAGATGGAGGCGAATATACACATCACCCATGAAGCGTATGTGAGTGCAGGGATGACGTGAACGTGCAAGTGGTACCGCAGCATGGGTGTGAGGATGGTAATGCGGTCCAAGGGGCCTCGTGCGGTCGATAGAGCGGCACCCTTGAACTCAAGATGTTTACTGGCTTTTGAGTCCAGGATGGCCTGTGTCCGAACTGCCTTGTGGACGATGCGGTCCCATTCATTTTCAAAACGACACTTTGCATGCCGTGCCCTCTTTAGCTTCCTCGTCAAATCGGCGAGATATCTTTCTGTGACGACAGGAGGGATGGTCGCTGTACCCATCCGACCAACAACACCGGCTCTGCTCTCCGGTAGGTTTCCCTTCTCAGCCAGCTCCTCAATCCACTCTTCAAACTCCTTTGTAGTGGCATTCTTGCGCTGCTTGAGCTGTAGGACTTGGTATTCATATTGGTCCAGCTTCTCCAGCGCCTCAGTCAACTTGTCGTGGACCTTGGGCGCCTGGCTTTGTATTCTCTTCAACCGTTCGCTTACACTTGCGTACCGGAATAGGCTTCTCGGGAATGCGACGAGTCCATGGCCCATGAGGTAGATGCCCAGTATAAGACCCCAGGTATAGGCGAGGGCCATGACCAAGCTCTTGAATGTGTCTGTCTCGAAACCGTTCCACCAGATGAGGTATATGGAGCCGACAATGCTGCATGACAGGACAATGAGCCAGTACCGCCCGTTACTCCTGAGCGCATACTGCAGCCGCGCCTTTGGTTCTCTATAGCCACTGTCGCAGTATTCGCCCAGCATGGGTAGAATAGCCCAGGTCAAGGCAAAGGTGAGCCAGTAGATGATGCGCCATGCCTTGTACACGACCGTGTCAGTCAGCCATATCCCCCTTGCGCCATCAGTAGTATCTAGTCCGGCGCTGCTCGCGAGATCGATGGGCAAGAGTACAACGATGCTGGCCGGTAGCGCTATTGCCAGGAAGACGGGTACGACGACGTAAGCGGGTGTGGTGCGGAGGGGGAGGTAGTAGCGCAGGAGGAGCAGGACAAGACCGCTTATGGAGACGAGTGAGAGGACGAAGAAGGCGATTGAGCCGGCCGCTGAGGACGTCATCGTGTGAAGTGCGTGGTGGGCATAAGAAGAGCGACTACGTGTGGACTGGTGGTGCAACGTGTATCGTATACGGACAAACTGGAGCCTGAACGAGCCAGATTATTCTGACAGACGTCGGCGTGAGGCGGAGGGTCGGAACGCGACGTCTCGGAACGCGGGAGTCGCGCGATCAATTACGTCCCAGGTTCCTCCCTACCGTCTTGATAAATGCAGTCTTTGTAACGACTAGCAATTGCAATGTTGGGTATCGATAAGCCCAGAGCCTCTCTCTCCAGGCACAAAATTTACCGGCGTCGAGCCAACGAAGGCGTAACATGTGTTACGAGCCTAAGCCCTATATTCGTCCGCCGTCTCTCCAGGCCAACACGCGTCATTCCGACTCTGGGCGGCGGCGGCCCTTGGTTGCATGTTCCGTGCTTTGGTAATCACCCCGACGCCGATCCAGCCCAAGAGGCTTAGCGCCATCTGCCACCTTCGATTGCATCATTTCCCGTCGAGGCTGTTGCTGCCACTGCGGGGCCCTTCTCACTAATCACTCTGCTACCATACAAACTCTCGGCATATCCCACCTCACAGACACTGCCTCCTGCAAGCTCACCCGCCACCACAAACATTCAAGTATGCCAACATGACTACTCAAGTCGCACGAACCCCATACTAACACCCACCCAGACCAACCGCCAAAATTCAATTCCTTCGCAGCTTCTTCACGCGCGCACCCTCGCCCGCCACCATGTCCGCGGCTAAGACCAAGGTCCAGTCCATCATCGACGAGAATGCCGTCGCCGTCTTCTCCAAATCATACTGCCCCTACTGCCGCCAGACCAAGCAGCTGCTCACCGACAAGGGCGCAAAGTTCTACGCCATCGAGCTTGACCAAGTCGGTATGTACATGCCTCACAGAATATAAAGACGGTAGCTGACATGTCTTGAAAGATGATGGCTCAGCCATGCAGGCTGCCCTCGGTGATCTGACCGGTCAGACCTCCGTCCCCAACATCTTCATCGCTCAGAAGCACATTGGTGGAAACAGCGACCTGCAGGCCAAGAAGGGCGAGCTCCCCAATCTTCTCAAAGAAGCCGGTGCTGTATAAATGCAGACAACGTCTAGAACAAAGCTGTAGCACATAGTAATAAGATGATCTGTCCATGCACCATCACCGCACACTTGCATCCATCACACAGTCACGCCATAGTAATGCATTGATAAGCTGCCCTTGATTATCTAACAGGGGTAAACTTGATGGATCATGCTCTCAGTGAGCCCAACTACTGGCCTCCCAAGCTTTTGAATCTGTCCTTCAAACTGAGCCTGGTGCCCTTCGGCCAACGTTGCGCCGCCTTCACCGGGCTGAATTCTCCCATCTACCAATGTCATTATCCATGCGTGCCATTCATCTTATCGTGCACTACCACCGTCTAGGTCTGCATTGCGTCCGTGAAGTTTTGCGCCGCCGTTGTTGCAAAGTATCGTACGTCGACGTCGTCGTCCTGTTGAAGCTTCTCCAGGTTGGGAAGAATGCTCTTCGTGATGACGTCCGTTGCCTTTTGGCAGCCCTGGCCCGGTGTGCCTGCCTTTTCCAGTGCAATGACGGTACCCTGTTCCGGCAGCTGCTTGAGTGTGTTGATGAGCTGGCCATATGACTTTGCCACGTTGAATCGGATGTTGGGAATGTCGTCGTTGACCAGCTTGTCCATCATGGGGATGATGGATTGCTCAATCACGTCCAGGCTGAGCGCGGGTGCGAGTGTCGAGACGGCGAAGCATGTCGTCATCCGGTAGAGGTAGTTCGGGTGCTGGCCCATGGCCATCACCTTGGGAACGATGGCGTCGTTAGCCCATTCAACCCCAAACACTTCAGTCAACTTCTTCAGGTTCTGTGTTGACGCCTCACGGATCGAGAAGACGGTGTCGCCGAGCCAGCTCATACACAGCGAGCTGAGCTTTTCGTCGAAGAATTGCACACCAAGTTGCGACGCGAGGAGGGGGACGTATTCGATAATGGCGAGACGCACACGCCATTGCTTGTCTTCGGCGAGCTGGACGATGGCGGGGAGGAGGGATTGTGAGAGGAGCTCGATGCCGATGACGTTGTTGACCGATTCGAGCTTGGAGATGATGTTGAGGCGGACGTCGGGGAATTCATCCTTGAGCATCTGCAGGAACATGGGTAGAAGATGTGAAATGGTTCTAGGACATGTTAGTCAGTACGCACGTGCCACGCATAGAGGGTAACCTACTCTTCCTTTCCGAGGATTGGAGCCAGTCCACTGATCTGGGTGCCAAGCGCGGCGCGGACATGCTGCGACTGGTCTGAGACCAACTCTTCTATGCTAGGCATGACGTCGTGCAAGAGCGTCTCGCGCTCGAGTAGGGCACAGAAGCCTGCGCTTGTTAGCGCTATTGTACCATACTGCGACATGAGACCTACCTGGAATCTGCCCTGCGATCGCACTGCGGACCTCGGCCTCTGTGTCCTTGAGAAGCTTGACAAAGGCCGGGACAAGGTCTCGGTTGACCACCTCATCGTCGACTGCTTTTGCAATCTGCTGGCGTTAGCGCACGCCTTATCCAGCCGTGTCCTGAAACGCACCTTCTCAAATCGGTCGGCGACCATGTATCGCACCCTCCAGCTCTTGTCCTCGAACAGACTTCGCAGTGCAGTCAGAAGAACCCCATGGCTCGACTGCTGCTCCTTGGGTACGGCTTCGGCGATGGCGATGAGAATGTCGACAGTCAGGAGTCGTACACTATCCTGGTCGTCTGAAGCGAGGTGCTGGAAAAGAGGAATCATCTCATCGATGACAATCGACGGCGGCATGGCCTTGATAAACTTGGCCAGATTGTTCGCAGCCTGTCTCCGCACCATGGGGGTGTCATCGTGCACCAGCTGGCCGTAGTGTTGCCTGAGGGCTTCTTGTGAGGGGGGTGTAGCGCGGCTGTACGGCGTCTGGTAGAGGCCTGTCGCGGAAATCTTCGACGTGAACCAGTCGGCTTTTGATAGGCGGAGAACAAGGGGAATGAAGTTTTCCTCAATCTGCTGCTGCGACAGCTCCTCGCAGATCTTGTTGAGTGATTCGACAGCCTGCCCCTGTTAGAGACAGCCACAGACGTAGTCATGGTAAAGCGCACCTTTTCGCGCACAAGCGGCTCCTCTATGGCAGCCAGGTTCTCAAGAGGCGAGAGGAGCACATGGGCGTGCTCGGGGCCTCCCACATACTCGACAAACTTGCCCAGCTCCTCGCTCAATGCCGTAAGAACCTCGTCTTCGTCCTCGACAGACTCTATATATATTCATTAGCTTATCCAGATACAACGACAAAAACTAAACAGACTCTCACCATCCAGAAACGGGATGAGTTCCTCGCGTGTGCGCTCGGCGCCTAGCGCAAGAGCAATTGTGTTCAGTCGGTGAATTGCGTTGAGGCGGAGGATAACGTCGTCGTGCTTGAGCTCGTCAATCAGCACGGCGATGGGGTAAAGCTCGTCATTCTGATTCGCGTCCATGTTGGTGTCTATGTGCTGTAAGTTATGGAGATTGCGCGGTGGAGAGCTCAGCGCGGGCGTCGTGTTGACGTACCTGGTGTTGGCGAGGAAGCGAAGAGGGGTGTCAGGGCAGGCACGACAGGAGGGCCGAGCTTTTCAGCCACACTGGTGCCACAGCCACCACACCAGCGCACCCACTTCACCCCAGACGTCAGAATAGACTTCTTACTCTTCGCAACCAGGCATGGAGCCCCTCAATGCCCCCGACACGGAGCCGCTGCTTCCTCGACCATCGTCGGCATCATCTTCCGTGTCGTCGACATCACCTTCGGCCTTATCGGCGACCCAGCGGCTATCGAAACAGCTCACCACACGACATGCATTTACCGTCCTCGTCACCCTCCAGATCGGCTCGGGCATCTTTGCATCCCCCGCCCAGGTAGATGCGAACGTGCCCTCGCCCGGTGCTGCCCTGGTTGTATGGGTGCTTGGCGGTCTTTTGTCATGGGCAGGAGCCGTGTCGTTTGCTGAGCTGGGTGCTGCCCTTCCCTTCAACGGGGGTATGCAGGAATACCTGCGCCACGTCTATGGTGATACTGCCGCATTTCTCATGGCTTGGGTGTACATCTTGGGCGTGAAGCCCTCGTCTATGGCGATTCAAAGCATCGTCATCGCCGAGTCTGTCGCCTCAGTCACATCTGCCACTGGCGAGCTGCCAGATGCTGGCATACTGAAGCTCATTGCAGCCCTTGCCTTTGTATCCATGGTTCTTCTTAACTCCATAAACACGAGACTTACCATACGACTGAGCGAGTCGTTTACTGTCTTCAAGCTCACAACTGTTTCCCTTGTCGTGCTCGGCGGCCTCATTGCTGTCATTGCTCACCTAGTTAACCCAGCTTCCTCGCTCTCCGGCTCGAGCGACTGGTATTCCAAGAATTGGTTTCAGTCAAGGCCAACCGTGACGGATGGCAAGACGATCGACTGGCCATCGATGGGCGCGTGGGATCGCTATGGCCATTACTGCGCAGCCATCTATGGCGGACTATGGGCCTACGATGGATGGGATAATGTAAGTCTACATACGGACCGCGTCCTTCGGCGTGTTGACAGCATCTCCAGGCCAACATGGTTGCCAGTGAGATCCGCGACCCAGGCCGTGCCCTTCCAAAAGCCATTAGAGCAGCCATGATTGTAGTCCTCGGTTCATTTGAGCTTGTCAACGTCGCTTACTATATTCTCGTGCCTTGGGATCGGCTGAGTACCAACAATGCTGTTGCTGTTGCTGCTGCGACATCCCTGTTTGGACGGCCTGCCGGTATTCTCATCACTGTTCTTGTCGCTGTTTCCTGCGCCGGATCCATTACCAGTAATGTTTTCTCGGTCGGCAGATTAACTATGGCTGCTTCGCAGCGTCACTATCTCCCGAAATTCTTCAGCAAACGAGGACTGCCAATGACAAAGGTGTCCGAGCCAGACAGCAGTGCCTCGTTCCAATTCGATGCCCCCATGTAAGACTTGCATGTGCCCATGCTATATGAAGGCTTACTAACGCCAAAGACAGCTACGCCAATGCTCTGGCCCTTGTTGTGACCCTTGGGTATATACTCACAGGCAGTTTTCGGGCACTTTTGACATTTGCTGGCATGGCCGTATGGGTCTTTTACGTCAGCACAGTAGTCGGCCTACTTATACTTCGTCGCCGAGAGCCACAGCTTGTGCGACCTTACCGTCCAGCTATCTTCCTTCCCATCGTCTTCATCATCGTCGGCAGTTTGGTCATCCTACGGTCTGCCATTTTTGCACCAGTGCAGAGCGGGGTACTTGCAGGGTTGCTGGTTGCTGGCACCCTAATAAACAAGGTTCGAAGAAGCCCATAGGTATATGACATCTCTGCATACACAGCCCTTTGACGTCACTGCTCGACGGCGGTACTACAGTCCAACATGTCTCAGCTTCGGATGTCTAATAATAGATTTGAATGCGTCTGTCAACTTCAATGCCTCGCACTAACAGGGCACTTCGTTACGGAATATATGCAGATTGCATATAAATCCAAGATGCGCTAAGCAAGGGGTCGTTTTCTAGTACGTGTGCGGGTGGTCTGGTTCCCCGCAACTTAATTTCGACCTCGCCAGTGGCATCTAGATTCCGATTGCCGCACCACAAACGGGTATTCAGATGCCCATGCCTGTCCTTTTTGTTCGCATAGACGATGTTCTATGACGTCTGTACTCTATCTGGTGCCGAAATCCGATGCGTTGGTAGTACTACCGGACAGTTGGTCTGGCCCCGGATCATGTGGCTATCCAATCAGACGTGTGTGGCTATTTCAACGTCTATATCGAACAAAGTTCACTTGTGTGTTTACCGACCCTCAGCACTATGGTATCCGAGCATCTCAATGCTCAATATTTGTTACGGATCCATAGACTCGCTCGGCCCATGGCCCCCATATCGATAAGATCCTTATCTTATCGGACTAGCGCCTTGGCGCCCACAGCATAAGTTCGGGCTCACAACGTAGATAGCTCGATAGCTTGTATCTTGTCAAATCCAATCTTTCTTGATCGATCCCTCACATTATACAAGCTCCCTTTCAAGACGGGCCCTGGAAGCTCGTTCGCGAATTGTATTTTCTTGTCGCTGCGAGCGACACGCCAACGACAGAAACACTTACGCGACGAGGATCGCATTGACTATACGTACCGCCGCAGAAGAGCCGCCGTAGTAAAGACACCTGATTGCCCAGCTGCATAGCTGTACCCACCTGCCAGAAAAGACCCGCCGCCGCAGAGTGCCGCCGCGGAAGACACTGGATTGCCCAGCTGCATAGCTGTACCCACCTGCCAGAAAAGATCCGCCGCCGCTTCTAGCGCTGCCGCCGATGATGGCCCGACTAAACGAGACGAGCAAGGATGCCCACGACCAGGGTGCTCAGAACGACACACAAACCATTCCAGCAGAGTCGCACCTTGAGTACGGCGACTTTGAGAATGACGACGACCTCACCGAAGCGGAGAAGGCGACTATTAGACAGAAGCTCGCCACCCGCAAGAGACAGGTCACTTTTGGCCGTGGAGACGGCCAAGGCAACAGCGAGGACGAGGGCAATGACGTCAACGCCGCTGAACGCCGACGACAGTCTTGTAGACAGTCTCTTAAGAAAGCCGTTAAGCCAGCGGATAAGACTTCTATAGAACTAGGCTACGACGACGACACGGATGACATGTATCTACGTTTTTATGGCATCCACGACAACGATGAGCGCGAGATCCTCGCGGACATGAGGAACGTTGACGACTTCACCGCTTGCATCGCTGAACATGCTGAGAGTGTCTTTGGACACCTAGCAGATTTGCTTAGTCAGATAGCTGAACAAGCCGAACAGCTAGACCAAGCACATAATGAAGCCCGTGTACAACAAGAAGCAGCTGACGCCCGCGTGGAGCGCGCCCAGACGCAAGCTCGCGCTGCCGCCGCAGACGAGCTTGCCCAAGTCACCCAGAAATGCAACCGCATGATCACTACTAAGAACAGCTACGCTTCACGGCTAGCAGTGCTCGAAGACGAGCTTGCAGCCTCGCGCGAGTCAAACGTGAAGCTCTACTCCCAGATTAGCGACCTCTACAACGAGAGGAGTGTCCTGCAACAGCACGCGGGCGTCCCGACGAATGGAAATTTATATGACACGCGCCCAGCTCAGTTCCAGTCGTCCCCTCCTCCAATGACTGCGAACCCGTTCATTGGCACTGGCACTCACGACTTGATGCTGCCTCCCCCTATGGCACATCATCAGAAAAACCGACCCCTAGCTCGGTCTGCTGTATCGGACAACCTCACTGCAACGGGTGCAAAGCTGAAGGATATTGACATCTTTCGCGGAGACAGCACCGACAAAGAGGACTACAAGTATTGGCGCCGCAGCGCCAGGAACTTCTTAAACAAAACTACTATCCACACAACTGTTCAAGATCAGCTCGACTACCTGATTGACCACTTGCGAGGACCAGCCGCTGCACAGGTGGAATATAGAGCAGCACCCGGAGCTCGTAACGCCTACGTGACAGCGGAAGAAGTCCTCACGGAACTTGATCGCATCTTTGACACGGTCGACAAGGTCACCGAAGCCAGCGCAGCGCTACACGACAGCGGCTCTGGAGGATTAAAGCAACGCGACAATGAATCGTTTAACACCTGGGTAGCCCGCTTTACCTCTACAGTCGCACCATTGAACCTGGGCGACAACGAAATGATCCAGCACGCGATCCGACTCATGAAGTTTGGTCGTAACGCAGGTTTACAATTCCGCCATGGTGATACTTGGGAAGCGTTTGCCCAGAATTGCCGCACTCAGCAACAGCTCTCACGTCTCACCCAGAGCAGCGGAAATAATGGTACCCGAACCGGCCGCAACACGTCTAACGCTGGTGGTGGAGGTAATGGCAACGGCAACAGCAATAGCAGCGGCTCCACAACGCGTAACAACTACGGTCGCACGCGCGCGCAACTCAACGCGTTGAGTAAGCAAGGCGAGTGCTTTAAATGCGGAGGCACGGCAAATGTCAGCGGCAAGAAACATCGTCCGACCGACGCAGACGTCCCAGCAGCCTGCAAGTCTGGCTCTATCGTGCCAGCTAGCCGCGTCCCTGCCCTCAAAGCTACATTCACCAACGCCGCCCTCCAGGCCACAGTCGTCGATGCCACCGACGAGTCGGAAAACTAGCCGTCCCCGGCGAAAGACGCCCCCGGGGACCGCACCAAAATGGTCCACAGATACAGTTACAGTCACAGTCAAAGCCACAACTACCAGTCCAACCCTTGTTAGCGATACCCCCTATTGTTTCACCGACCCTTGATACCCAAACTACCCCGCTCACCGGAGCTACACCTAGCACTTTACGCGTTTGTTTACAAGAATTGGAGGACTGGACGCCTCCCCAGGCTATAGAGGACAGACACGTTGTCTTGAGCGCGAACACTATGGTCAAAGGCAAGCAGCTTGTCCAAGGCCAGCAGTTCGTTTTCAAGTGCAAGGTCGCCACTTCGAATAGCTATATTGATACGGAAGCTTTGACTGACTCTGGTGCTACTGGAAACTGTATCTCCACACTATTTGCGCAACGACATAACCTGCCGACGTTTCGGCTTAAACAACCTTTGCAACTACGACTTGGCGACGGCAATTTCGCCATGGCGCCTATCACACACGGCGTCCTAGCCCCCATCTCCCACGCTGAACACGTTAGCGAGGAACTCTTCTACAGTGTACCTATGACGACTTACGACTTTATTTTCGGCACTTCATGGCTAGAAGAGCATAATCCACACATCGACTGGAGGGAAAAAACTATGCGTTTCAACAGCGAGCATTGCTACGCCAACTGCCTACACAAAGGCGAGCAAGTCACCGTTCGCAGCAGTCGACACCGACGGGCCGCAGCAAAAGCCAAAGAACGGAACCCGACCTACGCGAACATGGACATACACCATGTGTCAGGTGAGGCCGCTGCCGCACTGGCATCACGACCAGAGAACGGTACTATCTGGCTGTACCCACATGATTTTGAACAACTCGACAAAGATGACAGCGATGACGCCGACGAGAGAGCCCAGGCTAGCCGCGTCTTCGCCTCACTATTTGCCATGGACATGAACGCCCTATCTCAGGAAGACATTGATAAGTTCCACCAGAAGCTGAACTCGCCCGCTAAAACTCGCGACGAGGTCCTAGACAAGTTGCCCGAATGGCTCCACGATCTCGCCCACCGATTTAATCCTGATCCCGCCACGACAGACTTGCCCGCTCGACGAGGCGCGGTCGACCACAGCATTGACATTATCCCCGGATCAAAACACCCAAACGCTAAGATGTACGGCATAAGTAAGGACGAAGGCCTTGCCGTTAAAGCTTATGTTGAGGACATGAGAGGACGCGGTGAGATCCGTGAAAGCAAGTCAGACTTCGCTTCGCCTGTGCTCGTCGTCCGCAAATCTGGAGGTGGACTCCGCATTTGCGTGGACTATAGAGCGCTCAATGCCGTCACTATCAAGAACAGGAACGCTCCTCCGATGATTAAAGAAACGCTCGCGCGGCTAGCTAACGTCGCCTACTTCACCGTGGTCGACGTCATCGCCGCCTTTAACAAAATCCGCATCAAGGAAGGCGACGAACATAAGACTGCCTTCCTAACACGGTATGGCCTATTCGAATACTTAGTGATGCCTTTCGGACTCTGCAACGCACCAGGTACCTTTCAGGCCTACATTAACGAGGTTTTACGCGATTACCTTGACGAGTTCTGCTCTGCATACCTCGACGACGTCCTAATCTACAGCGCGTCTTTGGCAGAGCATAAGGTTCATGTCCGCAAGGTTATCGAGAGTCTAGGTGAGGCCGGACTTCATCTAGACATTGACAAGTCCGAGTTTGCCGTCCAAGAGGTGAGATACCTGGGCCTCATTCTTACAACTGAAGGCATCAAAATGGACCCCGCCAAGGTTAAGTCAGTGCTCGACTGGGGCACCCCAACAACATTGAAAGAGTTGCAAGCATTCCTAGGTTTCGCAAATTTCTACCGAAGGTTTATTGTTGCCTTCTCTTATATCGCGCGGCCGCTCACGGATCTTACCCGCGGGACAAACGGCGACGTCAAGCTGAACTTTCCTATCGCCCAAGGATCTGCTGCCCACGACGCATTCGAAAAGCTTAAGAAAGCATTTACCATCGCCCCGGTCCTCGCGCACTTCAACCCCGCGCTTGAGACCTGGGTCGAAACAGACTCCTCCGACACCGTCACAGCAGCCGTGCTGTCCCAAGTCCAGACTGACGGAGTGCTAAAACCAGTCGCTTTTATCTCCACAAAGATGTCACCAGCTGAGTGCAACTATGCCATCTACGACAAGGAGCTTATGGCCATTGTCCGCGCCTTTGAGGAATGGAGACCAGAGCTGGCCGGCACCTCGGACCCGGTGAAGGTCATCTCAGACCATGCCACCTTACAGACCTTTATGGTCAACAAAGCACTCAACAGGCGTCAAGCAAGATGGGCTGAGTTTCTGAGCGAATTCAACTTTAAGATCACTTACCGACCAGGCAGACTAGGCAGCAAACCCGACGCCTTGACGAGACGCCCCGGCGACACACCCACGAACCCAAACGATCCACGGATCATACATCAGACCCAGACGATCCTCGGCCCCGACCGCGTCGACGACGTCATCAAACGAGACACGCACACACACAACGACGCCCGACAAGCAATTCAACTCGCGGCGCTGTTATTCGAATACGCGGAGGAGGTACAAACGCTAGCAGGCATGCTATATCTAATGAGCGAGGAGGCGTATGGCGTCGATGATTTGGTGGATGACGACTCAACCCCAGACGTAGCCTTGGACAGCCAGCCTAAGGGGGAGACAATTGAGATCCCTCACGCTGCTGCGCCAGCTTCCCTGGCACGGGTGCCGGGGGAGAACGCGCCTGACGATGGACTTATGACAGCGATCGTAAATGCCTACCGCGTCGATCCCACACTACAAGAAATAATACGAGCAAAGGCAGACGGCGCCCGTCACCTTCCCCACACTGTCGCCATACAAATGAAGCTGAAGCTAGAGCTACAGGACTGCGAAATCCGCAACAGTCTGGTTTACTTCCGCGGCAGACTCTTCATCCCCTACGACGACGATCTTCGCAAAGACATCGTCCGTCGGTTCCACGACACCGCCACGGCGGGCCACGGCGGCAAGCGCTCTACCTACTACCTAGTTAGCCAACAGTACTACTGGCCGCTCATGACAGACACAGTCGCTCAGTATACCCGGAGTTGTGTAGTTTGCCGACGCGCAAAGCCATACAGAGACCGCAAGCAGGGACTGCTGCACCCGCTCCCCGTACCGAAACGATTCTGGACTGACATTTCAGTCGACTTCATCACACCCCTGCCAGACTGTACTAGATTCGGACGCACCTACTCTCATGTCATGGTCGTGATTGACCGGCTAAGCAAGTCGCAACGGTTTATCGCCCTAGACAGCCTTGAAGTTGATGCTGTTGTCCGAGCATTTGTCGATTACGTCTGGAGAGAGGAAGGTTTCCCTACTACAATTGTGTCTGACCGAGGGTCACAGTTCGTCTCTCATTTCTGGAAGGAGCTGTGTCATCGACTGGGTGTTACACCAAAGCTCTCTACAGCTTACCACCCAGAAACAGACGGCCAGACTGAAGTCGCCAACGCCGGACTAAAGTGTTACCTGCGTGCTTACACGAACTATATGCAAAACGACTGGGTAGACTGGCTGCCACTAGCCCAGCTCGCCATCAATAACAGAGAAAACGTGTCCTCTGGCGTCGCACCCGCGCTTGCCACCAAGGGCTACCTACCTCGCATGGGATCGGAACTAGTCACCGAAGACTCGCCCATTACCGACGCCCGTTCACGCGCAGAACAGTTGCTCCGCGAAGACGCCCGAGGCACGGTGAAAAGGATGACCGACGTTATCCGTTTCATGCAAGAAAATCTTCGCTGGTCCCAAAACAAGATGGAACACTACGCCAACCAGCACAGACAGCCCGCTCCAGACTACCGCGTCGGTGACAAAGTCTATATTGATGCCCGCAATATCCCTACGATGCGCCCGAGCCGCGGTCTCAGCGCAAAGAACCTTGGCCCATACAAAGTGCGAGCTTTGCCCAACCGATATGCAGTCGAGCTCGCACTACCAGACTGCTACAAACAAGTCCATCCAGTGTTCCACCCATGGTTACTACACCTGGACGCCGATCAAACAGCTCGCCCAAGTGAGGGCGTCATCGCTGAGAAACACCCTGACGGAGAGCACGACTACTACGTAGACATGGTCGTCGACTGTCGCATAGATAAACGACGCAAGGACACCCTCACAAACAAGAAAGGCATGCTCCAGTATAAGGTTAAGTACACCAACTCCCCAGACTGGAATGCCTCGCCCGCATGGCAAGACTATACAGACCTGTGGGGCGCAGAGGAAGCGGTTGAAGACTTTCACCGTCTCTATCCCGACAAGCCCCCACCTCACGAACTGTATCGAGACCTAGCGTTGTATCTCAACCTAGTCGCCGCATATTCACTTGGTCGCGATGATGTTGAAGTTGTTAGCGTACTAGACAGTTGTGAGCTTGCCCTATCACCTTCGCATTCACTGATGGCACAGCTTGGACCTGGGAAGGTGGCACAACTCAGGACGTCTGTCTCCAAGCAGAAGCAAGGACCCGAAGGATGAGACACAACATAACTGCTCGGCATCAAGCACAGCGTCATAAAATAAAAGACATTCACGGCTTGCAGGTGCAACCGTCTTCTGAAAGGGGGGGGTAATGTTACGGATCCATAGACTCGCTCGGCCCATGGCCCCCATATCGATAAGATCCTTATCTTATCGGACTAGCGCCTTGGCGCCCACAGCATAAGTTCGGGCTCACAACGTAGATAGCTCGATAGCTTGTATCTTGTCAAATCCAATCTTTCTTGATCGATCCCTCACAATATTGTTTCAAAAGATATTATCTTTTGATTTTACATTGCCGGTTATACATCTTCTGATCACATGGCACTAGACTCCGCAACAATCAATTCAATCCGGTCACTCTCCTAGACCCACTTACCTATCTAGGTAGGGCTTAAACTCCTATAGGTAACTACTAGGCTTAAAGCGGTAATCAATCAATCCAATCTGAACCTTCTAGGACCCACTTAATTGATTGTTGCGGACTGTGCATGGCACGGTACCTTGCAGGCCTGTAGCTATATTTGAGTATCAGCCTTCCATTTGTGGATATCCAACCATTCCACCCACCATCTCTCTCGCTTAACTGTAGTCGCACAGTGTTTTTACGGGTATTACCTCCGAGCAAGGCCTGTTGTGGTTAGCCTTGTGTATCGGATCTTAGCACATGCTTTGCACATTGCCTGGCGTGAACATGTCTCGCTCTTTCCAGGCTGTTTCCTAAGGCTGTGAAAGCTCCGATACTCGGTGGAAAGCACAGGTTTTATCATCTCCTCTTTGCCAAAAGCTTTACGTTCTCCTCATCAAGAGTACACCGGTGGTTTCGCTTTGGACCCGGGGAATCATTTGAACCACCAAGTCTGCAGTGCGGGGAAAACCCATGACAATGTCATTTCTGCAACATATACAGCACATGTGAAATTTCATGGCTCTCTTACCTCCAGATCGAGCATCGAACACGCCCCTTGCCCCAGCTATCAAACACAGACTATCGAATCTCCAAGCGACGTTTGCTCTTTACCAGTCACATCGTTTGCGCTCCAGAGTCAATTTATTACCCTGCAGATGATTTTGTGGATGCGACGAACCGGACTGGCTCACGGGCCGTGGCACAGCGTCATGTCGCATCAAAACGGCCTTCAGGACGTTATAGACGAAAACAACCACAATCAAATGGACAGGAAGCACGGCGAGAGGGGAATACCAAGACTTGGGGCAGCGGTTGGGTAAGTATGGAATATGGCAAGCAGCGAGCATATAAAGAGGGTGGAGCATGGGCTTTGAAATGACCATCAACAGCAACGAGCAGTGCTTCATCATCTCATCCTCCTAATTTCACTCTCTTGAGGTCTCTGTCCTAGCACCTCTGCAACGCTCAACATGCGCTACATCGTCCTCACCTTGGCCGCCGGCGCTGCTGCCGCTCCCTTTGCTATGACTGAAACCAGCCTCTGCCCCGCCGGGTTGTACAGCAACCCTCAATGCTGCGCAACTGACGTACTTGGTGCCATCGGCCTGGACTGCGCAGTCCGTACGTCTCTCCCTTCCTTTCTTGTCCTCCTATACTGTACCCGAAAAAGAAAACTAACACCTCCAAAACAGCGGCCACTACTCCCGCCAACGTCGACGCCTTCATCAGCGGCTGTGCTGCAGGCGGCCAGCAGGCAAAGTGCTGTGTGATTCCCGTCGCTGGCCAGGATCTTCTATGCCAAGATGTCAAGGGAAGCGGTGGTGGTGGCGGAGGTGCCCCAGGTACCACTGCTACTGGTGGAGGTGGAGGTGCACCTACGAGCGTGCCTGGTGGTGGTGGTGGCGGTGCTACCTCCACTTCCTGTGAATCTAGCGCTGTTGTGACGCCGGCTCCTCAGCCTACTAAGCCTGCTCCTTCTTACCCTACGACTACTTCTGACTGCGGATGTGGCAAGTAGAGTGCTTTGGCGATCGAGGAGGGAGTTGGGATGGGATCACTCGATAGCAGCAGGTGTTGAGGTATGATTGGGCGAAAGATTGTGTAGTTGTAGTTCTACGTCAATAGTATTCGTGCTTTTGAGCTATACTCTGTTTACGCATCAAGTATCTTCGAGAAGTGAAAAGTGAAAAGCCATATGATTGGGTTAACTGAAGTAGAGGTTGTCAGCGAGCCAACCTTGAAGACCACGCTGATGATAGCGACGATTTAGATACACTAATACCAATGGCTTGCGATTCGGAAATAGACGCAACTCGCGAAAAGCAAACGTCTCGTGGCAGAAATGTGATGATCTCTGTGTGCACCATGGTGACCAACTCTAATCACTCTAGTGTTAATGCGCATTGGTCTTGTCGAGAGCGGCTATACTTACACACATCGATCACTTAGGCATGCCAGCTCAGGTCTCTGGTCAGGTTTAGAGGATTTGGATCAAAATGACAAATGCTGGGTGGCGATTAGCATGTGTTGTCCAATCTTCCACGAGCTTCTCATCGAAAAGCTTTTCGCTCGTTTTCCAGTCTTCACTTCCCAATGCAACACCCCCAGTATATATAGTAATTAACTCTACTAGTTCTCATCAAGTAGAAACTACAGCCTCATGGGTTATATTGGGACATGGAAGGGTGCCCTGGTTTACCTGTGAGGACGTGGAACGGAGAGCGATAAGACTGGACGGTGGTCCATCCAACGAAAGGTCGGCAGCCTTCGTATGCTTGATTTTTGCTTTGTGCTCTCGTTCGAATCACTGCTGTGTTAGTATCATGATTCTTTGTCTTTTACCTCTAATTCGAATCACCGCTATGTCGTAGTAACAGTGGGGGGTTTTTTTGAAGGTTTACAGGGCGATCCGAACAAAGTCTCTCTGGGTTCACGAAGGATATTTGCGTTACCACCACTAAGGCTGACGATAGTAAGTGATAGCAGTGTTTGGATTTGCAAGTACCAGGTGTGGCCAGTTTAGGGCACAGGCATCGCCTTTAAGTTAGCGGGCTGTGGAGATAGCGGGTCAGAGGCTTGTCGGAGAAGCTTAAAACTCTTGCCCTCCAGCTGCTACCATGAAATCGCTAGGTAGCTGGAACGGCAATACTGCGCATAAGATTACGACCCGACCCGCACGATGCAGCACATACATGGTGTTCGAAAGCACCAGCCCCATGATCAAATCAACGTCGAACCACACCAATCTCCGGTTCTGACGTGAGGCTCCACATGGCGCTTTGCCAAGCTTCCCCAGACCCATTGATTAGCCGGCGGCATCATGAAGATGCGGATCGGAGAATACATATATACCCTAGCCTCGGGCGGAAGGAACGTCTTTTCTTGCTTCATTCTGGTTCTTGGGCCCTAAAATAGTGTTTACAGGTGAATGATGAGGCTCTGCAGCTCCGGCGGCCTAAGCCGCATCCCTAGTCCGCTCTAGCGAGGACAACCATGTTTCAGAAAACTCGAACACCAATATATCGAACGGCAGATGTCGTGATTCCCGAGCCTATGGTCGAAACATGTCGTTTACCATAAACGAGCTAAGGCTACCGGAATGGCCACAGTACTTCCGGTGGGACCTTGGCATTCAATCATACATAAGCCTGACGAGATGCAATCACCTTCTGCGCTCAGCAAAATCGAGACTTTACACACGTTTCGCTTCTCACCAAAATGGGTCTCAAGTCTATCCTCGTTGCAGCCCTGGCTGCTGTTGCCATCGCCAAGCCAGTTCCTGATCCGCTCAGCATGATGAAGCGGGCTGGCCCTGCCGCCGGACAGGTACGTTAGTCAACAAGCCCCCCCTGAAAACATAAGTCAACGAAAAACCTCCCAGGTCATCACCAAGTGCGCGGCTCCCGGCCAGATCGCTCTTGCATACGACGATGGCCCATCGGGCAACACGCAAAAGCTCGTTGATACGCTCAATGCTGGCGGCGCAAAAGGCACCTTTTTCGTAACCGGCACCCTATACGGCTGCATCTACAACCAAAAGACGGCGCTGCAGAACGCATACAAATCGGGCCACCAAATCGCCTCGCACTCGTGGTCGCACCCGCCAAACTTTGGCTCCCTGTCTACAAACGACCTCACGACGCAAATGACGCGTCTCGACCAGGCCCTCGTCAACATCATCGGCAAGAAACCGACGTACATGCGTCCCCCGTACCTTGCTACCGGTGGAAACGTGCTCCCCACTATGCGCACTCTGGGGTACCGTGTCATCACTAATGATGTGGATAGCGGGGATTGGTCTGGCAACACGCCGCAGCAGAGTCAGCAGAAGTTTCAGCAGGCGGGCACGAGCGGTAATGGGCATATTCCGCTTATGCACGAGACGTATGCTTCGACTGTTAACACGCTTACCCCGTGGTTGATTACCTGGGCTAAGAACAACAACTTGAAGCTTGTTACTGTTGGTAAGTTTGCATCCTGGTTGATTGAGATCTAGGTGAATGCTAACGTTTTTTGTGCTAGCTGAGTGCTTGGGCGATAGTGCCGGTGCGTATACGAGTGGTACTCCCAACGGTGCTTCATCTTGCTAGATGCATCTGTGTGGCTGTTTATTCTTCTGTGGAGTCCTTCGCGGGCTCCCTCTACCTTCTTGTATATCTTTTCTGGCCCCCTTACCTTCACATATATACTAGATCAACGTGCAACAACAGCTGTATACGGCTTGTTTCTCATATGGAAAATTCTTACTCAACGTGATTGCGTTGTCAGGAAGCTCGTGCCGCAAGCATCCATGTACACATGTGCTCGATGCGACAGTTACATCGTGCACACCACTTCTTTTCGCAACGAAGCTATGCATGTGTAGATGATACGTAGTGCTATGCAGATTTACTTTTAGACAAACATATTGGTATAATCTAGGACATGGTCGCCGATATATCGGTGAGCCACATGGAAAAGCAAGCATGATGCTTTGGGACAACATCAGAGCTTCTGATTGTTGGGAAGCTTGTTCGTGAACAAGCAACGCCAAGCAGAGTAGACAGGACATCACCTAAACGCCAAGCAAGGAGAATAACAGAGTATCATAGCGAGTCGTGCCTCGCGCGCAACAATCATGTGTCAATTTGAGGACCTGTGAGTCGCAAAGCTATTAAAGTTTCTGTAGGGACCGTGAACATATTAAGATGAGACATGAAAAGAGAACCCCCCTCAACCTCCAGGCGAGAGCGGGCATCTCACGATGCCACTCGACCGCCAGCTTGCGGTGATGCCGCAAAACTAAGACCAGCCCGCTGTGATGCGATTTTACTCGAACCACGAGCGCGCGTATCTTGCCGAATAACGCCCTACATGGCGATCATTCTCTTCACCATGGCCTGAGCAAAGTCTACCACCTGCTTGTTGTTGACGTTGGTGCAGCGATGCTCGTTACCGCCAATAGCGCTAGCATCGCAACCATCGGGGTAGAAGAAACTCGCCAACGCGATAATGATGTAGGCTGCAATGAGCAGACTACCTTCGAGGTAATTACTGCGGCCATCCAACACCAAGAAGTTAACTACAAGGACAGTGACAAACAATGCGACTGTTTCAAAGATGTTGAAGTAAAGAGTCATCTCCTTGCCCATGGCCCAGCCAAGGATGACGATAACAGGCGTAATGAAGATGGCGATTTGGATAGACGAACCGACAGCGATACCGATAGCTAAGTCCATCTTGTTCTTCATGGCGACAGAGACGGCTGTAACGTGCTCCGCAGCGTTACCGACAATAGGTAGGATAATGAGACCGATGAAAGCTTGACTGATGCCAGAAGTTTCCACCATGGGTTCGATGGCATCACTCATAAAATCAGCGCAAACAGCGACGAGACCAGTACTAATCAAGAGCATGAATATGGCTGCCTTGATAGACATACTGGGTGTGTCGTCGTCTTCATCATCCTCATTGGGAGACATGGATGCATTGGAGGAGACGGTAGGACCATTGGCTGCACTGTTCATGGGGTGGGCGCGACCAATCTGATCCGGCAGCGACTTGGAGCGGCGGAGCGGAGCGGCACGTAGAGGTGTGTTGTCGCGCGGGGCTGCCATGCGGATATTAGGTGCTGGACCACCCAGCGGGGCCAGGTTCTGAGGATTGGAAAAGACATTGTTGGAAAGCAGCGATGGAAGGGCAGGGCGGTTGTATTTGCGTGCGTTCATCGGAGAGATGGTACCTTGCTGGATGTCCTCAGCAAAGGCAACCTTGGGTGCCGGCTCAGCCGGAACAACCTCTTTCTCGGGGATAGTGTCAACGCGGTTGCGATTACGGCGGTCCTTGTGGCTCTTCCTATGCTTGCGTCGCTCCTTCTTTGTCTTCGACTGCGAGGTATGCGTGGAAGCGGCTTCAAAGTCGCGAACGACGGGGGCATATTGATCGTTGTCGGCTTCATCGCCACTCATGACGTCAAAGGAATGGCGACGAGAGGGAACAATAGTTGTCGTATTGGCAGTGACTACACTATTCGTCCTCTCCCTCTCGGTCTCGAAGGGACTCTGGTGATGCTCGCCAGATGGAGAGCTAACGCCCGAAAGCCCACTGCCATCTTTGGAGCTGGAGCTAGACTTGCGACGCAGCCTTTTGACCATACGCTTGGCCTTCCTCTTCATGGTGCCGTCAGATTTGGAAGAGCCGTCGCTGTCACTGGAGCTGGAGCTGGATGACGAATCCGAGCTGGACGAGTCGAATGCACCGGCGAGAACACCAGGGTGCGACTCCTCATCGATGATGTGTTGTGGCGTGCTAGCGTAGAGGTATCTGTGACTCTTGAGCTGAAAGAGTAGATACAGGCCGTAGACAAGCAACAAGATGATACTAGTGCCACGACTGACGGCTAGGGTCTCATGATCAGCGATGGCATTGTCCTCAAAGGCGGCGTGGAATGCGGTCGGTAGTAGAAGACTCATGACGGCAAGCGCCAACATAACGCCACTCATCTGAGTGACGGTGTTGTTGTAGACCTGCTCCTGATACTTCAGACCCCCAAGAAGGAAGGCCATTCCCAGAATAAGGAGCAGGTTGGCGAGAATGGATCCAAGCAGAGACGCCTGCACGACCTCGATTTGGCCAGAGGCGAGCAGGATGATGAAGAGAATCAACTCGACAGCGTTTCCGAAGGATACATTGAGCAGTGCACCGAGGGCGTCTCCAACGCGGGCAGCCACGACTTCGGTCGCGTGGGCGAGCAGGCCAGCCAATGGAATGATGGCGATGGCGTTCATGGAGAATACAATCTCGGGCTTCAATTCGGCAAGCTTGACAGCGATACCGAGAGGCACAAAGACCAGCAGGACGTTAATCCAGCTATGGGTGATGGCATTCTTGGTGTGTGAGATGAATCGGATACTTCCGTTCTTGATGCGCACTGGCGAATAGAACGGAAGCTTGTCCGATCCTATGGCGGAAGGCGTCTCTCCGTTGGCTGCGGTATTGACTGGGCCGTTGGCGTTGGCCTTATGCGTGTTGGTGCCATGACTAGCCTTGGCAGCGAACTTCTCGTTGTTGACGTCGCTGTGGTTGTGTGGGTTGCTGCCATTTCGGACAAAGTGATGGGTGTTGTTGTTGGGACTATGGGTCGGTAAGACGTCGCGCTCAGTCTTGCGTCCCAAGCCAAGCGCAGATGCTGCCTTAGACTTGAAGCTGCGTATAGAGGGGTCGTCGGGTTCTCCCATCGGTTTTGGTGTGTAAGTTTGTAGGGAGGGGTGAGTACAAAGTTGTACTTTGGGAATGTACGATAGTCAGGGAGGCCAAGTGAGCGAGGGCGATGGGCGACGCCTTATCTGCGCGCGGCACGCTTAGCCGGCTTGGGGCACTGCCGATCACCGTGGACCCTGCTAACGCGGTAGCCTACTTACACGCCGACTATTCGCACAGCCTCGGTGGCGCACCACTGCGTCTTGTTTGGTGTGTGAATGTGGCTAGCGCGCTGGAAGCTACTAGACCATGGGTGACGTTGGTGATCCAAGGGTAAACGTACGGCTCGTTGAAATCAAGAATTGCCGTGTTGAGAACCAGTTCGCACTTTCCGGTGTGTTATTCCGGGGGAGGGCGCCACTCCCCGGTAAGGGCTGAGGGAAAGAACGAGGCGGCGAGTAGGAAGCGGCGACGGATAGCGACCCACTCCCCACACAAGGTTGCCCAGCAATGCGACAATAGCTACGTCATTCAAACCATATCTCGTCCACCGCAACGTATCATTCAGCCTCACAAAGCTCATCAGCAAAGGAGCCAGACAAACTTCGGCCCTCTCTCTAAAATTCCTGATGCATCTTAATCTTGCTCTAGTTCGTGTGACGTGCGATGCAATCAGCAGACTAGTTACTTAGCTTACATTCTAGACTGCGCATGTTGCCTCATAATGCAGGGATCCTGCTGGTGAGCACGTAGTTCGTCACTATCTTAGCAGCCATGACTACACACCAGCCAGTCCACAGCTAACCTGTATCGCGTCCTACCCACCACATATGAACTTAATTTCCGCTCGTACTACTGGAGGGTAGTTAAATCGTCAGTACTGACATGTGAAATAAATTCAACTTGTATATGTTGATTGTGTGACTGCAGTGTATTCATCATGTGAAGTCGCTCAAGCCCATATCAGTGGACGAGTGTGGTGCGATGCAAGCTCACCGGCCATGCTCTTTCGCCCTTCCACCATCGTCGCGCCATCCTCAGCTCACTCCGCTTGCCCACTCCTCAACCCTCACCTCACGTTAAATTCGTAACATTTTCCTTGGCATAGCAGCCACAAGTCTCCCCCACCCAAGTCTGCGCCGCCTCTCTTCCCACTTCCCTCAGTCATTAGAGCACACCTGTGCGCCGCCAGCATGCACCTTCTCCATCTGCCGCCAGAGATATTCGGCGATATTGTACACGAATACGTGCATAGCAATGCGTGGGAAGACGCAGCAAAATTGCGAACTGTATGCAGAGTATTCGCCAAAGCAATCCTCGATGACATGACCGGCTGTTATCCACTCAGCCGCTATAAGAAATACGACTTGTCAGGAATAGCCGCCTATGGAAAAGTATGCTGAGCGTCAATATGCACACTATTCTTGATTACATAGAAGCTATGGTAGACTTCCTCATGAATCTTGCGTCGAACAAGAGCCAACCAACGCGTGAGCAATACTGACTAGCACTTTGCAAAGCTGTAGCGTGGCGCTCTGCTTCCTCTACTCATAGAGTGGTACCTCCCTTATTTGACAGAGCTCCAGGCCATTGCGGCAAAACGTCAATGGGTAGCATGGGCCATCGAATCAGGAAATATCGAGGTTCTACGTCTATGTTGGAAAAAGCCTAACAATCATCCCTATCTCTGCAAACCGACTCACTGGGACACAAAGACATCGTAGAATACTTCATCACCACAGCCCCGACAATCATCACCTCGCCCGCTAAACACTTATGCGACGACAAGAAGTTTTGTTATTTGATCTGCGGGCTCCGGGCAGCAGTATCCCGTGGCTGGCTCCAGACTGCAAAGCTACTCTTGGACCAGGGAGCTGACGCAAATGGGGTCCGCGAGGAAATCGATGACCGGCCTGGGACGGCCGTGCGGTTGGCTGTTGTTCGAGATAACGTAGATATGGTCATGTTGTTGCTAGTTTACGGTGCTGTGGTACCAGGTGACATGGTCGTCTACCCAAAGGCAAACAGTGTAATGGCAAGGGTTGCGCGAGAGGCTTGGGAACAACAGCAGCGAGGCTAGAAGCAGAAGTGGACGAGGAAGCGTGTTTAGTGTACATTGCCTGTTCGACAAATACATCTTATATGGCTCAAAGTATGTCCCTTGCCATTCGTTACCAAGCGATGTGTAGCTTATTTACACGTGCTCTGACACACACAACTAAAAGGGACTCAAGCCAATAAGAGACCGGGAGCACAAACTAGCAACGTGTAAGCAAGAAAGAGATTCTGAATAGAAAACCTATTAGCATGATATACAAAAATGCTTCTGACGTCATCTGTGTCTGTGTGGCTTGTCTCTTGTTGCTTGGGCCAACGACCTCAGTAACTCCTGAATTTCCTTCACTGGTGCCATGTTCGCTCAAGATATGTCCCTAATTCTATACGTTCTGATCAGGCCGGTGCGCTTGGAGTAAATCAGGTCGGCATCGTACCACTGCTACTTTGGTGCAGGGTTGGGCTGATCAGGCCTTTCTCAACGGGGTAGCAAGCAGTTAACAGCAGATCGCATTTGTTTTAAAATCGCGTACCGGAATCTCCGAGATGAAGAGCATGCATTTATCTGGCATGGTTGGCTATATTGCCCTGTGTCGTCATGGTTCGAGTTTATGCGCAGGCACCCGGATGACATGAAATACTTGACATACCATCAATCACTGAAGGTACCATTGAAAATCGCGTCGCAATTACAGAGATATTACGGGCGCTGTCACAAGTGACCGCACGCCGCTCCCGGTGCGAGGCGCACTATTTTACTCAAGTAGAGAAGTGTGTGGAGAAATCATCCCCGCATCAAACAATCTTTGTAGTGGTTTAGCTCCTCTGAGTCTTCCACTCTCACATGCCTACATACGGGTTGAATGTCATCATGCTGGTGCTCAATCTGCGCTCTTGCAGGTATATCCAGACCCTTGGCTTGGGCTACTCAGCAACCCTTGGTTCATCCAGAGACCTTTGAACAGTGCAGTTGTGCTTCAAACAGGCTCTGGCGATAATGGAAGCGCCTAGTGATATTGATGAAGGTGGAAAAAACGTGTGAGAACTTGTTGTATTGGAGCTACGGGAGGAGGGAGAATATCTACAGTGCGCGCACGGAGCAGCTGACTAATCAGTGCCTGGCCAATCAGAGCACGGGAAGCCTGATTCACCGTGAATACTAGTGAAGGCTCTCACCGCGTCTCGACAGATATAACATACTTGACGGCGACGGTATCGGTAAACCCTGGTGTCCAATTCCTGATAGGCGTATTTGGCGCCTACAGTAAATTTTGTACACTAGGATGTCAAGTATTTCATGTCACCTAGATGGACGTCACAAGGAACCTATTGCCTAGCTAGGTAGTCCCAGGCTTTTTTGTGAAAAGCAATTATTGCGGCGTGAACTGACACATTTAGATCCGGAAGGTCCTCCAACTTGCAGGCCGTCGGCCAGTACCCAAGGGCTACGAAACTGTTCCTTCCTGTGAATAGAGCCACTGTGACACCCCGCGAAACCTCACAATCGGTCGACCATATTCAGGAAATGGGGTTGACCCTGGAGATGATATGGGAAATCTCCCCGCTACATGTACTGAATGCATCGGAGTGTTCTACAATTATCACGTCTTGTCTGGGCATGAATGAGGCAGGCTCGATAGTGTTGAAAACTTGGTTTAGGCGCTGGTCGTCACGCACCGATAATCGATGTGCGGGAGCAGGGGTGGGTGACGCTAATTCAAAAAAAAAAGACTAGGCAGACTTTGACTTGCTCTCTTCATCGTTCTATGTTTTTGGTTGTGCAATATTTAGTGTACCATGGCTCAGCTTGGGACGCAGCTGACCGTTCCCCATATGAGTCACACCTTGCGGCAGCGCTGGGCTTATCGGCAAACCCTCAACCTTAGCAAGGTTCATTGCGCGTTCCTCGTGTATGACCACAACCCTGGAATTATCATAGCCATATTATTTTGGCGTTCTCCCTGCGTTAATTAAACGTTGTGTGCCGTGCGTCACTCTCAAGCCCCGTAACATGGCGTCCAAGCAGTTTGCTCACTGGAACGGGTTTCCGTTCATGACTGCTCCGAGAACAAGGTACTACTCTGCGCAGCTACAATCGCCTTTTTTCCGTCTTCCTCGTGAAATTCGAGATGCTGTTTACGACTACTACCTCGGTGAAGATAGATATCACTACGACAGCGAAACTGGCAAGATGCTCTACTAGAGCCCTAGTCTTAGGCTAAAGCAGTTCGTTCCCCTTAGTTTGATAATCACCTGTCGAATCGCCGCCGAAGAGATAAAGCACAAGCCCTTCCAAAAAGTCCATTCCAATACGCATCATTCACTAAACGACAGGTGTACCTACATATACTTATCCTCTCGAGCAGGGTGATTTAAATGCTGTAAGCCTTCTTGTCCGTGTTAGAAATTATCTCATAACTAACGCAATACTGCGATAGTATTGTTGTACATTAAACGACAAAAACGAAAGGTGCTAGTTAATGTAGCCGGTCTGTTACAGCATGATGACTTTGTTAATATCTACACTCAGTATCCCTCGGTCAAAGTTTGGTTCAACACCCCCTTGCGGCAATCAGTGGTAGAGCGAGTGGACAAGCTCGCGAATTCTGAAAGCTGGGTGGACGACATCGCACGCCAAGCATTCAGTAATGCTCTTCAGCATGCACTATTATTGGCAAAGAGCCAAAATCCCACGGAATTTGCGAAGCTTGCCTGT